GAATTATATAATTAAACAATTCTTAATTATTAAGTTAACTATAACTTATAATATTTCTCACAGGAGTGAATATATGTGACGAATATTAAACGAATATTAAATATTAAATAAGTTAATATAAAATATATATTAACAAAATATAAAAAATATTGATTATTTGCACTTTGTTTAGTACAGTTCAAATAAATAAGAATATACATTATTTTATATATAAATGATTAAATTTTATCGACTAATCGTATATATAGTCACAAAAAAGTATTATACGTTACCTGTAGTGCGCGTTACATTTATCTTATAAGGGCATATTTGCATTTTTTTTTTAATTAAATTTTAATTTTAAATTAATGCAACATAACCTTCCAATATATAATATCGTGTTATAAGAAAAAGTATATCAAGTATAAAAATGTTTTGTTAAATACTTGTTTTTAAGTTGCATATTATACGCCAATTATGGCACAAATTAATTACAAAGGTATAAAAGTTTACGATTGTATATATATATATACAATGCACTACCATATCTACTGTATTAAGAACGGTGGACTCACAAGTCCCCAGTGGCGCAATCGGTTAGCGCACGGTACTTATAAGACAGTAATATGTGTGAGCAATGCCGGGGTTGTGAGTTCGAGCCTCACCTGGGGAAATTTTTTTTTTATTAAAATTTTATTCTATTTTCTATAACAATATAAGATTTTTATTTAAACTACAACTACTATATGCGGTATTCGTCAAGCTGCGATTTCATGACGACGGTTTAAGTTAATTCTTAAGGATCGACACACTGGTGATATTTTACATATTATTATAAAGTTTACATTGTATTATGAGGTATTTTAATTTCATTATACTTCTCAGAAAAAAATACAGCCCCGTTCTCTGAACGCGCTTATAATGATTTTCGCACACTGACAAAAAATGTGAGCATTCTTAGTATCGCTCCTATTCTAAACGCAGTGATAATAATGCTCTGTTATGAAAAATTGACGCATGTATATATGTATATGAACATATATATATATATATATATATATATATATATAGAACTAATAGGTCCAAACTAAAGCAACATATGGAAAATGTTTTAATTTACAGATTCAGCTTGTTTTTCAGATATATTTTCCAGGGTAGCTTTCTCAGTGGCATTCCTGCGTCTTCTCCATGCTCTCATGTATGTTCTTGGATGAATAGGAAAAAATCCAGCAACTCCTAATAATTCTGCTACAGGTGTGGATATCTGTGACCCTTTGGCTAACCAATATTGTATTCTTTCGAAATTGAATGACACCAATCTCTCACTGTACTTATTTGGAATAGGATCATAGGTGCCGAGTTGTTCTATCGGTGGTCGCTTTTGGTGTTGTTTTACCTGTTTTAACAAGAAAAAGTCAATCGATCAGTCGATCATTAGGATAGGTGTATGAATTTTATACATTTGCATGTTGTTCATCATTTCATTCCTCGAAAAACGAATATATATACATACGTTTTCACTTAATTATAGAGAAAGATAAAAAAATATAGCCGAAAAAGACAGAAATGCATTATTTTAAATTCTCGACAGCCGATTGATCAAACTTACATTCATTACGATGATATGATAAAACGGTCGGTTGGCGCAGCCATAGCGAACAAAACGTATCGACGTCCTAAACCGTCCAACAATACCTGTGCCAGATGAAGGATGCAGAGGAAATCGAGAAATATGCGTCATATTTATTTTCTAAATCACGGTATGTGACTGAGTGTTTAAGTGAGGTTAGAAGAACATCGAGGTAGCCATCAATGTTCCAATATTCACTGCCAATGTATTAAGAGTGTACGTAATATGGACTATATAGATTTTTTTAATGCTAGCAGTGAATTTTGGAACACAGCCAAGGTTGCGTTCAAAAACTGAGTGGCCTTCGATGGACCAATCATGATGAAGAAATGTTATTTCTCTCTTAAGACTTGACGGGAAGGAGAGAACTAGTGTTTTAGAGGCACTTTTATCGATAATAGAGAGTTCGATTATCTCCGTTGATGTGTTTCACGCACCTGTTAACATCCACCGTGTGGATTTCAGGGTAGCCACAACACACAAGTGGCCTGTTCTTTTTGGTTGCGCTGCTGAACTGGTGATAAACAAGTGAGACAAACGTATGTTTTCTTGCTTCAACTTATTGCACCGGTTCGGTAGCGCAGCTAAAAAGAACAGGCCAGAGGGAAAAATGTGCGTCAAATGCAATCAAATGGCTGTCATAGCTTCTTATGACAGATGTTTTAATCTACTTTGTTAATTCGTGCGACGAAGACGGAAGCGAGGTTCCTCTCTCCATTCTCGAGTCTCAGGTCGTCGTGGTGCCACGCATCTTCGTTACACTCGTCGTTATTGTTGCAATTCACGTCCGTTCGAGAAGACTCGTAGTGAGAGAAAGAGATAGAGCACGGGAAGAAGGCGCTTCGTCAAATGTCTCGCGGCTGAAGTGGTTAGATATCTCCTCGGGGAGAAGCTAAGAGTGGGAAAGAGATAGATATAGACAGAGCCAGCTGGTTCTGCGGGTGAAGCCCGTTGTGGGCCAAACGTGAGGAAGTATCCGCTGGTGTTGGTGAGGGCAGTAAATAATATCGCTCCGTCAATCAACGTCCGCCGTTGAGTTATCGAGAATGGCAAAGACGTACGACTATTTATTCAAATTGCTGCTGATCGGCGATTCCGGCGTGGGCAAGACCTGTGTGTTGTTCCGTTTCTCCGAAGACGCCTTCAACACGACCTTCATCTCCACCATCGGTACGTGTGTCGTTCAGTGGTTTTCGCTACGTTGCCACCGCGGGGTGTGTCTCGGTTGTGTATCGCGCGCGCGGGCCAAATGTCATTGGACAAAGAGCATGTTATGCCTCTACGTGATTCATCCTGCAACGCTCGCTTGCTCAGATCTATTTCACCGTATCTTTTGGAATTTCTCCCGGTGTTAGGCTTACCATTTCATCGTATGTTACAGGCATCGACTTTAAGATTCGCACTATCGAATTGGATGGCAAGAAAATTAAACTACAGATATGGTACGGTGTTGCTTCCCCTTTGTTCCATAGAGTTAATCGAATGAATTTGATATCGTAAGGTTAGGTACTTTTTCACCTGCATTTTTAGGGACACTGCTGGACAAGAGAGGTTTCGTACTATAACCACAGCTTACTATCGTGGAGCAATGGGTATCATGTTGGTGTACGATGTCACAAATGACAAAAGTTTTGAGAATATTAAGAACTGGATTCGGAATATAGAAGAGAATGCATCTGCGGATGTGGAGAAAATGTTGTTAGGTAATAAATGCGAGCTCACGGACAAGAGGCAAGTCACCAAGGAAAGGGGCGAGCAGTTAGCTGTTGAATACGGCATTAAATTTATGGAAACTTCAGCGAAATCTAGTATCAATGTGGAAGAGGCTTTTTACACCTTGGCTCGTGATATCAAAGCAAAAATGGAAAAGAAACTGGTGAGAATGAATTATACTCGCACATACTTGTTAATGAAATTTATCAATTTTCACATTATATATATATATATATATATATATATATTATATATATATATACAGTCTTTCCTATATATAGATTCATAATTGATAGGATGATATAAATTATTAGAATATATGCTTAATTATGTCGCTAAATTCAGCATTAGTTTTCACATGTACATTATTTTCACATTTACTATGGAATAACCAAAATTTCTCTGTTTTCTGTCTCTATTTCTCTATGTTTGGTGCTGGTCTATCTTGGCAGAAGGTAACTGTTCTCGTTTTTAGTCAGTCCTTATAATTATAACAACAAAGAACGAAGCATTTTATGATATGTATTAACTGCTGCATGTTATCGAGCAAAAGCAAGTAAGATTTGCACAATCGTGAATAAGTCCACCACTTGACAAACGACGATACTATCTATATATGCGTGTAGCCATACGAAGCTCTTCGAGGCTGGCTAAGCGATACGAAAAGAAGGAGCGTTTTAGCATAGCCAGCGCGAAAACGAACTCAAGACTCTCGATTTTGTGATCTCCCGGAAGGCTCTCTTAAAAGTGACCGCTGTCTCGAGGTTGCTTTTGAACGAGTTAACTCCTCCACGCTATCGCTCGGCCAGCTCACTTTCCGAAACCGCGTGAATCTCTGAGAGCTTCGTTTGGCTATATTATGCGTGTGGTAATACCATCAAGGTTTGTCAAGTGATGGGATTTCGATTTATCCACAATTGTGCAACATTGATATCGCCGCGAGAATACAATTTCTTATTACAATAAAATTGAATTTGCATTATTCGTTCATCGATCGACGTAAATTAAGATGTGTAAGTCACGTTTCGGTTCTGTGAATTCGGACCCTCAACGATAAAATACAAAGAGATAACACAAAAAGAAAGCACAAAGTTCAAAAGTCGCAGACGTGTGTCGCTGCATGTTATATTATTAATGTTTTTCTTTTTTTGCGTTTTCTTAATTTATCAATTTATTTCTGAGAAGGTAATGCATATACTCATCATATGTTTGTACCAAAGAAACATTTTAAATGCTTATCTCAAATGCTTTTAACACAAGGCTCATTTCTCGTAACCATAACTCTCAAAATCTTTTTCATATTATTAGAGGTTTCGATTAATTTTAAGGGTTTTTTGACTCAAAACTGCATTTGTTAAAAAAAAAAAAAAGACATGTGTTTCAATCAAAATATTTCCCACCGCCTGCTCATCCCATCGGCAATAAATGAATCCCACGGTAGAAAAAGAACTTTACAAGCAATCCATTCATCGCTGAATTTTTTGATTTCTTCGAAATTTCGAAAGTGTGTACCTCGTTGCATCGATCGGAAGAAATAATAATAATCAGATGTCTGAGGAATACGCGGGATAAGACTTCCCTCTTTCCGAGTCCCAATAACTTGTCTTTCACGGACTTGGCGACTGACATTGTCCAAAAGAATTACCTTACGTTTTTCTTTTTACTCGCAATTGGAGATCGTTTTGTGTCGAATGCTTGCTGTAATTGTTGTTTCATTTGGTTTTAGCAACTCGTTCGTAATACGCAACGTCTTCGTAATGCAACCAAATACAGAGCTCTCATAATCTTGTTTCCACGAATATTACGTTTTGACGTCTGTGTTGATGGTTTTTAATATTATCCACTTTTCATCGCCAGTTACAACTTGATAGAAAAGCTACTTATTTTTGTGCCTTGAGAACAGTGAAACGTTATGACGATTTCGGTTAGCCAACTGAGACGTGGAATCCATCTTCCCTCCCATGGCTTTTAAACGATCATACAGTGGTATTGACCAAGTGGTTCTTTGAGCGTTTATAAATTGAATCTTCGTCCAATAATACATCCTAACATCAACCCTCAAAACTAACTGAAACACCTAATAATTTCAGTTTATACATATCCTGCTCGTGTAAATGCTTATCACATTGTTTTGTTATCTCTAACAACAAATGCGTATTAACTAATGTCACGTTATACACACGTGAATTGCTGGTAAGTTTTGTCTTGTGATATATAAAGTATATCGGAGAGTTTGTTGTCGTGAGATTGACATCAGGAACATATCCTTTTTACATTGTGTCGTACTAATATTATGCTTTGTTTTGTGCAGGAGGCATCGAATCCACCAAAAGGAGGTGGCCATCAGTTGAAAGCTTCAGAACCACAGAGGAAGCCACCTAGTTGGCTCGCTCGTTGTACTATACTCTGACCCCCCAAATATATGCAACTGTACAACGAGGCGCATCTATTTACTATCATTATTTACTTATGTTCATTTCGCCGAACAAATCGGGTGTTTTGTGAAACTTTTTATATCCCAAGCGTTGGGTCTAGTGGGTTTACTCCTTGATGATGATGAAATATACCCGTCGTACTAAAGACTCGGAAATTATTTACATAAATGTATTATTTGCCGAAAAAAACCCTCAGAGGAGAAAGTATTCGATTTTTCTAACTTATTGTATAAGAAGCGTCTTATGTTTTAGTTGGTACAGCGGTTATAGAATTTATGCTGCTCTCATTAAATTCGATTGGATGGATTTGCGCGATAGTATTGTGATAAGTAGGTTGATCGGGATCCTTGGTAGGTATCCTTTATCTATATCTTATCTATATGATATCAGAAAGTTTATGAAATCGGTCGGAAGCCTCCGCTGTAATTCTATCTATCTGTAATATATCAAATTAAATGAATTTCTCCTCTGGTTTTCTCATGTAACTAAAGGAGCATGATTTCTTTTTTTCATTTTATAGGAGAGAGTCAATATTAAGTATACAAGTTAGTACGTATGTTACTTAAAACTTTAGCGGCAATGGTATAATGTGTAAATTTTTTCGTGCACGAAATTCTATATCGTTTCAACGTGATTTACCATCGTGTATGTTTTCATTTAATTCGGAGGACGATGTGTCTAGAGAAATGCATATATAAAAACACATCACCGTGCAACATCACATACACACGATGATTAGAAGTAAAGAGGTACACACACATACACACACACATACGTATATATACATATAAATGTAAGATTAAGCAGTATCACGACCGTTTTTATACTGTTACTAAGCAAATAGCTTTTTCACAAAATTAACGGAAAAACGTTAAGTGTACTAGAGCATTAACTGATGGAATTAAAATGCCTTGTGACGAATTGAACAAGAACTTTACATAGACAATTTAGTTATATATCGCAAGATAGTTGTAGGATTTTTATTGGGTCTGCAAGAAAAAAGGGGATATGAGCATACAAGTACATACGCGAGGTTTCCGATAGTATTACGTTGCATGTAAGAATGGCTTCGTTTGCAGGGACCTACGATAAAACAAAGATTTTATTCGTTGGTTGTCATAATGTGTATCTTTTTAACAGAAATTTGCATTTTTACCATTTGAACTTGTTCGACTTATACTTAAATATACAGACGATTATTATAATATATTTTTTATTAATCCTGTACATATATATGTATACGTGTCATTATACGTTCATTTATGAAATCCTATCCTGCTTTCCTTCATGTAGCTGGAGATTATATTATTTTTTTGAATAAACATTTCCAGAAGCTACATTTCCGATCGGCGGCTGCGAGACTAACATGCGTTCCAAATTGTTAATTTTTGTCGTATCTTTTTCATGTATCACGTACGTACACAGACCTACAGTTTGTAAACGTTGGTTCAGACTGACAATCGCCTCGCAAGATTTCACCAGCCATCGATGCTCTTGTGCAAGTTTTGCGATGTTGCTGAAAAACCAATAAATCCGACTATCGTGTGCCAAGGTCTTTTCCAAATTTATCCAAAAATATATCTCATTAGGATTACATATATAAAGTAAGAGTTAAGTTACATATACGTAATGTAAACTTAACATTACTTAAAACAGCATATTTTACACTTGTTACATAGCAATAAAAACATTTTCTTTAAAACTTGGTACGTCAACGTGAAGTCAAACTTACTGATCAATCACGTTAATAGTATGCAAATTATTACATTCAAGATCCTTTAACATTTGTCCCAATCTCTCATTGGTTGCGTCTTTTTGACGTAGATTCTCTTCTAGATTACGAACTTTCATCTTATATTCAGTTTCCCACATTTTCGTGTTTGAGGCTTGATTCATCAGAGAATCGTATTGTTTTGACATTGCATCGTATTTGACTTGTAATTGAACGCACTTGATTTGATTTTCTGCTCGCTGCTGTTCTAACTTGTTCACTCTATCCATAGCTGCTTTTAGCTGCATTTTTAGCTCGTGAGAGACCCCACGTTCTTTCTCTAACTGCAATTTTGTACTGTATAAAGCGTGACGAGTTTCCAAAAGTTCTTTCTGCATCAACTGTAAGGTATCCTAAACCAAGACCATATTAATTTAATTAATCGCTCCGATAATATCTAAAATAGTATTACAAAAGAGGTCAAATTTTTTTCTTTTCTCAAAATATATCAAGAGCAACTACTTAAAGTTGAAACTTATTTGGCCGGAACAACGAAACTTACAATTACTAATATTATTCTATCTTTTATTTTTGAAGAAATTATCATAGATTTAATACCGTCGAAATATCAGAGATTAAGTAGAAGAATGATTACTAATTGATATAAAAATATTGGTCACAACCCTCCTGTACGATTTGATTTAAATACTCTTTTATTCGCTTTACGAATACCTAAACAATTCGGATCTAGATTTAAATTTCACAAATATTTACTTTCGTATTACTTTTATATAGAGAAAAAATACAGATATAGTATTATACATATAGGCATAGAGACATATAGGTTTATTGAGCATAAATGGTTAAATACGCCAAGTGTTGATCAATATAGCAGTTGCGCTCACCGTGTTGTTTTGCAATTCGTACAACTTTTCACGAAACTGTCGTTCCAAGTGAGAAACATTTTGTACGCTCGGCGTCTTTGTATTCTCCATGACTGTGATATATAATCGTCTCGGAATCTAATTGATTAAAGTTTAAATATATCCGATGTTCCCAGCGTGTCTAAAATTCACAACGCATCCGAAGTTTTTGCCCAAAGTTTGATTTCGTATTAGCAACCCTCTTCCAGTGGGACCCGATAAGAACATTCCGATATTTGCTGCCAGTACTGAAAACTTATATATAACATAAACTTTTAGTATTAACGTTCAGAATACGGGTCGATACTTTCATATAGATTTTAGTATCTATTAAATGTAGAAATCAATTCTCGGCCGCTAAATTCAATCAATTGTAGCACTTATTTAAACCGAACATTTTTTTTGCCGCCACATTAGAGTCTTGAAATACCAACTTAAAAAACCATAATACTCTGCAGTTGATACAACCTCAAAAAGCAAGTAGGCACAATGACGTCCGACAAACGGCATGTCAGGTATTGTGTGCTTTTAGCGTTCCTGCTAAGAAACAATTTAGCTAGCGAAACTAAGGAAATGATTTGTTCAGCCTTAGGGGAGGATACTGTATTCTACAGCACGTGTAAACAGAGGTTCCGGGAAGGACCCACGCAGCACACTTTATCCTAAGGATATCCGAAATTGTCTCAAATTTATATGACGAACAATAATTGAAAGGAATCCTAGTGATTCAATAATAATAAATTAGCCCCCAATTTCTTTCAGATTACTGAGCATGCAGGCTTCGGTTAAATTTGGATGTATCGGGAAATGTACGGCTGATATTCCACCTGAAGAATTGGATAAACTTACAGATAATATAAGCAAAACTTTGTCTCATCCGGAAAGTAGAAAAATATTTAAGAAGTATCTGAAAAACGGCAGTCTTAAAACTAGCTTGGAGTGTCTAGCTTTATATGAAATGTGTTCCGAGTTACTTTCTAGGGAAACAAATCAACCGTAAGTCCATTATAATGTTAATTTATATAAATCATATATGCAAACGCACTAGGCAGCTACTTGGAAAAATATTAGAAATATATACTAAAAAAATAATATATCTCTATTTCCACGTCTGAAGAATTTTCAATATTATTGATTAAAATGCAATTTGTAGACAATTGAGTGAATCGAATGTGGAATCTCTTTGCGAAGATGTAACAATAGTGAAGAAGACCGCTGAGAAGCTGGATGTTCAAGAAATTGACTTCACACTCTTGATGCAATTTCGCACTGCTTTAACGAATAAAATCAGAAGTGAACTGCTCCAAGTACTTACAAACACCATAAATCGATTGCAAGATGCTTTAAGCCACGTACACAAGAATTTTAGACGATACGTTCTGGAACCATGTCCAAAAACATTAGATTTGAACAAAAGGAAGTAAGAGCTTAATAGCTGTTACTTGAAGGTTATCTCAAGTAAGATATTAATGTGAAATTAGATGTGAGTTTTTCAGTGGAATTACAAATATGTCACATATCATATGATTTAAGTGAAAAATTAAACCTAACTTTGTATTTCAATCTTCCTACCGTGTGAAACAAGTTTCAGGTAATTACTATTATTACAGTCCCTTTTTCTATATGTTGCAAAAGCTGTGATATATATATACACATGTCCTTGTCATTTATATTTTTACACACAATACTTGCAAAGTTTACTCGAAGATGTACTTAATATTTAAGAAATATTTATGTTACCACAAAGTAAACTGAAGTTATATATAGGGTGTCCTGCTATAAATGGCTATTCTCTAAACTAAAAAACATAGACCACAATAAATATATGTTAAATTAAATAGTTACCTTCCTCTATGATTTTGAACGTTATCCTCTTTTCCGCAATGCTCCCCGATTCGCCGTTGGCCTTGGCCAATCGCTATCGCCTATCAGGGGCTCGCACAGGCGCACGCTCAATCGTCGCCGGTTTCCACCAATGTTCTCTCTCGCTGCTGGCTTTGGCCAATCGCCCTGAACCCACGTGGATCTTGCGCACGCGCGTTTCTCTTTCCTGGTCCGGTTGGCGCCAGTCGGTCGGATTAACCTAACCTCGTTCCCTTAACCTTACTTTATAGTGGACTGGAGCCAGTCGCTGAGATGGTCTAACTTTGCTTTCTATGTTGACTGTGACCGTGCTGTATTGACCGGAAATTCCCTCTAGTATCCCCTCTAGGGCGTTTCTTATTGTGAATGTATTTGGGAAATGACTTTCGGTTTTTCGTCAAATTGAACTTGTTAGTTTTATTCACGATATCAATAAAAAACTCTTCTTCATTTTTATCTTTTTATGCCGTCTTTTCTTATGCGGCTTCGCAAGCGCGTCTTATAATTACAGCTTATTCTGATCTCACACGCCTTTTTGATATAATAGTATTCATTAAAAAAAACTCTTAGATACTTCCCGCTTTTAACACGTAAACTTATAAAAATAAGGCTGTTGTAAATTAAAAATAAAAAATTAAACTGTTTTATACGCAAAATAAAAAATAAACTGTTGTAAGCGTAAAATTATAAAAATAAAGCTCTTAATTGCGCCTCAGTTCTCGGTCCTGGTTCCTGGTCCTTTCTCCTCGCGGTCGGCCGCGCTCCCCTCCGCGACTGTACTTACGATTGCAGCGGGATCATCTTGCATCGTGGATATAAAGCCGAACGCAGCCCTAATCTCTAACACATGCGTTCACAAATATAGGCCGGTATTCATAATCGTATCTTAAGCCAGCGGCATTAAGCGATGCTTGTTTTCACGCTGGATGGAAATACTGCGTTTTGATTGATGTATTGTCATCCATTTTTGGAAATGCACCAATCAGAGCGCAGTATTTCTATCCAGCACGAAAATAAGCATCGTGTGCCGCTGGGTTTATATTTAGATCGTCTTAAGTCCATCCTCAGATGTTTCGTAGCCAATGAAATGAATCGTACAGAATCTGAAGATAATCTTAAGACGGTTTTATATATAAAATCCGACCATGAACACTGGCCATAAGTATAGCAGTGTACCTTTCAATACATTTGTACTTCTGTGGGCTTCACTGTGGCCGCGTGCAGAATTCGTCGATAGTGTAGTTTTATTTTGTCGAGCAATCGTGCAGTGGTAGGCATCATGTGCGCGAAAATGCGGTCTATCATATTTAAATATAGAATAGAGGTTACTGGGGAAAGTAGGACATACGCGTGTGCAGTGAAAAAAAAGGGAACTGCGATCCGGAACAAACGCGTAGAAATGATCATTGATATTTGTGACATTGTGTAATAGTCATATGAAAGGAATGTTTCTTTTTCTATTTTGGTGCATTTTATTTTCTGAATTTGAAATTTTTCGTTATGGCTTTGCTTTTTTGGGAATGTTGATTTTGTTTATACCAATGTTTAATATACGGCCCAACTAATAATTTTGTATCAATTATAATTATTTTGGCGATGTGTGTAAACAAACTGTCACAATTGATACTTTGACACTTCAGAAAAATTTTCGATTGCCGTCGACAGGCGCTTGCTCAAAAGGATTCTGGAGTCACCGTTTTACCGCAAATATCTTAGTGCTAGATTCGTTAGCTGCACAGAATTAAAAATCCTTTTGCACAATTACAATACGTTAATATAGGCAAGTTGACTTTACTCGAAAAACGAAGAAAATTAATAGATTATAAAACTTTTTTTCGTTTTTCGAGTAAAATCAATCGTTCTCGCATACATTAACGTGTGTATTATAATTGTGCAAAAGAATTTTTAGTTCTTCTTTGAATATAATACCAACAAATTTACGATAAAACAGGACGATTTCAAGATCTCTTTAAATTATATAAAGAAACAAACATTTTTATACAAATATATATATATATATATATATATATATATATATATCTTCTGTATAATATTATAATTACAAACTATAGTTATTGAAAAATATTTATAATACAGTAGTTGTTGGCAGAATGAAATTACATATACCCAGTAAGCAATCTGTTAGCAGTCAGCCGATAGATTGGCGACAAATTCGATCAGGGTCTGTCCACAGACATGTATAGACAGCTGTGTTTGGGTTAAGCTCGTGTTCTGCTGATATGATTTCATGATAGATTGATGGCAAAACCTGACCGGATCCTACAGCCAAACTGCGCGCAGCAAAGTCTACTTGATTTTTGTTGCTAATTGTCTGCTTGCTACAGGCTCTGCTCGATTCTGCTGGCATAGCATGTGAATAGGCTCTGTTAGATTTCTGGCAGCTGGCAGTTTGGCAACATCATCAGATAGATTCTGTGTCAGGTTTGTTTCCTCTCTGCTATCAAAAATTTATAGCAAACGGTTCAGAATCTGCTTACACAGGTTTGGCTACCTGAATATGTAACAGTAACTATCAAAGTGTTAATTGGTATCATGTCAGCTTTATATATTCCCTACCAGCGGATTAAAAATTGCAATATTTTTTTATGAGTTTTGCAACATATTTTTTCATATCCAATAGGAAAATGTATCTTTTGGAAATTATTAAAAAACCAATTTTCCCATTGAATACAGTATACGTTGCAAAACTTATTATGCAAAAATGTTGCAACCTTTAATCTGTCAACTCTGTATGTCTGTGTATACGTATGTATATGTACATATACATACCTTATTGTTTATGCATTACTAAAAAATTACTATGCATTACTAAGAAATTTAAATAATTTATTACAAAAGTACTATAATGTTTGATATATGTTAAATTAGCGATATAAATAACATTTTACACTGATTATATAATATATGTAGCAATTAATAATTTTATATTGAATTATTTTTATTTCAATGAGGCGTGTGAATAATGATATGTTAACGAATAACAAGATCAGGTCGGATCTCATTCACGCTTGCTGATACGTATGACTGTATGAACTTGTTATTCGAGCTTGTTATTATTTATACTTAAATTCGTACGGTATAAGGTAAGTTAGTACATCGTTATTTACATGCATCGTCAAAATAAATACAACTTAATAGAATATTTTTGTTTAATATGCGTACCAAGTAATCAGTGTTAATTAGCATATTGTCAAATGATCTTTCAGTGTTAATAGACGAAGTTTATTTTTCATATTAATGGGGGGGGGGGGGTTATACCATAAAATATTAACATATTTCATAATCCTTATTTCTTTTTATTTGCTTGATAAAATTATATATATATATATATATATTTCTAATTAATCTTTTTTATCTGTTGGAAAAATGAAAGTAGCACAAGGTTATGAGTATAATCACATATGTTTGTGTGTGTAATATAAATATATAAATCTGTAAGAATATATATTATCATATAAATATACACATACATAAGTACATATGTATGCATACATTCGTATAAAATAAAATCATATTTGTCTTTTAGTTGTACTTTCAGTTCTGTCTTTTCTTCAGTCTTCTTTTTATTCTCCTTTTTCTTGTGATACTTATATTCATATTTTTATCATTTTAAAAATGCAAAGAATAAGTAACGTGTATATCTATTTTTTCATATATACAACTAGAAAAAATAAATCTAACACTTAAATGAAACATTTTAATATTTATAGCCTTTTTTTATATTTTATACTCATATAATTTATTTAATGTTATAAATACCCTAATTCTTAGATTTATTAGTCTTATTTAAAGGTCACATTATGTTACTTTGAGGATAAAATGTGGCAATGTTTGATGCACGCGATGGAAACCCACGTATATATGAGAGAATGATTCACTTAAAGGTGGACATATATCTAGTAAACGAACAGCGAACGTATGAACGTTTGTATAACTCTAGCCCCTCCCCCCTCCCCCTTAATACAAAATGAATAGTAAAGATATATATAATTATGCGTTCTTTATACGCTCTTACAAACAATTCCGATCCAAACAATTTCGATTTTTGGGGTAGATATGTTTGAAGTTTCGAAAAAATCCGTTTTCAGTTTTTTTTTACATTTTCTAGTAGCGTGAATTTTTAGAAATATTTTTTCATTTAACGAATTGAAAAATCGAAAAATTGAATTCAGGAGAACAGAAAATGTGCGGGCAGTCTGAAAGCCGGCGACATAGAGTTGCGCGTTACGCAATTGATAGAAAATGAAGCCGATTTGTTAAGTTCTGTCTTAGAATGACTTGTTATTTAGATGCATCGGTCATTACAATCAAAATGCCAATGAGAGTTTTCACTCAGTTGTGTGAAAGATAGCTCGAGAAGATTCTTTCGACGGAGCCGATATTGTCGCTATTGGTACGTACGTAATTGTAGCGGTATTTAATGATCAAAAATACGATTTCTTGATTCAATAAGCGCCTTATCTTAACCAGAAAGAGGACGACTCATATACATTGTAGTATGTATGACAAAGAAATGGACATCATTTCCAACAAATTTTAATTTAACAAAATAAAGTTCTTAAAAAGTAAACTTACTTGTTACTTATCCCCGATTTTTTTTATATTAACAATATTTAGAAATGCATACAGAGACAGGAAAGTCAGCTAGATCCAAACAGTAATCTTGACGAATCATCAAAATGCATTTTTTCTCGAAAATGAAGACTGTTATGAAAACATGTTATTCCATATTTTCGATTTATTTTTTTTTTTTATGTAGAACCACCCTCTTTCTGTATCTATATGTGTAGTTATTTTTGCAAAATTGTTGCTTGACAAATCCAGGAAGCAATTCCACGAATACGGAAACAGCTCGATTGTAGGTGTCGGGATGACGCGCCAGGCCGCAGTAGATCACGATGCAGACGTATAGTTATTCAACGTAATACGGTGGGGATAAAATCGACCGAAATATCGTTCTTGTGCGTTCTGGGGCGACGATGACATCGTTGGGCCATTCTCGCTGCTCCGAGTGTCGTATCGAGTTGGTCTACGAATAATCTCTCCAATATTGCCACGTTAAAAAGAAAAAAAAAAGAAAAAGGGTAAGCGTTTATTCTCCCCATCACTCGTCCGCTCGTCTTAGCGATACGTCTCACTGTTAATCACCCTGTCGTATCTGAACGCGCATAGCAATCGAAGATGTAATGTTCGTTTGATAAAGATCTGCTCCATTGTAAACGTTTACAAAATACATAGCTGTGTTTTTTCTCCGAGTTTTTTTTACTTTTGTACAGTATATACATATTTATAAGCAATAGAATTTATTTAAACTATAAAAATGACCAATAAAACATTTTCCGAAAAGCCGACAATGCATATAGTTACGACATTTTGGTATTGTTGTTATAAGATAATGCGATAAAAGTAGGACATACACGACATATACATATGCGCAAGTTACCCTCAACTGTCTTTTTTATTTTTTTTTTTTTATACTAAACTAAACGAATACTAACAATTTTGATTACAGGCAACGAATGATGGAAAGTAACTCAAAGTACGTAGTGATACCTCTTCACCATCGGCGTGATTTGATTACAGATTGTTGTAAGTTACTTAATTCAGAGTGGCCTCGAAGCGAAACTGCACGGTGTGTTCTCCTTAATTTCGAAAGACAGACTAAGATAACTGGTATGAGAATGTGCCAAATAAACTCACCATTCCTCTATTGTTACGTTGCAGAATGAAATCTCTGAATGTGTCTTGCGACAATTTTCCTACGTGTTTAATTCTGATTAACGATGAGAACAAAGTCCTTGGACACTGTAAAATATCTTTAGTGGCTAAATCGAAAGTTAGTTGCTTTATAGAATCAGGTAGGTGAAAACAGCACGACAGTATTCTAATACTTCAACATATGTGCATAACAAATGTGTGCAGTATTAGAATTAATTCCAGCGATGTGGCAATAAATCGTTGCTTTTTGTAGTAAAGCCACAAAGTGCCGTATTACAAATTTGTGATATTTTAGTTGTAATCGACTATCGCTGTAGATCTCAGGGATTAGGATCTAGATTGCTGCGTGGAGTAGAAGAATACGTGGCGAAGAGAGGCCTGAAGAATATCTACTTAAGGACGGACGGTCAAGAAGTGTTTTACTATAAAAATGGATACAAATTGTGCGACCCGTTTAAAGCGTATGGCATTAACGACATCATAACCGTTAGTTCACCCCTCAGCAGAATAAAATTCAGAGAACAAAATGGCGATCAATCTGCTAGACAACCGCCGCCGCCGCCGCCACCGATGCCATCGTTTCAACTATCGAAATTTTTCGACATGCGAATGTCATCTCAGAAAACACACATGATGAAGAAATTGTGATAGTAGCGTTACATTTAAAATGCTTCGCGACAAAATGCGCATATCTTGCATTCGTTGACGTTACAATTCATGCCAATTGACAAAACTTAATGCTTGTAGATGAATATAATTAAATAGAACGAGCAGAAACGGGATTAATCATAGAACGAAATAAATAGCTTAGTATTTTTATAAAAGACTCAAGTACTTTTATTTGGAAAATCAGATATTCAATAATATGCTCGTACAAATGAAACATAGAAGTCATTTCAGATGAAAATAAGTTGAAAACGAATGTATTTGATGTTTCAATTGGCTTGAGTAGCGTGAGTGATACTATATTTATTATAAACCAGAGTCTATAAAAAACCGATATTGTTTCAGGATTATGTGACTTTTTTTCTAATCGCGAGAAAATGATAATTTGTTGTATAATTCATAGAAATTTCACTCAAAGGTCAATTAGCAAGCTCAATCTTCAAGACAAAAATGTTAGATCAAATTTTCATTCACAAAAATATCGATATATTTATTTTTAATCTATAGTAAGGATATATGCGATAGTTCTGGAACATTCTACATTTTTATTCTCTCTATTTTTTGCTTATAGATTTAATATAGTTATTTTTATAATCTCAATATATGCCTAATTTAACTAAAGATATGCTTATTTTTAGCGTTTTAATCTGTGAATCAAACTACAGTTGTTACCTATCTAATTTCATTCTATCTTTAATTTGTTATCTCTCAGCCGTACATTAAAACGATACTTCTTTTACATTTAATTCATGTTATTTGTTGTACAATGAAAATTCATCATGTTGCGCTCGCAATACCGCATATTTTCTGGTGATATTCAGGATTTTCGAGGCACTCGATGAGAAACGCGCCCAAGTCATATTTGGAGATTGCACGGCCCGGCGAGGAATCGAATTTGACAGTGTACTTCGATTTAGGTGTATCTGGAAGAGACAAAACTCATTGAATTTCTCGAACATATCGACAGAGTTTACGTCTTCAAACGTATACCTGCTATATGCGGCGGCAATACTGCCACCCATTTTAGCTCACTCGCTTTGATCATATCGAACATGCGTTTGTGATCTGCATTCAGATCTTTAAATATCGCAGGCACTGCTCCAGGCTCGTAGAATAAAAATGCTGGAAATTTTAGATAATAAAGAAGCCATTAGTTGGTGAAATAATGAAACGCCAGATCTTGCTCGGTTTTTCGAATCAATTTGCCTGCACATTCAAAACAACGATATTACCGCGAAGAGCTGCGTTTGGGCGCTCCCCGTCGCGTAGATAGTGTAGCGAAGATTTTCGCAGGAGTGATATGAAACAATTTATATCACTCCGGGCGGAAGAAGAGCGGGCCACCTGAAGAGGTGGCGTCGTGGGAGAACCGATAAGGTGAATTCATGGTGCTATCGGGAGGAGCAGAGATTGCTAACTAACTCTCATTGCAGGAAGCAATCGAAGCGACAGCGGAAGACCGACGAAAGGGAAAGAATTGGCGCAACGGTCAGCGCGCGAGTCACGCGCCGAATAATCTCGGCCAGCAAAGCGATCTAGAGAAGAGTGAAAGAAAGCGATCTGACTACTGCGTCACTGTAAGATCAGACAGACCCCCTTTGTCTATTTGCTCGCTCCGGGTATCTGCGTCGGAGACACGAAGGAAAATCGAAGGGGAGCTCGCGGATAAAGCCGCGTTCGGGTCTTAAAGATGAGCGATCGAGTCGCGACGGAATTCTTTTGAAAAAAGACGAGACGGCGGGCGGAAAACGTTTGTTTCTAGGGAAATGGCGCGATATCGTGCGAGAGATATATTGCCGGCCGATCGAATCTACGTGCGGAAGACCGCGTTCTGCATGTTAAAATATACATTCGCTTGTTATCAAGCGTTTTTTCTCGCTCTTTTAATCCCATGACAACATCCGTGCAGACGAGAGAGACTTGGGAAATTGCAAATCTTACTAATAACTTTATCCTCCTGTTGGAGTTCGGTTGGAATTCACCCCGATATCTCTGTAATATCTTAAACGTCTTTGAGATTCTCCGCGAGATGTCTCTATATAGTCTCTTCTATCGGTTTTTATCATTGTTATCAGTCCAATGTTTATTGCTCTATTTTGTCAACCTACACAAAACTATTAATTTGTTTTTTAACAATGAATTATATGGCTAAAAATTGCTGACAATTTTGCCGATTAATCATCAATTTGTTTAATTGGATCTTTAAANTTATACCTTACCTGACAGGCATACAGAAATTAGTTCAACATTGTGTGTTTTCATGGCATCCACTATGTTCTTCAGACCGTGTGATAATACAGTAGTAGGACCTAAAAGTATACAGCATAAAATGGAAAAAATGCAATACATCATTGTGTGAAAAAAAATGTAAATATTAATAAAAAAAAAATATATATATATATATATATGTTATATACTCAAATCATTTCTTGTTCCAAGCACTACCACTACAGCATCTCTACCAGCTATTGCTTTTGCAACTTGATCTGCCTCAGTAACATCTCCAACAACTGATTCAATCTTATTTTTAAGGTCTTTAGGAACTTTGGCTGTGTCTCTTACAAAAGCTCGTACATCTAAACCTGTATATGTAATCGCAATAATAAATTCATAATATAGAGAAACCTCTTATAAAGTACAACTATATAATAGTTGTAATACACATATATATATACAATCCTTTACATATTCCTAAAAATATTTTATAACAGGCATCTTCAAGACGTCTGTCATCTTAAAGGTATTATAAGATGATGTTTGCCGTCTTATATAGGTATAAAAAGCCTGTAACATGTATTTTAGACATGCATGTTGTCTAAAAATGGTTGTTGCATAAAATTTGAATGAATTATTTCATAATATATAACTTCTAATTAGTCAGAAAAGATAAGTTTTAGAAACGCTAATTACATAAAATTATACTTTTATCGTAAACAACGAAATCATCGGCGGTATAGTATCAATGATACATAAATTTACCACCGCGTCATGATTTTACATAATGTACGCGTGATGTGAAATTTGGAAAAACCATCCATATAATCGGAATTACCATTTTCTACTGCCGATCTCAAAACGCACAATCCCGTGTTTCCAGTAGCACCGAATATCACGACCCGCTTCATCTCGCTGTTTATCGATAACTGTGTGCGCCATGCGTGAGCGTATTATTATATCATCGCCATAAAAAGACATAATGCCGAGTCATTTTCGAAAGCGCCGTTCGTAATGTTATCAGCAAATACATTATTGCGCTGATAGGTTATACAACGTAATAATCAGCTTCATGGAAAACGGTGTTCCAAGATATACTGATAATTTATCTAATACGTACACTAGATATTTTCAGTACTGATAGTATATTTCGGAACTCATTCATATTTTTTTTAGAGATCCCTTATCATCGTTGCGTTAAAATGCGCAAGTTGCTATAAAAGTTCATCCGTTTTTTTCTAATTGAACTGGCTGCAAGAAATTTACATATATACACACTACGTGCGTACGTACGAGATTCTCACGCTTCAATTTGCGTTAATTGTTTAAACTAAGTCGCAGTTCAGCTAAAAAGAATAGATCAAATATCCAAAGTGAGAAGCGATACAGAACGCCTGAAAACATAGACTACATTTATACGATAACCTAGAGAGCCGTTAACTCGGTCACGTGGTCTGATCACGCGCTGATTGGCGCTGTTGTGTCCTGGACAAGCGGTAGAATATGCGATTTAAGAAGATGGGGAGCTATTGATTTATCAAATTAATTTGGCCTCTCTATTGTTTTTTTTTATAATATGGCCTGAGACAGGGTTGCCAGATTGAACTAATTTTCGCCATTCTGGCTGCCACACAAAACAAATTCGCGAATGAAAAAAGGGCACCCGGACTGGGCTATCTCGGATTTCAGCCCGGCGAAAATTGGGCGCACTTCCGATTGGTTATTATGAAGTGATCTTATAATTGAAAAAATTATGATTTACGGTAAACGAAAATGTTAATATTATGTTATTGTTCTATATGCTACATAGAACAATTTGTAATTTGTTCAGTTTTTTTTTTCATTATTTTGAAAATAGATGTATCCTTAAGCCGAGCAAACCAAAAACTCTACAATATATTTTGAGGTTAAAATCCAATTTACCCCTGCCGTTATTCCTTCTCATGAGTAGCAATAGGAGCGGAAAATGTTCTATAAAGGTTTAATCACGTGACATTTTTGCTGCGGCAATGTGCTGGGCTGCGTTCGAGAGCCATCGCTCGCCGCTCTCTCTCTCTCTCTCAGTATCTCTCTTACTTCAACGTAGACCCGAGTAATATTTCCGAACGCATCCCTGAGTATGAAAAGGCACCTCCACATTCAACCGAGTTAAGTGCATACACGCACGCACACACGCCAATCAGATTCACGAGCTTTGTAACAGTTGCTTTCCCTGTTGAACGCAGCCATTATCTAACGAATTGCAAATTTTGGACATTAATCCCCTAAAAAAACAATTAGATTTATTACGTAAATTATGAGAGATATCTAGTCCTGACATGGTCTATCTGATTTTAATACTGTGATTACTGTTATTATTTATAAGGAATGAAAAATGTGTTGGAAAAGCAGAGGAGAAAAGAGATATTAGCACGTGTACGGTGTACGATAATATTCGTGAATAGGATGGTATTACGAAAAATTAGCCACGACATCTTTCAAAGTTATCGGCATGTTCACATCAAAAAGAAGGGTCCTTGTGTTAAGAAAAATGTTCAACGGTCGTACGCGACATCGCCAAGACTCACTCCGCAAGAGGTATTTCAATTATGCTTCATTCTTTTAGCAAGTGTGTGTATGTTGTGCACAGACTGTGTTTCAGGTCACAAACATCTTGCAAGCCAACGAATACACCAAAGAATTTGATGGTTTAGGTTCCATAAAATATTACGATTCAAATCAACTGGCATCTAATAATCCTATAGAGGACACACGATCCGAAGCTCAATGTTTGCTGACGAAAGGTATAACACAGAAGCGAATAGAGTAAATTTCTTTCTTGCTGGAATTATCCATGTTATCGGTCGATTTAACAACGGATCGTGCATAGATAATTCAAATATGTAATTTTAATGGCCAGGCACTGACATTCTCGAGCTTCTGGATAACAAGGTCTCACGTCTCTATGAAATTGCATGGTAGTGATAAACGAAGTTTTCTAATTTCTCATTTACCACAGGTGTGTTACTGGGAGTTTTTGACGGTCACGGCGGTAGTGCTTGTGCACAAGTGGCGTCAAAGAGATTGTTTCATTACATATCGGCATGTTTACTGCCGCCGAAATTGCTGCAACAGTATTTAGATTCTGTCCGTTCTGAGAAAAAGTTAGAATTACTTCGGACCTTCAACGACAGGGTGGAATTTGTGGCTGAAATCAGGGATCTTTACCAAGCTAGTTTCTCAAGTTTCGCAAAGGACTTGATACAATCAGACAGCGGGGGAGAATTTCGAGTGGAGAAGGCGTTGGAAAATGCGTTTCTCAGACTGGACAACGACCTGTCGAACGAGGCTCTGTCGCAACTGAACAAGAAAGATGCCGCGAGAACTCTTGCAGTTGCGATGTCCGGCGCAGTAGCTGCTGTGGCGCACATAGACGGTCCTCATCTGCATGTCGCCGGTGTTGGGGATTGTCAAGCCGTCTTGGGAGTACTCTCGGGTAATTTTCCCGTCTAATATGACTTCAGAACTTGTTAACTATTGATTAATAAGTTCTTCGCACATCGATAGAGAACGACGGATGGTCAGCCAAGATGATGACTACGGAGCATAATGTTGATAATCGTGCGGAGGTAGAGAGAATTTTGTCGGAACATCCGTTGAGCGAGCGATCGACCGTGATCAAGATGGAGAGACTGCTCGGTCAGTTAGCGCCGCTTCGTTCACTGGGCGACTTCCGTTACAAGTGGAGCAAGAATGTTATGAAGCAAGCTGTGGTGCCGTTCCTCGGAGAGACCGCCATTCCTCCGAATTACCACACGCCACCATACTTGACGGCGAGCCCGGAAGTCAAGTATCATAGACTGACGCCTAGAGATCAATTTCTTATATTAGCCAGCGACGGATTATGGGACCTGATCTCACCGTTGCAAGCTGTGCGCTTGGTCGGGGAACACATGAGCGGTAAAGTCACGCTCAGTCCCTTGAGATTACCTCGCAAAAATATGAAGCTGTCGGACATAAACGAGATGTTGCTCCAACGCAAGGAAGGTCTTAAGAAGAAGCCTCACGACAGCAACGCGGCAACGCACTTACTGAGGAATGCCTTGGGCGGCACGGAATACGGTATAGATCATGCGAAATTGTCGCAATTGTTGACTCTGCCGAGCGAAGTGGTGCGGATATTTCGTGACGACATCACCGTGACGATCGTCTACATGGATTCGGAGTTTCTGAGGCACTGCCCACCCTGAGATAACGACTTTCCCCCCCAGTTTCTCGCTATTTTTTTAATATTACTGTAAATTCATCGATTTATATATCCGTATACAGCTTGTTATTTATTTAGTTAACAATAAAAACAATTTACATGGAAACAGCATCCTTAATATTGGTAAATATATATATATATATATATATATATATATTTACTTTTATATATATATATATTTGTGTATTATGTCACATAATAAATGTTTCTCTGTTCTTACAGATTTTTCAATTTCTTAAATTCGCTAGCCGCACAATTCGATGCCGATTTTTTTCCTCGCGTACAAACGCTGTCGCATTAATCGACTCAAAATATACAGTAGCACAATATTAAAACTATGTAGATGATTAGGAAGTAACTATAAAATCTATACGATTTATAATTAATTTGTTAGGTACATATCGTGATTATGCGTGTAATGCACTAAATACATAGATCGCCATACACCTTGCGTGATAACAGTAAACGTATCACAAACGTTTCTCCTACTTTCAATGATAAAAAATAATTTACCTTCTGTCCGACTGATAAATCTAAGTAAGTTCTTTCATTATCTCAAAATATAGTTTATTTCGTAATTTATATGTCATTCCCACTGGATGGTGTTTGTTAAATAAGCAACAGGCTCTCACAATATTCGTTCTTCTGCGCGTCGCACTTAAAACGAGAAGTAAACAAGGAGATGAGAAAAATTAAACTCGTTTCCGGATATATTTATACAGACACTGTCGGGTGTTATTCATAAGAGGAATAAGGCAAGCGTGTACAACTAAAGATATTTGTTGAGTTAGAAATCCGTTAATATAATTACGAAGATCGGGAAGGATCTCTCTCTCAGCCCTCTTGACCAAAATCCTCCTTAAATTTATCTAATTTTTTCATATCTTCTTCGTTCACTGTGGGACGGGTTGTTCCTAACGATTTCAACATATCTTTCTAAAAGGCATATGTAAAAAAAAAAACATGTGATAATTGTGATATATACAGGGTGTGAGCAACGAATCACTCTGTACAGTTGGCATTTTTTCCGAAAGATCAGGAAATAATATTCGTGGTAGGACGGATAAGATCTTACCATGGTAACTGGCGGCTCGAATAATTTATCACCATCCACCTCCATCCAATTCATTTCTATAGCAGCCGGATCGCCAGGGGAGCACGGAGTAAGTAAGTCGTTGACAATAACGGAAGGATCCTTCGGTGATGGGCCCTTAACGCGCTTAAAATGCGTGGCCGTTTGCACTTGCCGGACCGGCTGCATCAGGGCGTCCCGTACAATGATACTTATATCAGCTCCCGAGTAACCTTCGGTGGATGCCGCTAGCTTCTTGAAGTCCTCGTCCGTCAAACAATGCGACGTGTTGCCCAGGTGGATCTTAAACATGACGGCGCGTGCTTGTTCCTCGGGCAATGGAATGTAAATTCTTTTCTCGAATCTTCTTCTGATCGCGGAATCCAGCACCCAAGGTATGTTGGTGGCTCCCAGTACAAGTATGCCGTCATTGTCAGACCCCACACCTGTTCATCGCGTTCAAGTGTCAGTTACGAAGGATAAGAGATTACGGCGTAATAAATACTGCGGATCCCTTGTACCTTGCATCTGAACCAGGAATTCCGTCTTTATCCTTCTTGCGGACTCTGACTCATTGTCGGAACGTGACGAGCAGAGGGAGTCTATCTCGTCGATAAATATGATGCTAGGTTTGTGTTGCCGCGCTAATTCGAAAAGGTTCTTTACAAGTTTCTCCGATTCTCCTAACCACTTGCTCACTAAATCTGACGACGATACGGAGAAGAAGGTGGAATTGTTGGCCTCAGTCGCGACTGCCTTCGCCAAGTATGATTTGCCGGTACCAGGTGGCTGAATGGAAAACATGAGCATTTTACCTCCACAGAGAGATAAGCTGGTTTATTACAGAATTTTGTTGAATCTTAAATTACTTACACCAAATAACAGAATACCCTTCCAAGGTATGCGTTTACCAGTAAAAAGATGAGGGAAACGAATCGGTAGAATGACAGCTTCCTTCAAAGCTTCTTTGGCTCCGTCTAGACCAGCCACGTCGCTCCACTTGACGTCTGGCTTTTCAATGATTATCGCGCCTTCTAGTTTACTTTGCAATTTCTTCTTTTCAGGATCACTGTCGGTGTCGCTGTCACCGCTGTCGCTCTTCTTATCTTCACTCTTGGAGTTTTCCTCCCCCGCCTTCACTGGTTTCTTCTTGCTCTTTTTCAAATAAGCTTTCAATTTCTCCGCCCTTTCCAAATACTGCATACATTTTGCTCTTATACTTTCCTTCGCCCTATCTCCGTGTGTATCGTCTGAAGTTATAACGATATAATATTATTATTTTCATTATGTATCAACATATTTGACATTATTAAATATCACGTACATTTGATCGAATGTAGGAAATATTCGACGGCATGTTCGTACAACCTAAGGGCTTCCTCATAGTTTTTATTTCGATCCTCCTCCGTGGCCTTTGTCACAAGATCTATGGCTTTCTGCAAAAGTCATCGAGTGGATTTCTTGAAATTTTCCAAATACGGACCAATGATAATCATTTCCTGTGCTCTCACCTGCAATGCTGCCGAAGTCATGCCAGCTTCTCTTCAGGATAATTCCCTCACGATAAGAAGTCAGATAAAACAATCGATTGTTGAAATATGAGAATGTGTTTAGCGCGCAATCACGCCGCCGCATTGACCATGTTTTTTTCGAGCAACGATCTGTCAGTGCAGTAACCTTCAAGGCGACCAAACGGTGTTATCACACTACTGTACTGCGGTCGTGATCATCACCGAGTCGACTCGGACGAAATTATCATTCCGACGAATTTCTCAGTTTCCGCGGAACGGCGCTATCTTCGTCGAACCTTCGGAGAACACGTTTCCTCGCTATAATCAGATTCTCTCGACTTACGTTACGCGACGAAACGCTGCCTGTCAAAACCACGAATGCACTGCGATATCGAGGTAAAGTTGCCACGATTATAATCTATTTCGATATTCGTTTACTGTGGAGGACGTCGGAACAATGTTGTGACTGGGATCGAGGATACGCTTCGTAAATCCGTAAATTCGTCACCATTTTGACCCATCCTTGAGTGCGTTCAGAAATCCTACTCGACGGGTAGACTGGCGCATTTAATTGACCAATCAAGATAGCAAAGATTTATCACGATTAGTTGATATATGCTATCGAACAGGATTTCTGAACGCATCCCTTGGATACTCCGGAAAATGTTTGTCTTGGAAATTGTTTTATTCATCCATTTTCTCATTAATTGCTTGATATAGGGTGTTTATAAAAAGGCTCCGATATTGGTGATTGGCTGAAGTCACGAAAGCATACCAAAGAGCGATGTTTCAGAACATTCCCGAACGCAACTCTAAGCAGAAACTGTGCTCCCGCTTTTCCGCTCTCCTGCCAAAAATAGATTACGTATGTGCCGATTTAGCAAACGTAGATACGAATGCCAAAATGCATTCGTAAGATTTCGAGTAGTACCGTATCGATTATCTATGCGGAACATACTTTATACCATAAGCAAACTGTGCTAATTGTCTAGTATGTGATAACAGTAAACTAATTACTTATAAGATACAGAGAGAAAGCGAGACAATATATATATATATATCAATGACCAGCACCGTCGAAGTTAACGGCACATCGCAAAAAATGGCCACTATGTGGCATCAACAGGTATTCGCACTGGATGCGAAATATAATACTTCACGAGCTAACAAGCTATCCAGTTTAGGTACCTTCTATCTTCATTGAATTAGCATACAATCGCAACGATCAGTCTCGATGTCTCTAGGATCTTATTCGCAGGAATGCTGTACATCCGTCGCAGGAATCAGCTGCTCCGCGAGAAACTCTCCGCGGACCCGGAAATTGGCGCATTGTATTTGAAATTACGATCGGAATTGTTGCGCCGTCGTTACGGGGAGCAACAGGAGCGGAACAGCACGGGCAGCCACACGATTAGCGAGGAATCGTCGGAGAGGAGAACGAAGCATCATACGATACAACGGAAATCAACCGCGGAGAATTTCGCATTCGCCGGCGTCCATCATATCTTCGAGCAGCACAAGGCAGCCGTGACCATGCTCAAGTTTGCCAACAACGACAGATCCAGGCTGTGTTGCGCATCGCTGGACGGTACCTTGTCTATATGCGAGGTTGTCGGTACACCTCCCAGGGTGACCGCTTTGTTGGAAGGTCATTGTAACGGTGTGACCGCGTTCGACTGGAGTATCAGCAACGATCTAATAGTTTCCTCCTCTTTGGATACCACGATTAGACTCTGGAGGGTGTGCGTGGAGCCGAGTTGTTTGCGCGTGGTGAACGACCAGCAACGAGCCGAGGTTCTCTGTTGCAGCTTTATCCCCGCCAACAACAATTTAATAGTGGCCGGCAACTCCCAGGGGCTGATTCAGGTTCTGAATGTATCCACCGGCATATACACACGCGGCGGATCCTGCAAGATCGGTGGAAAGGTCGGTGGTTTTGCAAGCGAGACAATGCGAATGAAGGAGATCGGTTGACACACAACGTTGCAGATACTCTCTCTGACATGCGAGGGCAGCGGTGGCTCGGTGATCTGGGCCGGCAACGACCGAGGTATCATAGTTTCTTTCCGACTGGAACCTGGCATAGGACGGCTAACGAAGCTGCAGAGAGTACAAGAAACCGGTGGTATGGTAACCAGCCTCTCCTGGCGCTCCTGGTTATCGAAGGACGCTCCTTGGTCGGCGTTGTTGGTGAGCAGCGCGTGCAATGCGGTGTTGCTGTATCGCGTCGCCGACAGTCACGGTTCTCTGTGCTTCTGGAGGAAGTATCCCATCAAACATAGGTAATCGTTCTACCTTGCTCACGCTTTCGTTTTACACTCATACGTGCATTTGTAGATATTATCCGTTGCGGTCCACCTTCTGTCCGCAAATGGGAGCGTGTTTAATAGCTACTGGCTCGGAGGATGGTGCCGTTCACCTGTTGGATTCCGCGAGAGAGGGGAAATCCGCAAAAGTTGACCGACTGCACGGCCACGCGACGTCCACATTAGCGTTGTCTTTCAATTATGACGAATCTTTACTCGCGTCTGCGGATCACGATGGATTAATCATTATATGGCGCAATCATCAACGTCACTTGTGAGGTATTGAGTCAAAATCCCTCCCGTTCTCTTCACATTTTTTCACGAGCCAACAAGTTGTAAGACAAATATCCGAGATTTTTCCAACTTCGTCGTATCTATCGTCGGTAAAGTGCTGCGATATTTCTGTAATCTCTTAAGTTATCGATCATGTAAAATTCGAGCTTGTTCGACCCAGGCGATTCTCTTTAACGAAGAATCGAAGTAGAATCGTGATACTACTGGACTTGTGTTTATTTTCAAGTAGTATGACTTTTTATTTTCAATTTTCGCCAATACGGTCCAATTAAGATGAAAGTATTAATGCCTGAACAAGTACCTGATGTTGTTTTGCTCTTTAACTGCGAATAAACGTAATACCTTTTATCTTAGGTGGATTTTTAACGTTTGTGCATGTCAATAATTAACATTTAACCAGGTTTGACACCTGTCGGAATAAAACATCGTTAAGAATTTAAGAAGTTAAGAAGTAGTTGATATAACGCGTTAAAAGTATTAGCATTACAGTATTGTAGAATAAGGATAAACACGATTTTGAGCGAATAAACGGCTTTTTTTTTTTTACATATAACAATATATTAATGTTCTCTATTTTGTCTTATATCATAGTGAGCACAAAGCAGTATCAGTAGTAATAGGTGTGGTAATAGTGAGAACCATGATAGAACTCGTGATGTAGCAGCGATTTCTTCGTATAATATTTCTTCGCGCGATCTTGTGAAATAATAGCGGCACAACCACACAGTTTTCGTATGACGATAAAGTAGTAGTAATAAGAGCAACAATTTGCATTTCGATACTGATTTCATCGTCCCGGCTTTCGTTCAAATTTCTTCATATATTCGATATAAATAATTAATACAAAGTACATTGTCGCAAACAAATATTCTTGTAAAAATTTCTTCTCATACTCGTAAAAACGGCAATCTTGCGTATCGTGCGAATACTTTAGATCTATAGAAATGTTGTTTTCCTTTTATCATGTATGTACTATATATCAGAGTTATCGACATAGTTATTTGTTATATTGCACACTTTTCTCAAATACGGTATCGGAGGAAGGAATATACCGTAGTCACACGCGGAGTTACTTATTGGTAACTTAAAAGTAAAGTAATATCCGATAATTGTGTTATATACACCATAGAGAAAAAGACAAGTGTTTACATGTAACATATACGACCACGTGAAACAAATCACCGTAGTTTCTCGCTTCACATATGCAATACGCAAACCTCCGACTTGGCAGACAAATCCGATATTTATTACGATGACTTCTCTTGTTCCCTCCTCTCTTTCTCACAAATACTTTCTCCGATATAAAAACGGACTGAATATATACGAATACGCATTGTAATCTCTCATCACAGATCTAGTAAAAGTAAAAATCTATACTCGATACTCATGTATACATCATGTAGAAAATTAGTCGTGCAAATATTCTTTCGCCACAAGAGTGGGTATAAGCAGTCATATATCCCATACTTTGCAATACTATACAATACTTTGATAATAGAGAGCAGATTTGCGTATAATGAATATTGAGAATCGCATGATAATATGAACGTCGTATAAAGAAGGGATAACGCGAAAAACATTCACGCTCAGAGCATAACGCGCTTCTTATACAGGAGTCACAAAAATAATCGTTCTTCTATGCAGGCACTACTGCTCATTTAATGATTACGCTACGAATGGTATTTTATATATATATATATATACATATACAGAGTGGATCAAAAGTCTGGATATAGTCGAATATCTCGTAAACAAAGCAATTTTGAAAAAAATGTTTTAAATAAAAGTTATAGGGTTTAAAAAGATCTATTTACTGATCTTATCAGTTTGGATGGAGGAGGTTAACTTTATTTTTTTTAACGGATATAGTTTTCTTAAAAACACTAATCGTTCATTATTCACTCTGTATCCAGACTTTTGATCCATCCTGTATATATAGGATGTCCGATGCAAGGCGTACCAACACCCTGTATATATAATTTATGTATGTACATGTGATCCTTTAGGCTTCCGCGGTGTGGATAAATAACTTATTTTGGCTTCCGAATGATCGCCGCGTGCTTCACGGATTGATTTTTCCATTCAAATTCATGAAGAACACGGCGATAATTCGGAAGCCGAAATAAATATGCATATGTATACATTATTTACATATATATATGAGCTACGAATTTTTCATAACGTAATAGTTTCGATGCAGCTTCTACAAATCGATTGTCTAGAATTAATACTCTTATCCACAGCTTATACAGTTCTTTGATCATTCCCTATTCGTTTTTATCGTGACTACTAAAATCGTCATGCGAATAGTCAAGCTTTATTAAATTGTATATATAATTATATATGTACATATAAAGAATGGGGCATTTAAATTGACACACCTTAATATAACAAAAGAAATCGATTTCTACAAANAAAAAAAAAAACCAAAAAATTTTAAAAAAAAAAAAAAAAAAAACGAAGTTGACTTTAAAATGATCTTGAATTATTGATAATACAACGAAGTTAAAGTCATCAAAATATGTCCCTCCCCAAACCATATAACTTTTGTCTGAAACATTTTTTTCTTCCATTTTGCTTTATTAGGGTTATATTAAGATCTTTTAATTTAAATGCTCCACTCTATATAGAGGATGTATAAAAAAAGGTCGAAATCTCGAAATAACTAAAAAAATATAAGAAATATAAGTTTTATAAAAAATATTTCAGATAAAAGTTAGTAGGATTTGGGGCATATTTTGATGACTTTAACTTCGTTGTATTATCAATAATTCCACGTTATTTCAAGATCAACTTCATATATATATATATATATATATTTTTTTTTTAAGTAAAATTCGAGGTGATCTTGCCTTGACTTTCTTTTCAAACCCTACAACTTTTATCTGAAATATTTGTTTAATAAAACATATTTTTCAAAGTATTCCAGAGTTCCAATCTTTTTTATGCACACCGTATACACATATGTGTACATGTATGTATGTGTGCGCAAGCGTGCACATACATACACGACACCCACACACACACACCATATATATATAAACAATTAGTTTTATTAATATAAAATCGCGGTTTCCTATATTGACACATTTTTTTCGTATTTACTATGGAACAATTTCAACAACTATGCTAACAAAAGACGAAACTGATTAGATAACCGATCAACTTGCAGCCGCGAGCAATATAACCCGCTACATCGTTACTATGTACATTTGTTCGAGATTCGTCATAATGGTATTATCAGATCAATTGTCAGACCGTATCAGTGATATACTATCCAAGAAAAAAAAATCATTGCATATTTTCATGATGAGATTCTTACGGACGGACTTGGGCTGAACTATCTCGTTTTCTCGCTCGCTCATTCACTCACTGTTTTACATACACACATACATTGCACTATATTGTCATTTTAATCAGGAGCTAAAACACTGTACTTGTCAGCGGGTTCGAAGGTCTCCTCGCTATCACACTGAAAAATTCTTGTAGAAGATGGTCCGAGTTGCACATCTTCGTGAGGCACCTTTGGCAACACGTTATCATTCGATACAGTATGTTGGTCCTGTGCGGCAACATTCTCGATAAGTTCCGTCAAATCGTAGTTCTCCTTAACTACGTTTACTTGCTCGTCACTCGCACGCGGTTGCTTCACGAACGAGGCGGACGGTGTACCGTTCGATGATATTAGATTCAGCTTCAACCGATCTCGCGTATGTCGTAACTCTCCTAGTTGATGCTGCTGCTGTTGTTCGTATTCGTTCGTGAAATCAACATGATTCGAAGACTCCTGCTGTCGACAACCGTCAGTTTCCTCCCGGTCGTCGGGGAACGAAGTCATATTTGCACCGGGAAAGAACTGGCTGACGTACTTGCTCTCGCCGGTTTGGAACTGGAAGGGCCGATTCGAGCTGGTCACAAAGAACTCTTCGTTTCCTGAAACGAAAACAAACAAATGTTCATCATTGCGTAATATCGAGCAAATATGTATAATATCACGTTGCAGAAGTGTTTTGTTAAAGTATATCTCATCTCGTTGAATTGATTCTCACCGGTATGATTGACCTCGTCGTAATCCAAGGGATACAGATCTAATCGTGGCTCATCTATCATTTCTTCCCAATCTATGGCACAGATAATACTCAAAATATAATCGAATAATTATGTAGAAAACGAATTGAATGCATTGCCAACCGCGTAAGTTGCGTCTCACCGAGCTTTGAAAATCAAAAAAATTTGTAAACGCACTAACATATTTTGAATATTTATTATTATTGCGACATCGAGGAGTCAGTGTGATAAAATGTGAAAATAAAAAATTTGTCTCCAGGATGCAGAGAAATCATACCGGAATACGAAGTTGCTTCCGAGTTGACAGCGGTATCCGTTCGACTGTCCGCAGATAATGTTTCCTTCGGATACTCGTACACGCAGTGATAGCGTTGCTTCTTGAACCATACGCTCTTCTTCTGATCCTGGACAGATCGCACATCATCGGTCCGATTGTAGGGGAAAGTTCGCTTAAGCTACGGTCTACATTTAGCATATGTCTAGCATGTAATGTTGATTTTCTTTTTTTTTTGGTAAACGTGCGCTAAATACCTCAAATTAAATCTGCAAGAGAAAGAGTCACGCGAGGAATGTTAAAATTACATGCATTGCTTGTGTACCTAAGTAATCGACACACCTACCAACTCATCCTAGCGGCATATTAAGAAAGAGGAGAAGAAGACAATCATTATTAATAATCGTGCAAGTATGTGCGAAAATCACTTTACTTGATTTATTCAGCGCTCACCCCAGATTTTAATGTTTTATCCGGCGACCTTAGTGCCGATCGATGGGGCGCCAGAGCGGCATTCCAGGCCGAAGGCGTGAATTCCTCTTCCTCCTCTTCGTCTTCGACGTTCAGATCCTCTTCCAACTCAACACTCGTCGCTGTGCTCGCTTCGTCGTTGTTAGCGGCACTTCTAATTCGTATTTGTTCGATATGCGGCTCGTTGTATCTCTGTGGGGTATAATTTGAACTGAGATTTACACAGAGAAATGTGACGACATTCAGACGAGGGGGAAGGATTACCTTCCATACGAATTCACCGGAACTGGAACTGTTGTCCTCGTTCTCCTCCTCTTCGTCCTCCTCCTCCTCCTCCTCATTCTCCTCCTCCTCGTCTTCATCCTGGCTGCAGCATTCGTGTTCCGTGACGAAACTTGTCGACATCAAGTCATCCTGCAGCGGTAAAGGTAGCGGAAAGGATGAGGATAATTGTTGCCACTTGGATTCTTCCTCGGGGCTCGGCAGCGGCGCGCCTCCGCTCGCCCTGACGATGCGCGATTTGTCCTCCAACGGGCGCGCCATCGAACAAGTGTAATCTAAATTCTCTTCCTCGGACAGATCGCCGTTCGTCGTGTCCTCGTCCTGCAGCCGCTCTCCCAGTCCCTCCAACAGTATCATTTCGTTCGTGCGAGTGTCGACCAGGAGCACGTCTTCCGATTCTCTCGAAGCGACGGACGCCTCCCTGGAATTGGACATCAAAGACTCGGAAGTGACATTGCTCTCTCGCTCTTCTTGGATGGGACTGAGCGGTGTTCCGTAGACATTGTACCTGGACGGAAAGGTAACAGATTCAGTTATTAAAGATGAATTTTTAGCGAATCTTGCACCGAATGAAAATATTATTATTGATTTTCCCAGACATTGATTTCTATAATTCCGTCAAATTGATTTGGCGAAATCCTACCTGATTGAGATATCCACACCGCTGCTGATCTGATCAGACGCATCCTCGCCGTCCTCGTCATCCCACCGTTTACCGTACGCGTCGCTGGCGGGATCGTCATGGCTCTCCAAGGACTCGACGATCTGCATTTGAGCCTGAGGCAACTTCTCCCTGAGTTCGTTGCGAATCGCTGTTACGAATTCCTCCTCTATGCCGAACGACACGTAAGAGTTGTCGCTGCGCAAGCTCATCGTCGAGCTGTCCTCGTCCTCGTCCTTCTCATAATCTCCCTGCGAAGACTGTTCCGTATATACCTTCGTCTCTGAATCGTAGGATCTCTGGGCGTAATCTCGGATCTTGAAATCCTTCTCGGGAGTCGTGTTTTCCTCCTCCTCCTCCTCCTCCTCCTCTTTCGTCCGATCGTTCGCCGGCGTAGAAATCGTCATACTTTCGGGAGCGGCGTAATACTCCGCGTCCAGGATGGTGTCCAGCTCGAACAGAATCTGAAACGGCTCCTCCTCGGCGGCGGCGGTGTTACCCGGCAGGAGATAGCCGGACGCCTCCTCCTCCTCGCAGGACTCCTTGTCGCGGAAACCCGAGTCCGAGCTCTGCTCGTCGTCCGGTGTGGACAGCTGTTTCCTCTCCTCCTCGTCGTCGGCCTTGCGTCCGTCGGCCGAAAAGTGCGAGACGTCCGGCGTGAGCTCCGGCGGTGCAACATATTCGTTGAATTCCGCCTCGGAGAAGCCCGGTATCTTCCTCTCCAAGGCGGAGTCGAGCGCGTGATTCCAAAGCAAAACCTCCTCGTCTCCTCGATCAGGCACGTAACGCAAGAGGGGGGGATCGGCCTTCGACTGGAGAAGTCTCAGCACGTGCTTCTCGGCACGCGCGTCGTTATCCGGGGTGTCCAGGGACAGCCGTAAGATCGGCGTGCGGTCGGCCACGGTCAGCGTGAGGAGCTTCGGGTTCTCGAGCGACTTGACGGTGGCCGGCGGCAGGGGATCCCGCAGCTTCTTCAACGCCTCGTCGAACTCGTCCAGCACGTGCGCGGTGTGCCTGAGCTCGCCGTCGCTACCGGGCAACTTCTTCTTCTCCGGCGCGCCCAGTGACCATTCCGCGTCGGAGTCCGGATCGATGTGCACGAGCACCATGAGATCCGTCACCGACTTGGACTTCTGCTTCACCTTCTCCGTGTAAACGCCCTGCTCGATCCGGCCCTTCCAGCTCTCCTCCTCGGTCTCCGAGCCGGATTCCGGGAAGAGCGCGTTCTTCATCACCGGTATGTTCCTCACTTGCTCGTCGGGCCCGAGGCGAAACGGTAGCGTGTCCGTCCCGTCGTCCACGATGTGGGTCCAGTAATCGGAGTCGATGCTGCCGCGCAGGTCCTGCAGGCTGGCGCTGCGCACGCGCAGACTCTCCCAGCGTTGCTCGAAGTCCGCGTGCTCGTTGAGGAGGATCCGCCTGACCTCGTCCAGCGACGGTCTGTCGTTCGCCTTGACGCTCAGGCACGAGCGAGTCGCCTGGTGCATGCTCGAGCTGCTCGTGAGACGCAGCACGCCGTTCGGCGGGAATTCCTTCTTCATTGAGAGAATCATCTGTATCACCTGCTCGTCGTTCATGTCGTCGTAGGGCCTCTCGCCCCAGCTGACGATCTCCCAGAGGAGCACCGCGTAACTCCACATGTTCGCCTGCGGCGTGATCTCCCGCGTCTCGATGGTGGTGTCGGTGCAGTTGAGACTTTCGGGCGCGGACCACCGAATGGGCAGGGCCCGGTCTCCCACGATGTAATAGTCGTCGGGATACTTCTCGACGCCGGTGCCGTAGTCCCCCAGCTTGGCCGACAGGTCCGGGGCGACCAGGCAGTTCCTCGCCGAGAGGTCCGTGTGCGCGAAACCGTGGTTGTGCATGTGCTTCAAGCCGGCCGCGATCTCGATCGCGATGCGCACCGGCACGTTCTCCTTGTTGAGCGCCTCCCGCGACTTCGCGTCGCGATTCGACAGGAGGAAGCCCTTCAGATCGCCGGCCGGACACGACTCGAACAGCAGGAGGTACGGATCGGTCTCCAGGCAGAAGCCGAGCAAGGCCAGGACGTTCTGATGGCGCAGCTTCAAGTACGGCGTGGCCTCGCCGAGGAACCAGGCTTTCTCCCGGGTGGTAGCCTCCTCCGTGAGTATTCTCACGACCACACCGCCCGACTTCGACTGTTCCAAGTCCGCCCGGCCCTCGACCACCTTGCCGAACCATCCGTGCCCGATTTCCCGCAGATACTTGAGCTTCTCTCGCGGAACGTTCAGCTCGTTGGATTCGAACCACTCGCTGCACGGCTCCTGCAGGATAGAACGATCCGTATCCTGCTCCTCGTTGCGCGGTGGCGACAGAGGTGTCGCCTTCGCTTTCGTGCCGGATACGATACTGTCGACGGGTAGGGGCTCAAACTGAACCCTCTCGGACGCGGCCAGTGTCCTCGAGGCATCCAACTCCAGTCCTTCGACCGAACGCTCGAAGGCGCTATCTTGCCCCGTGCTGCTTCCATCCTTGAACTCCTGTAATCAAGAACGATCGACTGATGTTTGTACATTGTCGATACTATGATTGAGAGATATCATTGATCGCATACACTGCGCATGCTGTTTACATCTAAGAGGTCGGAAAGCTCGGCATGTATCTGTGTGTAACTACAGTATGATCTCTTTAAAGCCCAGCGGGACAGCTAACCATTTCAAATTGCATAGATATAAAAACTAATTGGATGTAAGCAATTCTTATACTTTTTTAATATTTAAATTGTTCATATCGGCAGAGTATCTACCACTTCCGAAAGCAAAATTAACTTCAACCGACATTGTTGCTTGATATAGAAAAAAACCTGCGACGTATCAATGTTACCTGATTGCATTTTTCTGCTTTGTCCTATAATAAAAAGAATGCAGAAACTGGTGTTAGAGATACGAAGCAACGAGACGTCACTTTTTCTACATCACTTAGGTACATGTGAGGATCGTCCCCTGACTCACCTGAAATCCTTTCGGTCTTCTGTGTCTCTGACAACAGAGGCATCCGGCCAAAGTTAAAGCTGTTGCCGTGACACTCGAGAGAGCAATCGCATAGCGCATCCAGTAGTGTTCCCATTGCCAGGAAGTGTGAGTATCTGATGACGACACTAATACTTAGCACACTTGTCCGAATAATGTATTATTCTCAAGACTGTACCTGTCAAATGACTCAACAAACACATACCTGTGACAAACGACGAAGGTACAGGGTAGGCTGCGATGATCGGTAGTAGACCCACCCAGAATAGCAAGCATGACCAGCGTGAACTTTGCATCGCGTACCGGGACTGTTTCCGCGTGCTGGCCTAAGTCATTCTCGACACGGTGATACGCGACAGTTAGGAGTCGGTTCGGGTCACGACGCGCTCATAATCCTCCTCTCGTGACGATTGCGAGAGCTGGTGATGGCGACGCGGTCTACCGGGCATGATACGTTATCGTATACGCGACCGTCCGAATAGAACGGAATAGAGGATGTTGGCGGATCGGTCACACTTGCCAAACCCACTTCTATTCTCGCCGATTCCCGTCCCCTCCGTTCGCCCCTGTCCTATTCCTTCCCTTTCTCGCCCTCTACTTCCAACCACGTTCGATACGATCTCTCGAGTGGAATATAGCTTCGCAGGTTGCGGAAGAAGGTTCGTCGCGAAATCTGTGACACTTGGACAAGCGCCATATCATAACCCAGAAGACAGGCAGCTGCTATTGGTCGGCTATCTCGTGCATAGCAGTGCACGGCCGGTGCGTCGTATACTGGCTGCGCCAGCTCGCACTAGTTTTCTTCTCGGCTGAGAATCAAGGACCGTCTACAACTGGCCGTAACACAGGGACTCGTATATTCCACAAATAAATCGACCGTCAATTACCTCGCATCTTACCGCATATTTAACGGCCCTTTAAGCGCGTAATCTACAATACGTTCATAATAGAGTTTGTAGCTCGGACCATTGGCCTGTTCTTTTTAGCTGCGTCGCTGAACTGGTGCAATTAGTTGAAGCGAGATAAGTTTTCTCACTTCAACTTATTGTAACAGTTCAGCAGTTTAGCTAAAAAGAACATGTCTCGCTCGAACTTGTTGCACCGGTTCAGCAGTGCAGCTGAAAAGAACAGACCAATTATGAGGAGTGACATTTCAGATCACATGACAACGCAAACTCGTGTTTAAATGCAGCGGCAAACGCTTTCTTTCAGGCTCGCGTAACTTTGCATATTTTTTTCTTACCGCTCATATTGGTAATCATGCAATAAGTCGCCTGCAGACGCGATAATGAACTTTTTATTTACAAATTTCTGAGGCAGTTTTTTTCAATTACCTATACCCTCTTCATTTTTATCATCAAGGTAACAACAATATCATTGGAATATAAATACGCTACTGGTCATTCTTGCGTTACTGCGCATGTGTGAATTTGTTACACGATTTCCCACCACCGAATTCGGCGCATGCGCGCGAGGTTCTTCCGTGGGAAAAGTCGTGATAAAGTATTGTACTGATAAAGCAAGGCTTAATATTATTCGTTGGACTTTACACGCATGTTTCTGCTTTATCACTGCATTATATTGCACTTACAACCGTAGAGGAGAGAGCGTAAAACCGAGGTCGCGTTGCATATTATTTATTTCAGATATCCCATACGGATCAAGTACTCTTTAAACACCACAAAATGCCAAGCCAATTGCGTTTCAACGGCCGAGTAGTTGTGGTAACGGGAGCTGGTGCGGGTAAATATGCTTTTAATATTTTGAAATGTGTTAACTCATCGCAATACACCAATCTTATTACGAACGTCACATATGGGGAATTTAATGAGGATTTTGTCATAAATGTATGTAATAAATAAATATTTCAGGTTTGGGTCGAAATTATGCATTGTTATTTGCGTCTAGAGGTGCTAGCGTAGTTGTAAACGATTTAGGAGTTAACAGACACGGAGATGGGAATAGCACCAAGTCTGCGGATACTGTGGTACAAGAAATTCAGCGAAATGGTTAATGGCTTTAATTTGACAAATTAATTTTATCATTCCTTTTACCGAAGTCATTATTATTATTTCTCTAACAAGCATATTTATTATATTATTATAGTTTTAAAAGTCCGTTTTTTTTTTGTTTCTCACAAAAGGGAACGAAAAAAAGCCATAGAAAAGATAACAAATTTGGCTTTTTCTGAGCTTTTAAAATTAGAGTATTTATATTTGTAATATAAGATGAAAATATTTCAAAGTCTTTATAGTAAAATATTAATATTTATTATTAAAATATTGATATTAAATATTGCTTGTTTACAGCATTATAAGTATATATACTATGGTAAATATTTTTATAAGATGAAAATTTGATAACAGACAATGTTGTATGTACATGTTATATAAAGTAAAGTAAAAGATATATAATAATTCTCTAGGAGGAAAAGCTGTTGCAAACTATGATTCGGTACTGGATGGTGAGAAAATTATTGAAACTGCAATCAAGACATTTGGTCGTGTTGATGTAGTTATTAATAATGCTGGCATTCTGAAAGATGCATCATTTGCAAAGATGACAGAAAAACAATGGGGTATGTGTATCTTTATTAACATAGACATGCACAGAATAAAAAACGTTAAAGCAAAAAATAAAACGGAGATATTATAATGTGTATTTGTATGAAATATGTTCTGTCTCTTATGAAAAATCTTCTAAAGTCGGATTCTTTAGGTAAAGTTCCTAATATGAAAATATCGAAATTATATTGATTTTCAAGTACCATGTGATAATATAATCACAGATAAGATTATATGCTTACATAAGGTACCTCATGTTAATTTACACATTTATCGACAATTGATGTTTGTTTAGATATGATATATGATGTCCATCTGAAAGGTGCTATGAAAACAACGAAAGCGGCATGGCCGTACTTTCTTAAGCAACGATACGGTCGCGTAATCTTGACTTCAAGCAACAGTGGCTTATATGGGAATTTTGGACAATCCAATTATAGCATGGCAAAAATGGGTCTTGTAGGACTTGCTAATACATTAGCTATTGAAGGCGCACAGAAAAATATTTACACTAATGTAATAGTGCCTACAGCTGCCTCGCGTTTAACAGAAGGTATCATTCCACCAGGTAAGTCTTTAACTTGTTTTACTGCTTGTTTTTAATTATTGTGCCATTATTATATTATTAAAATTCACCGAAGTATCTCAAGTTTTTGTTTAATCAATTGTAATATTTAGGAGAAATTTATTCTTTCTAACAAAGTAATTAACATTTTATCGTTTGATGTCTCTCGTTTTAGAACGTATACTTTGCATTTTTACTAATATGAAATTTAGCAATACAAAATGTTTTCGCATTTCGTTTTGTACTCGATTTGCGTATATATTTTGCGTTGAATTTAAGAAAATAAAATAGAGAACTAATTAACATTTTACAGACTTTTTTAATGAACTATTTAACATTTTACAGACTTTTTTAACGAACTAAAGCCCGAGTTGATAACACCTGTTGTCTTCTGGTTATGTCACGAGAATTGTACAGAAAACGGTTCGATAATTGAATCAGCATTAGGCTGGGCTGGCAAATGTGAGTATCGAATATTAAGAAAAGGGAAATAATATGACTTCTTACAAGATTAAAGTACATTTGCATGTTGCAAATATGTGCCTGCGATAAGAATGAAATTATATATATATATATATGAAGCACATTAAACTGTGCAAGATAATTATTTTTATTTGTAGTACTTAAAACAGATTTATAATTCGTTTTGGTTATAAATATTTTGTGATTATTCCGTGTATATTATTTCTGTGTGATTGAATAGTTAAATATATGTAGCAAAAATAAATGTAATATAAATTTATTATTTGAATCTTTACAGGTCACTTAATTCGCTCATCGGGTTGCATTTTACGACAAGATCTATCGTCTGACGTTACACCAGAAGCAGTGCAAGAAAATTGGTCGAAAATAACTGACATGACATCAACAAAGCGGTTCAATTCAATTCAAGTAAGTTAAATCTCTTATTGTGCGTCTTTGTTGATATTTATTAATTATAATATTAAAATTATATGCTGTAATATTAATTCGTCTTTGGTATTGTGTATTAATGAGAAATTAACTTTCTATTGATCATCTTTTTCTCATTATTTTATTTACTGTTTTTTTTTATCTTTGTTTAGGAGGTAACAGGAGACTTATATAACATCATCGATCAACTGAAAAACGGTGCTTCTTCCGATAACGAAGTACGTTATGCTTTGTAATATTTTCTAGCTGATTCTTTTCATTTTTATCTCATTTTTATCTCTTACAGGGAAGTCCTATGTTCAAGCACAGTTATAATTATCGCGACATTATATTATATGCACTCGGAGGTAAGTCGAATAGATAAAATTTAGAATCGATTCCTTCTGTTAATGCTGATCACTCATTTTTCACCTTTACAAAAGCTGGAACATTTGAGAAATGTTCGAAGTCACATGCCAGTCAGTAAACACTGAATATGGTTAAACTTATCGGACTTTTTATTTCAGTTGGAGCTACTGTTCAAGAACCAAGCGATATGCGCTATCTGTACGAGAATTGCGAGGAATTCGCTATTTTGCCTACCTTCTACGTTTTGTACGGACCTATCGGATGCATGAATACTTCTTTGTTGCAGAAAGCTATACCACATTTACAAGTTGACATGACAAAAGTATGTGTCTGTGTTTTGATTTCTGATTTCTACTTCCAACATTTTGCTGTATTTCATACACTTCATTTGATACTTGCAGATACTACATGGGGAGCAGTATTTAGAAATCTACAAGCAATTACCTGTAGAAGCTACGGTAGAAACACATTACAAGGTGCAAGATGTCTTGGATAAGGAGAAAAGCGCAGTTGTTTTGATTCAACGTATGTCACAGTTTCTTGCAATTTATATAAGACGACCAGATTTACTAGTAATCTTTATTATGCCTGTAAAATATGCGGCATTGCAAAGAAGCTTGCGGAAAATAATTTCTCAACATTGAAAATGACGATAATGTGACTTGCTATATCAAAATTATTAATATTTTGCATTTCTCCAGACGACACTTATGACACAACAAACGGAGAAAAATTGGCGAGTGGGCAGATGACTGCGTTCATCGTCGGTACAGGTGGTTTTGGAGGGAAACGAACGTCACCGCATAGCATTCCGTTGGTTGATCCACCCGCTCGAAATCCGGACATGTCGATCACGCAACAGACGAGTTTTGATCAAGTAAGAAAGTAGAGATCAATTATATTTTGATTTGGTGGTTATAGTGAAAGTATCAGTTGATCAAGTATATTGAAAAATTATCGTCATCTCGATATTTCTCTATTAGAATTTTTCATTAATTTTAAATAATTTAATTTAGTTCTCTAGGATATGCTATCAAAGTATCGTGCGATAGTTTTGGAACGAAAATGTACGATGATTCTGACGTTACTTTTACAGGCTGCTTTATACAGACTGAGCGGAGATCTTAACCCAATGCATATTGATACTAGTTTTGCCGCGATAGCAGGATATGAAAGACCGATATTGCACGGGCTGTGTTCTCTGGGATTCTCTACACGACATGTTCTTCGAGCCTATGCTGGTGGAGATCCGAATTTATTCAAATCTATCAAGGTGCGATTATCGTTAGAAAGAGAAAAAAATCTGTGAAGTTACACAAGTTTTCCAATGATTTGATATACGGATGCTTAGTAAATTCAATGAACTCTATTTTGGAACTTGTCGAGGCAACACACACATGTACAGTTGCCAAAATGGCGAATTCTCTGATCAGTAGTGTTGGACTATAGGTAGCAATATTTGATGTTCAGTGATTCTACACCACTTTTAACTATTCTGCGTCGTCACTGGGTGTAATTTTATATACAATTTTTACATATGTACGAAAAATTTGCATAATTATGCACACATTTAGATTCGTTTCACAGTTTTTCATCGAGAAAGTAACTAAAAGGTCTCGACATACATATGAATATCTTATAAAATACTGTCCGTCTAAGACGATTTATTGTCCGTCCAAAACGACTTATTGTCCGTATCTAAAACGATTGACAGAGTGAATAGATGAACTCTTGGACTTCTCTTATCATACTAAACATATGCATGTCCCCCACTACAAAATGTGCAATCGTGACTTGCATATATGTTGGCCAAGTGCTGATAAAGTAGGCGCAGCGTGAGTTTTCATTGATTCGTGGATATACGCACTAGTCGAGGAATATTTCTTCGATTTCGAGTAAGCAATAATTGCTAATTATACATTGTGGACGTTGAAAATATTTTCGATATGTATATTTCGACTTGTATTCTCAAGGAATTCACGGTGATCACATATCGGTAGTTATATAATATCTGAAACGCGACATTTCGATGGAACGTAACCTCATTAAAAGTATTTGCCGATACATGTTGATATGAATTCTTCTCGTGGTTTTAGTGTGGAGTATTTCTGAAATTAGTGAGCAATTTAAACTATTATTAAGTTAATTATTTTTTTATAATTAAATTTATGAAAAGTTATTTTCCTTTTCCAGTGTACTGACTTGTTCTAAGAGAATGTTATTTCACAGCATAATATAATGATTTTCTGTTCTATTTTATCCTGTTTTATATTGTGTATGTAGCTATATATATGATATGTTTACGTGATATTGCTGTGTTATAATTCTAGACGAGGTTTATAAAGCCAGTTCTGCCGGGTCAAACGTTGCGTACTGATATGTGGCGTGAGAATAAAAGGATACATTTCCAAACATCTGTCGTCGAAACCGGCACACCCGTTGTAGCAGGTGAGTGGTTAAAACCAAAGCCATGCATTGTAAACAAATATGTATAATTTATATTAAATTATTATTTACATTAAAAAATTTATATCGAAAAAACTGTTTCATCGGTATGTATTTTTGACTTTATTATTTGTTGTTACCTATAATTCCTTTACAGCCACGTTTCTTGATTTTGAAATATTATATCGAACAAGATGCAAAATGTGCCTTTGTGATGTGTTTTCTTTATAAGATTATTTTAATATTTTAATAATTGTGTTTGCGAATGTAAAACATATTTTCATAGAAAAGAATAGTGTTTTGAATGTGTTATTTAATATATGTACATGTTTTGATATGTGTAAAAGGTTTAAAAAGAGAAATAGTAATCAAAAATTGCAACTTCGTTGTCTCAAAGTTATTTTGTTGTACAGGCGCTTACATCGATCTGCAGGACGTTAAAATGGAAATACCGCAAACGAATCCATGTTCCGCGAAAGATAACATACAGAGCAACGCTATATTCACAACTATAGATGAGCAGATGAAATTAAATCCGCAATTAGCTAAGTCAATTAACGCAGTCTTCTTTTACATCATAACCATCGATGGGAAACCAGTAGCTGAATGGAGTAAGTAATCTTAGGAATCATCCTTCCCCTCTCCCTCCAATAATGTATTCATGAGAATTAATAATGCATTTATGCGAATTTATGAGAATTAGTAATGCCCAAAAAATTTTAAGAATACAAAACAAAAATTAAAAAAACATTCATAATTAATTCCCAAGTCTAAATAAGCAGGCTTTCGCGTTAAATTATATATATTTTACAAAAACGGAATATTAACGATAGCTAAAATAGTGAGTTGCTATGAATGTGGTTCGTTTTTGTCACATTTGAATTGTGCTCACGAGTGTAACTGAATATTTATATTAGACAATCCCGCTTATATCTATCTTTTACAAGCCATATGTTTTTTTTTTTTTTTTACAGCTCTTGACTTGAAGAATGCTAAAGTATACAAAGGACGACCTAGCTCAGGGAAAGCAGATGTGACGCTCACTCTAGACGATAAAGATATGGTTGAAATCGTAAGTTGACTTTGTGAAACTATAACTAATTATAACTTTAACCATACTGTTGTATATACTTTTATAAGCAATATTGCGATTGTTACAGGCATTGGGGAAATTAAATCCACAGCTAGCATTTGTACGTGGAAAGTTAAAAATAAGCGGAAATATCATGCTAGCGCAAAAATTGAAAAGTATTATGGATGTCAACAAAGCTAAGCTTTAATTTCTTCCATATATTTCGTTTGTAGCTTTAAATAAAATCATACACACATATATATATATACACACATGTGTGTGTGAAACATAGCAGAAGCTACGTTGTTATTCGGGGATATATATGTATAATTATTATGTTGGTTTTAAGTTCTCACTAAATATTTGTAGGGTGGTTGGTCATACGGTCGGTTATTATGAGTAAATTGCAATATTATTTTTATATACTTATATTGTAATATATTTTTAATAAAGTCACAATATGCATATAAATGTTTAAATATGTTGGTCACACAATTATAAATTTATAAACTGATGTAATAATATATATTAGGGGTCTGGGAGGATATTACTAGGAAAATGAATATACTACTTATGTAAAAACGAACATATTATGTAAGAATGAATATTCTTTATAATATCGAGAAAATCGATCAATTTCATTGTATTATAGATCATTATACAATTGTCATCCAGCAATTAACACAAGATAAAGCGGGCAATAATCAATTTGATGAGACACGAGTTGTTTTCCGCTTTATGTAATATACGTTCACACATATTCATATATTTTCTTATTTTTGATCGAATTTTTTTTTTTTTTTTTCTAACAATTCTTCTAATCTTAACTTTCACTAAATATAACTTCAACACGATATTTTAATTTATTATCACTATTAACTTTTACCGTTATTTAATATATTTATCTTTATATTTGGTTTAAGTTATAAAACTGCTCACAACAGAGCTATTCGCACGTTCCTCCAATTATGTTGAGCAGTGCCGATAAAATATTTAATGTATATTTACACGTTGTAAGAAAGAATTCTGGCTTACACACAAGAAAATACGTCATAATCCTTAGAAATATTAAAAATAAGATACGCGAGGAAGACATGAAAAACGCGTGAAGAGAATCTTTGGTTTGACATCCGTCTTGACGACTTCAATCGGTCAGTTCGAAATGAGTTGTGTATCAGTTTCAATATATTAATCGTCTCAAAGGATGCAACAGGGCTTTTTCGACGACGGTTTCTTCAACACAGCTCTGATAGCTTCCATAAAGACCTCTTCGAGTCCTTCTTGCTTCATCGCGGAACACTCGACGTACTTCACCGCCCTGATCTTCTTTTTCATTTTATTGCATTCACGTGTACTGATAATATCTATAGTTTCTTGATTTCTGAGATCCCCCTTGGTACCTGATAAGAAAGTAATATCTTATTTTTCTATAAATTTTTGTGCATTACAAGAGCGCACGCGTAGATAAATTCAACGTAGATAAATTACCTCATTTTACCGAGTGATACGCGAGAGAGAAGCGTGATAACATTTTTTTTCAAATCTTTGATGATTACGACGCGTGCGTATATCTGTTTGTGTGATATTTGGAAATATGTTCGCGTGTGTAATGTACGTGTAATATCACGTCTGAGGAATATTTTATTTTTATTCTACGCACGTAAAAAAATATACTTACCCACGAGTACAATTGGTACATTGGGACAGTGGGTTTTAATCTCTGGGTGCCACTTACTCGACACGTTTTCGAAAGAACTACGGGCACTTATTGAGAAACAGACTAGGAAACAATCGGTCTGCAAAGAGGAAGAAAAGGGCGCGTTAGCGTTATGCTGCGTACGTACTACCGAGCTCACGGAAGTGCACAAAAGGAATCGTACAGAAGGACGAGGAAAAGATGAAGGTGAAAAAGTGACCAAATCTGTTAGCAGCTTCAGACAAATTTAATTCGCGTGCGAATAACAACGGAAGAATGCACACTTGTAAGGAATTGTCGCTTACGTTTGGATACGACAGTGGCCGAAGTCGTTCGTAATCTTCTTGGCCAGCGGTATCCCACAGTGTCATCTCGTATTGTTGTCCACCCACGCATATAGTATCGACGTAGTTGTCGAAACTGCAAAACGATAAAATTGATTAAATAGCCGAGTGGTGATGGAGCCGATTTACGTTCAGGAAGATCATCGTATCACGCATTATTGTGTCTTTGAACAAATAGACTTTTATTTGGCATTTTGCTTATCGATTTATTCTATATATACATCAAGAGAGAGAAAGACACGACAAGCGATAAACGTCTGAGTGGGGAGACCGACCTTAAGAGACGGTAACTTCCGAGAGCTTTGATTGTGTGTGAAATAAACGCTATAGATGTTATGTTAGAGAATACTTACACGGTGGGCACATATTCCGTCGGGAATTCTTTCTTTGTATACGTGATGAGCATACACGTTTTTCCGACCATACCGTCGCCTACCGTCGTAATTTTAATCTTCCTGTTTCGAGACACCATTTTCCTTTTCTCTGCAACACGAAAACGTGCAAATTTTATCGAGAGACGCACTTTTCATCACTCTGTGATGTAATCTTTATCGATATCACGATATTTTTATTATATATTACGTCCAAGCTGATGATTTTTTAATGAAATTGCGCCATAAATAATAATTCCCGATTGCTTTGATAGACCTAATTATTTAGAAAAAGCTGAATTTTTTCCGCGAAAGTAAGCATTTTCGAAACAAGCAATTTATATTTGCTTACTTTATCGAAATCATATTTTTTTGGAAATATATAGTTTTTTCTACATACATATATATGAATGGATAGAACAATATTATTGTGGAAGATTCATTTTTCCAGCAAAGAAAATGTTTTGGAGAGAAATGCGCATAGACAGCGTGTAATCAATGTGATTGCTGTATCCTTTATGCGACAGGATATAGAGCACAGTCAGTACGCGGTTGTTTATCAGTCGGTCGTCCTGTTTCATGCAGGATTCTGGTAAATTCGTTTCTACCACATTTTACGAAGAAATCTGACGGAAAACGTCGGCGAAACGTTCCGTAAGATTGCAACATATGACAACGTGGAGCAATAAATCTTATTAAATTGATATTGGTATACACTTATACACGCGTCCTTCAAATGTTAAAAAAATTATCTTTTTAGTAGCTTCCAATCGACACAATATGGCCTTCCTCTTCTTTTCGAAATCTTCATTTCTTTTCTTAAATTGTAAAGAAATATATATATATATATATATATACGTTATAAGAGATAAGAAATTAGATAAGACGTTCTTTTAGAAGGTATTTAATAAAAAACGTTTTGACTCGAGAGAGTATTTATATTTTATTTGGATCGAAATGTTCGAGAGAAATTAACAGATTATTATAATAGATTTTCTGAATGATATTGTCGGGAAATATACCATTTTTAACGGTATTCGTAATATTTAATCATTTGCATTTATATAATATCGATATAATTCGCACGTAACTGCTCGTCGAACACAGACTGAGTGTTAGGAGAATCGCCCAAGGTACGATAAGAGATAAGATAATTAAAGAACCAATTACATAGGCAGCGGCCTAGTAATCATACACTTGTTCGCTGAATTTTTCATATATATTGTAAAGAAAGAAGTATTTTTAGAGAGAAGTTATACCGTTACATATATATCACGATAGTGTTGATGACGCGACGAATTTGAAATGCAACTTTCGAAACGACGTATTTATTAAAATTCCAAAGCAATTTATATCTCGTTCCTTATCATTATATTAATTTCGTCGTATTCTTCTTCTTTTGCAGATACATGTGATCGTTAATTATTACATTAAAAACGAACATGTGTGCGTGGCCTTGAGATCCAAAAAATTCACTTTTTTGTGTTATTCCAAAAGTTATTCAACACTATGTGTGATTTTCTTTGAAATTAGAGTACAAAAGACAGTACGTAATAAGAAGTAAAAAATATCAAACAAATAGCGCTGTTCAAAATGTATCGAGATTCAAGAAAGAGACTCGTTAAATGGGACCGACCGTGACTTATAAAATGCGCGGGCGTGTTTAATTACTTCTGCATCACTTATTTGTCGCTACGTCTTTTCAAGACCACAATTTGGCTTCTCTCTCTCTCTCTCTCTCTCTCTCTCGGGGCGTGTAATTGTACATTACTTACCGCGGAATGTGAGTCATACGCCGACAGAGAATGTGGATTAATCAGTGACGCCGACAACTTCCCGCATATTTGGAGATGGAACACGAGTCTCTCTCTCTCTCTCTCTCTCGTAAATGGTTATCGCGATATATATTGACGGAACACGGAGGAAGAAAACGGAATGACGCGTGCCGCGCATACGCACGTAGCAACGGTCGTTCGAAGACTGTAGAAACGCGGCACGGAGCGCGGCTTAGTGCGTTATAGTCGTCGAAGGAAAAATCAGCTGACGTATAATACAGCGAATAAAAGATACCGCTCGAGGAATTAATACGCGCGCCTGCCTATCGAAATCGCGCGTCTCACCTTTTCCTACATGATGCGCTGTGCCGGATAGTCAACCTATCTAACAATGTATTGCGACAAAAGTATTATTAAATATTATACACATTGCGTGTGCACATCACGCATACATATGTATATATATGTAGTGTATAGCTTATATAAGGCGTTGAAAAATGTTTAATCGACGTAGGTTGAAGTATAAATCCTTCGGACGCAAAGTGCAATTTTTTGCTCCTCGTAGCGCGAGCAATTAATTTTCTCCTCTTCGTTATATTTCATGCGGAAATAAAGAAGATTGCAACCATTCTCGTCTCATCGTATCTCAATTTTTTCCAAGGAATGCTCTCCCATCGTTTTCTACTCGACGCTCAATCTTTAAACCTGTTCTTTATAGATGCACGAAGCTGCACTGTCTGCACTTACAATAGGATAAATATGTATTTGACATTTAGCGAAAGAGAGAGAGGAAAACAGAAAGGTAACAAAGTTCAGGTTCAGAAGATACAGCTGTAAAACTCTTTAAATTCCTGCGCGTTGTGATTGGCGATATCATTGGTCAGTTTGAGATAGCTGGATTTTTCAAAGGGAGGAACTATCAGAACTATCTCAGTATCTTCACGTAAACGTGACCTCGTTCCGATTCCGAATTCAATATTAGGTACATTATGACAAAGTACCACGCATAAAATTGGACGGTGAGTGTTCTTAAACATGATTTAAGTTTGAATATTAACGCCGTCTGAGCGGCATTATCTTACGAAGCGTATTTTGTCATCGGGCGGCCATCTTAATGATATTATTAATAAAGAAATTTTTCGTTACTTTGTTGAGTCGACAGAAGATTATAAGTGCCGTATTATTTGCCAGCGGTGAGATATTCCACAGGTGAAACATGATGAAATCCGATAGCAATGGGGCAGCTATGGAGGACGTTGAGAGCCGGGAAGCAATCGTCAATTCGAATATCGAAGAGGTCAAATATATACAATAAGATACCGATCGAAATAGATTAATTCATTATTTATAATTCATGTTACCCAGACAGCACAGATCTCCCGAGAACGTCCATGAGATATCATGTGCTGTTTGAGTTATTATAACTGCAAAGAGTAGCGAATTCTAACGTAAAAGACGATGTTTCAGTTTATGATGCTGAGAAAGTCGGTGGAAAATTCGAACGAAAAAGTGGAACACTGGACAAATCAAACGTCGAAGTTGCTCGAGAGTAATAGCAATATTGATACGGCTTACGAAAAATTAATGATGAAAGTGTCCGACATTGACGAACAGATGTCGGAAACTATGAGAATTCGCAGCATTAAGAAGCAAGAGTTGGAAGATCTCCAAAAAGCAAGAGAGGGCTTGTCGCATAAAAAATGGTACTTACGATTTAATGTTTTACATTTCGGATACTATGCATTGTGGGAGATAAGTTCATGCAAATTTTTCTTGCCTTGATGAATTATGCACGTCTTCCAATCTTCAAGAAAACATATCCCGGATGGATATCTTGTATATAAATTTCATATCTAATAAAATTTTACCTGTTACGAAGAAGAATTACTTTTCATAAATATATATTATTTTAGGGGTGAATGTCTATCAGAAGTAGGAAACTACGCCGATAATTTTTGTCGATGGATAACGGAATATGTACGTCTCTTAACACAAGATATTCGTGTGAATTTTTTATTACGATATCAAATTCAAATTGAAGTTTACCATAAATTGCGATGTACCATAAATATTTTTCATATAATTGGTACCTTTAATAAAAAGATAATAAATCGTGTAAATTTTTTATTTTTATAGTCCAACGACGTTTTAATGAAAGATATCAAAGATTACCACGAAGAATGCAACAAAGTTAGTAACGACCTTGCAATTTTAAAACAAGAAGTAAATGATATGCAAGGAAAACATGACGCGGATAATGTTGAAGCTAATATGGATTTATCGAATCTCGATACCATAATATCTGATCTCAGGTGAGAAAAATATTTGTATATTTTATACATATAACTTTGTCAATCTGTACATATTCTGTGCTTGAGAATCTAATAACTTGCAATATATTTTTTATAAATACGCGCATAGAATAACTTCTTGTGAAACTTATAAATTTATTGGATCAAAAAATATGTATGTATATATATATATATATATATATATTTAGTAACGTCGTAATTTCGAGAATGAAAAATGTTCAACTTCATTTTCCTGGGGCTAATAATTATGGAGAATCAAATTCTTGAAATTTGATTTTTTCTTGCACTCTTACAATATGCAATAAATTAAGGTATTAATTAATATAGAAATACACAGATTCATGTAACAATGTTCCGTGAATCTAAAGCCCCATAAATTCAACATTTTTCTCGATACGGCAATGTGACTTCACAAGAAATAACAGCTTTGTTGTGACAGGCGCGGTAATAATAATCTGACGCACACCGTTAGATCGACGGAGAATTCGTTGAAGAAGATACAGAACAAGATAAAAAAGTGCAAAGTCATACTTAACGGATATAAGGAGAAAGAGGATACCGATATTCTCTAAAAATATATTTCATATATATCTGTTTTTATTTTTTTTATTTTATACAAAATAAATTTAAATAAATGGTTAAGAAGAATATGAATTTAATATAATTATTATTAAATATAGTGTTATAATATTAACTATATATATTTTAAGTAACTTTTAATTTTATGTATATATATATAAATTAATAGGAAAAATACATATATATCATACATATCGTATAAAAATACACACATCATAAATATATAATTTAATTTAAATATACTATGATTCATATAATTATAATAATTAATTATAATAATTAAAATATGATTTATATAATTTGTATATTTGTATATACTTCCCTTATAAAAGATATTACTAGCTAAATAAATTAGTAATAAAACTATTGAGTAACTGACTTATCACTGACTAATTTATTACAGTCAGCAATACTTTTTTTATAAGGATTGTATTTGAACATACATCTGGAATTTGTAGAAACAATCGTTCAAAAAACATGTATTTAACAAATCGCTTACATATTACTAAAGCATTTAACATTGTGTTATTAGATACTCATAAATATGATTTTCCCGACTGTATTATTTGAAAATAAAAGTGTAGAACTGGATTGTCACATTGAATATCGTAACACTTCAAAGAAGTACAGCGATTACAATTACGTAATTTGTGTTAAATAAAACACTTAGCATTTCTTAAGTTTCTTTCTACTAATGAAGAAACGAATCTATTGTGATTTGCCCGTTCCCGCCAATTTTATTATTTGCTACCAGCGCCAGCCAATGACAGACGTTGGACGGAATTTAATTTTCTGTAGCTAAAAGCCGGTTGCGAGATGTGGCGTTGATTTTCGATTTGCCACTATCGTCCTGTGTTATATATTCCGAAGAACGAGAGAAACGGATACTAAAGGGGTGATTTTTTAATTGTCGGAATGGAGCTCACGAACGACAACTTAGCAGTATTGAGCGGATATTTGAAGCAAACTCTCAGCCCTGATGTGAATATCAGACGTCCAGGTTGATATAACCTATAATGTTATTGTCTTTCGGCAATTTCACAGGACATGTAACTATTGTATATCTAACACATTTATATTTCAGCCGAGAAATTTTTGGAGGCGGTGGAGGTCAACCGGAACTATCCCTTATTGTTACTTCATTTAATAGACAAGTCCGAAATTAACATAACCACTAGGATCGCTGGGGCTGTTGCATTTAAAAATTATGTTAAGCGTAATTGGAAAGTGGTATGTTTTTTCTCATTCATGCTAATATGATTTTACATCTTTCGTACTAAATGTTATAATTGTGAAAAGTCGTATACAAACATCGGTTACACATATGGTAAAAGAATCCTCGTTCTTCAAATATAAATTTGTCTGAATTTTAGGAAGAAGATTCAGTTGACCGCATACACGCGCAAGATAGAGATGCGATTAAGCAACTCATCATCGACTTGATGTTGCGTTCTCCAGATTCGATACAAAAACAGCTGTCAGATGCTGTATCTATTATTGGGAAATATGATTTTCCCAACAAGTGGCCTGAATTGATTGATCAGATGGTAGAAAAGTTCAATACTGGTGATTTTCATGTAATTAATGGCGTCTTGCACACCGCACATTCCTTGTTCAAGAGGTATAGGTATGAATTTAAAAGTGAGAATCTCTGGAGAGAAATCAAATTTGTATTGAATCAATTTGCGAAGCCTCTGACAGATTTGTTTTTAGTAAGTGCTAATTATTGTTTTGTACGCGTCAAAAATATTTTAGAAGACCGCATTCTAAACAAAGCGTTTTACAGGCCACAATGAATTTAACGCAAGTACATGCTAACAATGCGGAAGCATTAACAGTTATATATAATTCTTTAGTTATCTTGTGCAAAGTGTTTTATTCTCTTAATTTCCAAGTAAGTGTTTACATATTCTATGTATGTGTATTTATAAGGTGTTTTGTTATTAGTGGGATTTTCTTCAGGATCCAACACTGTGCTTGACATTGAAAGATAATTTCTCCCTATTAACTGAACACCTTGTCAAGTCTCAGTAAGAATTTGAACATTAAGAATTTAATATTACTTACAGGATTTACCAGAATTTTTCGAAGATAACATGGAGTCGTGGATGAGAAATTTTCATACTTTATTAAACGTCGAAGTCCCTTCCTTGCAGACTACGGTGATTTAAGCATTGTTATCTTACAGTTTTAATTGCAATTGCACTGAAAGGTTCGTAGAATGCGGGATGAATTTTTTTAATATAAGATTCATTTAAAGGGTGATGAGGAAGCAGGTGTGATAGAGCAGCTAAAGTCGCAGGTGTGCGACAATGTTGGCCTGTACGCTCAGAAGTACGACGAGGAATTCCAGCCGTATTTACCAGAATTTGTTACAGCAGTTTGGAATTTGCTTACATCCACGGGGCAACAACCAAAATATGATTCTGTAAGTGCTTTTTTGTGTCCTGTAAAGGTAATGCGAGTATATTCATGGCAAATGGACAAGTATTCGATATGTCGGTGATATTAAATAATATGATATGCAGATTGTTCATTATTTTTATAGTTAGTTTCAAATGCGTTGCAATTCTTGGCCACAGTTGCCGATCGGGCACAATACAGGCATTTGTTCGAAGATCCAACAACTCTCAGCAGTATCTGTGAAAAAGTTATTATTCCCAACATGGAATTTAGAGGTGGCTATATTAAGGCGAACAAATAAAATCAATTTTAACATCGGCATGTTAAAAATCTAACAATTTTGCAGAGTCGGATAACGAGTTGTTCGAAGATAATCCTGAAGAATATATCAGACGAGATATCGAAGGCAGCGATATAGATACCAGAAGACGCGCCGCGTGCGATCTAGTTAAAGTATTATCGAAATACTTTGAAATGAAAATTATGGAAATTTTCGGAGCATATATACAGGTGAATATGGAAACATTTCTATTTATAATAGAGCTTGCGACGCATTATTTACAGCGGTTTGGAATTTGCTTACATTCACGGGGCAACGGCCAAAATATAAGTATTTTTTTTTTCTTGTAAAGGCAATGCAAGTACATTCATGGTAAATAAAGTATTCAGTACAATATTTGTATCATTGTATAATATTTATTATACAATGTGTGTTAATACAGTATAATATTTGTATCATTGTATAATATTTATTATACAATGTGTGTTATGCAAATTGTTCATCATTCATTATGATTACTTTTATAGTTAATTTCAAATGCGTTGCAATTCTTGATTTACTCTCCATATAATATTTTCATATAAACATTCAGATATATTTCTCGCGTGTGTCTTTAGATAATGCTGCAAAACTATGCTGAGAAACCGTTACAGAATTGGCGCAATAAAGATGCCGCCATTTATCTCATTACGAGTAGTGCGAGTAAAGCGCAGACACAGAAGCACGGAGTCACTCAAAGTAGCGAGCTCGTTCCGTTACCGCAATTTGCGGAACAACATATCCAACCGGAACTGACAAAACCGAACGGTACATGTTGAACACGATTCAATTTAATTTGGTATTTATATGGAGTTACTACGATAAATAACAGGTTATCGAATTGTTTGATAAGTTCCCGTGGAAAACTCTAAATTCTCATAATCAGGCATAGCTTGATTTTTCTTTTCTTTTTCTATAAAAGTATCGAACTCTTCGCAAAAATCCACATGAACTTGTTGAACAATCCAATATAATAATGACAATTTCAGTAAATGAGTTCCCGGTGCTGAAAGCGGATGGAATAAAATTTATAATGACGTTCAGATCAGTGTTACCACGCGAAGTGGTAATAGGAAGTTTGCCGCAGTTAATAAGACATCTAAGCGCCAACAGTATCGTCGTGCACAGTTACGCCGCTTGCGCGATTGAAAAGATATTGGCGATGAGAGGTCCCGATAATCTATCTCTGTAAGAAATAAACGTTCCCCCCTTCCCCCCCCCCATTATTAATCAATTTATGGATAATTATTGAGTTATTTTTGCTTGCAATTTTACAGGGTCAAAGGAGCCGATTTGTCGCCACTCGTGGCGGACTTGCTGAAAGGACTGTTCGCCTGCTTGAACACATCCGGTTCCGAGGAAAACGAATATGTCATGAAGGCTATCATGAGGAGTTTCGGTATTTTGCAAGAGGTCGTGGTGCCGTTCTTGGCCGATTTGCTTCCGAAACTTACCGAGAAACTCGCTATCGTATCGAGAAATCCAAGCCGGCCGAATTTCAATCATTATCTCTTCGAAACCCTGAGCTTGTCCATCAAGTAAGCCACTGCATTTTAATTCAATGGGACAAAAAACGGTTTATCAAGAGATAGCACCAAGTGACGCGTTTTTTTTTTTTTTCTAGAATTGTCTGCAAAACGAATCCTGTAGCGGTGTCATCTTTCGAACAGGCGTTGTTTCCTATCTTCCAGGGAATCTTGCAGCAGGATATACTGGGTGAGCAGCCGTCACACACAGAGCGCTTGATCACTTAAATTTTCGAAACCCGCTAGCTGGCTATTAATTATAATGAATAAACCGCTTCCTATGCCTGCAAATCGTGTCTCTTGCTGTCCAAGTTAAATTTATTATATCGAACTTTGAACAATACTACATCTCGCCCCGAAAAATGGACGTGTGCATTTCTTCTTTCAGAATTTATTCCTTACGTTTTCCAAATTCTCGCGTTGCTCCTGGAGCTACGAACTACCCAAGACGTCTCGGAACCGTACATGGCTCTGTTCCCGTGTCTGTTGTCGCCGGTGTTGTTCGAGCGGCAGGCCAATATCCATCCCCTGAATCGCTTGTTGCAAGCATTCATCAGCCACGGCTCGCATCACATCGTAGCACAGGATAAGACGAGCGGACTGTTGGGAGTGTTCCAGAAGTTGATCGCGTCAAAAGCGAACGATCACGAGGGATTCTTACTGATGCAGAGCATCATCGAGTATTTTGCACCGTAAGGACACTCGCGAGAATTTATTCCCGTTTGCTCCCCGTCCGTTCCTCGCGAGTGAGTATTCGCGTGTCCGTTCATTTGGGAGTTTTTTTTTTTCTTGAACATTGCAGGAACGTCCTGGAGCCTTACATGAAGCAGATCTTTGTACTTCTCTTTCAAAGACTCTCCTCCACGAAAACGACGAAGTTCGTGAAAGGTTTGATAGTGTTTTTCGCCTACTATATCATTAGGTACGGATCGCCGAGCTTAGTCACGATCATCGATCAGATACAACCGCAGTGAGTTTTTCGACGAGATACGAATGTGTGCGAAGATTCGTGTTTCTCACCGCAGAAAATCCGTCGTTTCGCAGAATGTTCGGGATGGTCGTGGAGCGTGTGTTCATAACTGATATGCAGAAGATATCGGGTGTGATAGAGCGCAAAGTGGCGGCCGTGGGAATCTCGAACTTGCTGATCGACTGCCCGGCGATGCTCGAGGCACCGTACAATTCGTACTATCCGCGTTTGCTGGCCGCGTTGGTGGAATTCTTCGAGCTTCCTCAGGATCAAAGCGTGTCGCCGGAAGACGACGTGTTCCCGGAAATCGATGACGCGGTTGGCTATCAAGTCGGTTACAGCCAACTCATCTGCGCGAGAAATCCTGCGAAGGATCCCTTACAAAGTACGTTGTCATTTTTATTCTAAATTCGAATTTTTTCGCACGAGAAATTAGGATCGAAATTTTACCGATTTTTACTTCCCAAAGTATTTTTCGTATAGTAAATAGTTTTTTTGTAAATTAATTTGCAGAGAGTATTTCATATTGTGTCTAATTGTATACTCTCTTGACAGATATCGGTGATATACGTCTGCACTTAGCGCAAGGTCTCGGAAGATTATCGCCGGGACATTTGCCGGGACTTTTAGGACAGATTCCTGAACCGAACGCGAATCACTTGAGAAATTACCTACAAACGGCCGGCGTTACTGTTGCATAATACGAACTAGGCGTCCGCGACAGATTGAAAATCCATTTGATAGCTCGAAAAATGAACAATATTGAACTGAATAAATTGTAATTAAGGAGAAGAGCCCTGTTTTCTATAAAATAATTGTACAATTTTGGAAAACGCATCAACACAACTATTTATAGCTTAAAAGCCCGTAGGTAATGTTTGTCATTTTTATACCGTAACTCGATATATCGTTGTAGAAAAGAAACAAAAAATACGTAGTCTAGCTAATTGTATTTCGATACATGGGAATTGTCGAGAATAGTTAAAAAATTTTAATTATCCTCGATTATCCATGATAAGAACGAGCAAACACGTGCTTCATATATTTCTTCGTTTAGTTTCCTATTTAACCAGCACATACACGGTTATATATTTTATATGTGAAATAATATTGAGACACTGAATTGTGTGAATTTGTTCCTCAAATGTTTTTAAAATACATATCCATCAGTTTTGTTTCTCTCGTCGGATGCAGTAAATCGAAACATTTCTCTCTTACCAAGTATAGCATTTTGTAATTTTCTACCATTTTTTATAATTCCTTTTGAGGGTAAAACAAAATTATTACAAATAAATTCAGAAGGATAGTAAAGCGGATGGATTGGTGAACTATTTTGCAAATTGTAAATATCCAACATTGAAATTGTTTAAGCGACTAAGATAATTCATGATTAAGAATCGACGATATTTTTGTGTTAGGTCATTTTTGACTGAACCATAGCAGAGAGGAGTCTCGTTAATTTGATAGCTAAGTAAAAAGTTACTTAAAAATTAAATTAAAAGGTTAATATAAGTGATGAAAATTGAATATTATTAAAATTAAATATTCAAAGCTATATATACAAGGTGTCCCATTTTAATCGATCGATCCAAATTTTATGCTCTATTGATACCTGTGTGTAGAAATAGGAGTTTTCGTTGAAAAAATTCAGTCTACTTTGTATGACCCCCAACGAGGCCACCGTATCGCATGATCACATATTTTACGTGAAATTTGATTGCTTTATCGGTTTCTAAGGTCAGAAATAGGTGTTTTCGCGCTGAAAAAAATATAGTTCGCTGTTGTTTGACTTCACATGTGGGCTCAATTAGACCCCCCATGGGTTCGAATCATTCGTAAGTATTGGCATAGTTGCGAGTGATATCCAATGGGCGTACCGCTTTAACGGAATATCTCATTGGATATCACTCACGTGTACGATTATAAGATCTGCTTAAATAGCAGGCTTCTGTGCGGCAAAAAGCGACGCTACAGCCAATAAATTCTCAGTGTTTCACTGTCTCAGGGAAAACGGCACGCTGATAGGTCGCTTCTCGGGCAGAAGCTGCAGCGCTATCTTTTGGTTTGTTTCCGAGCCTCCTAAGTAGCGAAATATTCAAGTATGTTGGCGCTCTGTCAGCGCGAGCCGTGGACGGTGTTGAACGGCGTCGCGGGGCATAAATATTATTTAGATGTGATAATATAGAACAAGGGAATTAATATATCAAACGTCAAACAAGATGAATGCCACCGAAGCGGAAACTATCGCCGATCAGGTGCAGAATATGATTGTTTCTCTTTGCGGCGAACAAAAGCCAGGTTAGTTTTCCCGTATCTATGTATGTTGTGTACGTCACGAAACACGCAGGACACGATTTTGCAAAAAAATATATTTTTGTAACGCTTCCTTTTATATTTTACAGAACTGATTAGAAGATTTATGCGTTTTTCCCTTGGGTTACTGTCATCTGCTCATGGTATAGAAACACTAAGGGAGGATGAAGTGACTGTAGCAACGTGTATAAGGAGCAAATTGTCGGAACGTGACGCAGTAGAATTTGATAAATTACACAGTGATTTAAAGGATGGGGTAACGTGAAAGCTTATAATTTCTGCTATCTTTTTCTTTCTCTCCTCTCTTGCTTCTGTGAACTTACGACAATATAAAAATATACCAGGCTTTCTGTTATTCTTTTATCAGCCACTGAAGAATCGTATGAGTATTCTAATATTTCTGCTAAACATGGGTCAACCGGCAGAACAGATGAAGGATAGGATTTTCTCGTTTCCAGACATGAGGCTGGGTTTAAGTCCGATCGCGTCCACCAGTGGTAAGAATGACACTAATGATATTCATCGAGGTGTTATCTAATTGACTTTATATTTAGGGCAAACGTCGCAAACATCATGTTCTCCGGCGCAAGTTGTATCCGTGAATACCACAGAGACGAGCTCGAGAGGATTGCTGGTAAATCCAAGTAAGATATTCAACGAAGAGTGCGTCTCGGAAGATGTACTGGTCCAGGACTTGATATATTCCTTCCAAAGCGTGGAGGGGAAGGTCTTGAAGCTGGATTCAAGCTACGGCTTTCAGATTGATTCCGCAGCGAAAATCAACAGATCGCAAAGGCAGGCCGTCTCGAGACTGAGCGAGCTAGGGTACTTACATAATATAGTGCGAAGAGGCTTGGAGAGAATGTCCGGGGCGAATGCAGGCAGAGTCGCCAACAGTTTTGTCGCTGCGCTGCACAAGGAATTATCAGAATATTACAGATTCGTCGCCGTAATGCAGGAAGAGGTGAATAGGTGAGATTTATACATAGGCCGTCAGGATATTTTGACGAAGCGGCAGGTAGAATGAGACCGGTGATTTATTAATTACGCAAGATTTTTCATATTAGTACAAATCACTGAGACGATATATCTTATTTGCCTATTATATTTACATCTTTTATTTCACAAATTAACTTCACGCAATTATCTTTATTACGGAAAAGAAGTAATATAGGTTTTAACATGTGAATTTTTCTGAGCGAATTTTCCCACCCCGTGAGAAAGAAACCGATAAAATCTGTGAAAAAGTGGGAGGAAATCGCTTTTTTTCTTTTCGATTTTCAAAACTACAGAAATGCGATCGAAAGAAGAGTGTAACTCGAGACACGACCCCTAAACTGATATGATGTGACGATCAAAACAGGTCGCAAAATCAAATGGTCATGTACGGAGTCACGCTGTCTCAGTTGCACTATTGGACATGCGACCCCTTCGAGACGTTGAAGTGGTTGGCGAGCATAGTGAGAGCCTGTCAGGGTCTGAAGGGCGGTGCACTGGCGTCCGCCGTCTACAACTTCAGCTGCCACGGCGACGCCAACGTGAAGAATCTCGTCAAGAGGATCTTGGAGAGCGTCTGCAATCCCTTGTACAACATGCTTATGAAGTGGATCGCCGACGGTGAACTGGACGATCCGTATAAAGAGTTTTTCATTCAAGCGTGCGCCGATGTCAGCGGCGACCGGATGTGGCACGACAAGTACCAAGTGAAGAGCTCCATGTTACCGTCGTTCATCAGCAAGGCGCAGGCGAAGAAGATCCTGGGCACGGGGAAGAGCATCAATTTCCTGCGCGAAGTTTGCAAGGATTTCACACCCTGGCAGGGTAGACACGCGGACATGTTCGGGGACAGCGACGAAGAGTACAATGGTTGGTAGACGTTCGAGAGTGGAGTGTCGAATAGCTCGTTACAATCGCAATCCAGAGTTTAGCTAATGATTAATTGTTCATTTAAGAGTTCAGAGTAAAAAATTTATAATTTTTAACTTAAACTGGTCAATTTAAAGTATATTAGTTTGAACTTATTAGCCCCTTTTTTTTTTATACAACTAATTCATCAACGTTGAAATTATTGCGGACTGTTTACAGTAGAAAATGCAATAATAATGCCAGCGGAATTCATTTTAATCTCTCTTTGAGCGCTATAATGTCCGTGTCGAACGCAAAACAGTTGGAAACTTTCTTATAATAGATTCTCTTCTTTATTTAATATAAATTTAATTTACGATTAAAAAATGTGTATGGCTTTACACAATTAATTGTTAATTTTAATAAGCTGGTATTGGTTTAAGTAACTTTTAACTTAACTAAGTTAATTTTATAAGCCTTTAACTTGGTTAAAGATGAAAATTAACTTACTCAACCCTGATCGCATCAAACTTAGGAGGATACTGAACACCCTCTACGCGCTCTTTCAGTTGAGGTCTTTTTCGACATGGATCCGGACGGTCGCTTGCAAACCACGATGGATACTGCTTACAAGGAAACCTCGACTAGAGTTGTCGAGATATTAACGAAACAGTATCACCTTATGGAACACCTGCAGGGAATCAAGAGCTACCTATTGCTTGGCCAAGGCCACTTTATCCAACATCTGATGCACTTGTTAGGGTAAAAATTTCTCGTTCTCTCGATGATATCAGAAGCGAGAAAACGCATGCTCGAAATCCTCGCGAAATATGTTGAAATCGATATGACACTCGTGATTGATCGAGCACATCTGTCGAAAATTCTCCTTTTGCTCTAACAATCGATCAATAAAATCGTAAAATGGATATTACACGTTGATTTTGCAGCTATTTATTGTTTTAAGGATGAACATTTTCGGTATGTGCTTTCATAAATGTGCTCGATTGATCACAAGTTATATATCATATCTTATTTCACGTATTCCGCGAGCATTTCGGATACGAGTTTTCTCGCTTTTTTAACGCGATTGCGCTCCAGTCCAGATGCAACATCAATGCACATTTCAGGCCTGAACTAGCTAAACCATCGAATTCTCTATATCCTCATAACATATCATCTATACTCGATACCGCGATAAGAGCGACCAGTGCAAAATTGGACGACTTGGACGTTCAGAGACGCCTGGACGTTAGACTGTTGGATCCTTCGGAAAACGAAACAGGATGGGACGTCTTCTATCTGGATTACAACGTCGACGGACCGATAGGAACGGTAAAGTATCGAGGTGTATCAATTGAGAAGTTCGGCAAACACTTGATCGCGAATTCTCACATTCGATACTTCATTATTCGTGTTTAGATTCTGGAGCCGTGCAGGCAGACGTATCAAACGGTGTTCTTTGCGCTGTGGCGGGCGAAGAGGATGGAGTCGATCTTGTCCGGCATTTGGAAGCGGCAGACTACATCGGCCAAAATGTTCCGGAGAATGCCGGAAGTGTTGCCGATCCAGAATCATATACACCTAATCACCAGCAGCATGGTCCACCTGGTTCATCAGATGTTGTATTACTTTTTATTTGAGGTAATACGTCACTATTTGAGATACATTGAGGTATTCTCATTTGAAATGTTTCGTGCGAAGATATATATATATATATATATATTCCTGAAGTTTTGCGTAATATTTATACTTTAACTATATAATATCTGCATACTATATAGTTCAATATCAACAAAGTTATAAATATAAGTAGTTTAAAATAATTTTGTTAGCGTTGAACGTGAAAGGTTGGCTGCCATGATTCTGACGAATGAGAATACCTCCTTGAACACGCGCCTTGTGTTTATGGAAATTGTTGCATATCGAATACCAAATGAGAAAGTTGTGTTAATTGAAGGTGATTGAATGTTCTTGGGATACATTCGCGAAGCAACTTGTCCAGGCGACGTCTCTCGACGACATAATCGCGGCTCACAATCACTTTGTTGATTCTGTGAGGCATGGTACGCTGTTAGATGAAAAATCACAGGTATGTATTGAATTATACACGATGTATCATTTTTAAGTCGACACAGATATCCCGAAGGCAATGAATTAAAAAAGAAGCTGAAACACGTGCTCCATGATTTTAAGGATCGATATAGCACTTTTTTAATGCATGGGCGAGGTCATTTCAAGATCAATTTTGTTATTTTTAAGCGGAAACCTATATTTTTTTACTCGATCACAACTTTAAGGAAAAATAGCGAGAGACAAAAATTGTTTATCTTCCTCTCAGAGCTCTGAGAATTTTTTTATCAACTTTTTAATACTGCATTTCTTTATGTTGGAAAATGCATACTTGCTTTGATATTACCTGATCGGTATTTAAGTAGACGCCTGTATATACATATTTACTTTTGTTAATATTCCAGAAACTTATGGATCACCTGCGCTCCGTCTATTATCCGATACAGGATCTCCAGAATCACGAGGAGACCTTCCTCGCGCGTGCTACACAGGAATATGAAGCGAGATTAAAAACCGACGACTTTGCGCAACCGAAGAAATCGGGCCGTACGAATAAGAAGGATCAAGAAGCTGTAGAGAGAGAGGCGGCGTTCTCCAAGTATCTGAACACGTTCTCGAGGCAACTGAAACTACTTTCAAGAACTTACCAGGTAATAACGAAGCGGGACATGAATTTTGTACATATTAAACGACGTTCGATTCTCTCGCCTCTTCGAAGAAAGTGCATGTCGATCTCCGACACTTTGTGCGTATCTAAATACATTCGGACAAAAGTTGTAAAAGGTTTAAGTAAGCGCATTCAATGGCCATATCCGTTGGGTGGCATTGAATCGAGTCGTTTTATGTATATTAGGGTAAGATGATGGAAAAGTTAACATTTTTCGATAACCTCACCTTTTGAAACTTTTGGCTATACGTACAAATGTATTCTTTCTCTTTTTCAGGATCGTGTGAAAAAATTCTTACTAATGCTCGCCTCTGCTGAAGACGTGTCGCTACAGTTACTCAGTGTGCGATTAGATTTTAACGAGTATTACAAGAGTCAGGATAACCGATTAGTCGCGCCGTTAACATATCAACACCGTAGACAAAGTGATCAGACTTTCTTTGGATGCAAGTGACAATCGGCAGCGGAAAATTCATTAGAAGCTTTAGCCGGTCACGTTTCTAATAAACGCTATACCCAAACTGCGCAGAATTCGCCTGATTTTAATAGTAAGGACAAAAGCATGTTCGATTCCACCAGTAATTGCTCCCCCATTGCATTTTCTTCTCCGTATTGGCAACATGACACCAGCGATTTCTCTTATAGACCGCAATCGTCCGTAATGATGACAGATACCGACGGCTCTGTCGCTTTGCACAAAAGAAGGTGTAGAACCAATCTGAAAAATGCCGAACTGAGTAAGCGTACGTTTAGGATATTCTTGGAGAAACAGATATTGTCGCACGTGGGAGCGGAGATACGGAAAAATATCAGTGAGGTTCAAACCCCGTCGACGCCCGTCTTCGGCGGGAACGATAATCTTGCGTTGAATTACGCACGGTTAGCCTTTCAGTCGTTTCAAGCGAATTCGTTCGTTAAAAGCGGCTTGAATTTGCCGGATTTAGAAGCCAAAGCGTGTCTCGTCGACGAAACTGCGAGAGCAGCTGATTCGGAGGTTAACGAGGATTCCCTTCGGTGCAAATCAAAAGCCTCTACTACCTGCATCCAATCGGCCGCATCCAATCAAAATAACACCTCAAGTGTGAAAATCAACAAGATAATTAACGTAGAATCCAGCCGTACCTCGATGCACGTTACTAGCCCGGAATGGTTTCAAGATAACGAGACTTCATCGGTCCACGGCTCTCTGATCAGCGAAACCATCTCGGACAGCAGCGTGTACAACATAAATCTAAGTAATATCAATCACAAACGATGCCGTTGGAAACGTATACTCTTTTGTTGCGTTAATTGATCATGCCGCACGTGTAACGTCAATCAAAAAATATACCTGAAAGAAAATCTTCCCTCCGAAATTTATCAATTTTTTTTCTCTTTGCGCGCTTACTTTCTGTATATTGAATCGACATATTGATAACGTTGATTTTTATGGGTAGCGCATCACGTCTACCTTTTTAATATCTACCCTTATAAATTTGTCGAATTTTTTTTTCAGAAGATTTCGATATTTCAGGTCTCGCAGTCAGAGAAGATTGTTAATTGAAGGAACAAGCCCATGAATTTCCCGTAGATCTCACTAATTAAATAGAATAATTAAAAGTCGATATTTTTCATTACCGAGAGATAATATAGTTAGAATTTTCCCGCTATATTCGATTGTAAATAGCAGTATTACTTTCGTTATTTTTGTTACTATATTTTCGATATAATTTTTTGAAATAATATAATTAGTTATATTTGTTATCTATATATATTCTCTTATTATTAATACATATTGTATATATTATGCCTTATCAGATACGAAAGCACATTTGAGGCTGTAATACTAATCAATTTTTTCTTCACCTCGGCATACTTTAAATTCTTTGCTGTGTTAGAGAGAGCTTTATGCAATATTCAGAGCTGAAATTTTACACACTGAGATTGTGTTGCCGTGTATTTGAAATTTGCAATAAAAAAAGAAATCAAAATATTATATACTTGTAACGACGTTCGAGCATCATTGATGAAAGATACATTTTCTCAGACCTACTCTTTATGCGTAAATAATGATAGGAGAAACACACGGGTTTATTATCCATATGTATTAAAGAAACGATTTTATTCATTATTGATCGTACGAATTATAAATTGTCTCTTCATTTCAAATGCTATAATACTAAGAGCCGAGGCAATGTTTAAACTTTCAATGCCACTGGTCAGGGATATATTCACGCGAGTGCAGTCCCTCTGGCGAAGTAAATCGCACGATTGCAGACTCACACCCTCGGTTTCGCCGCCGGTGATAAGTACTATCTCGGTTTTTGTAAAATCCAATGTATGATACGGTACAATCGGAAACTGAGACACTATTTTCTTCACAAGTGCTTTAGTTTTCGCGGTCGACGTGTACGATTTAATTTCCGATGGTATCGTCGGGTCATTTCTCTCGCTCTGATCTTTCGAATCATCCTCTTCCACATCGGTCAAATTCATTTCGGCTTCATCCGAATCGTTTCTCTTGTACTCCATATTGTTGTCCGCTAAGTAAATCGTAGACTCGTTGCTTATCAACGCGGGAAGGTCCTCCCACGAGATAGATGTATGTATCGGTATACGGAAATGCGCGCCTGTGGCACCACGTAGAACCTTTGGCTCCCATAAATCTACACATCCTGGAACGGAGGGGAGAATCGATTTAGAGAGCAGCGTTTAATTCAGTAAAAATCAGCGATAGTTGAATGCGACGTGTACCTTTCATTAAGATTAATTTCTCGCAACCAACCGCCGCGGCAGTTCTCACGATACTTCCTAGATTTCCAGGTTCTCTGATATTATCGCAAATTATAGTCAACGGTATGGCGTCTTCGGTGGGCTCCTTATTCTCCATATTTGGGATGTTGAAAATTCCTGCATAAAAACACCAACGATCATACGAGTTCTTTCGTCTTGAAATTACGATCAATGTCTATAAGATTAATACAGATTTACCGAGTATTCCAGGGGAAGTTGTCAAGGTAGACCACAATTGGATTGTTCGATATGGGATTTTGTACAATTGCACATTTTGGGGAAATGACAGTCGCTGCACATCGTCTAATCTACTGAAGAATATCACTCTCGGTATCGCACCTCCTTGAATCGCATCTTGGATTATTCGAAAACCTTCCAATAGGATTTGACCATGCTTTTCTCTATTCTTTCTAGTTCTAATCTTTAACATCAAAGAGCTGAAATATAATAATATCACTGTTACTTTTCCTTATGTAGCTAACTAAAAGTGTTACAGTGTGTATTACATACCTTATAAGCTTATCATTTTCTTTGAGAGCTTTATACAGCGGTTTTTTACTATCAGACTCTTCCTCCTTTCTTTCTTCTAGCTTTTTCTTTTCTCTCGCCTCTTTCCTTGCTTTCTCCTTGCGTATTTTAGAACCACGTTTTCTAAGTGATTTAGTCAGATTTGTCTGTTTATCATCATCATTATTATTATCAAAAAGCTCGTCCTCATTGGTTATCGCGATAGGCTTGCGACTGGTATATTTAGAATACATCATTATATTCGTAGTACATCTCGTTTTTGACGTTAAACCGTCTACTCCAGAAAATGTTGCACTATGAATAAATCTGAGCGACAGCCGTCCAAAGTTCCTCAACATTTTTATCTTGATGATGTACTTTCGGCAAATCTCTCTTAATAATATTCTCCTTCAGTAACCGGCTGATCGGCGTAGAACAGAGGATAGAATCACCTAATCTTTGCGCTGTCCCACAAAATTGAACACATAAATGCTAAATTTAATCCGCGTACTTTACAATGTAACGACCGCGTGCATCTCCGTGTACATCGAGATTTACGATGATTTGAGGTTAGAATCAAAGTAAGGTTGAGTTAGGTCCGACACACGATATCTAGTCTCTTTCTTTCCCTCTCCTTCTTCCACTCACAGCTACGGCGCTAAGTCTGTCCTGTGTTACATCATTTTTCGCGTTTGAAAGAAGATAGAGGCGTGCGAAAAATGAAATTTACAAAAGAGATCGCAGAATAAAATGTTGAAAGTATCGTCGAACAAAAAAAAACCATCTCTCCGCGAGAAATTTGCTTCAGGAAAGAACGATAAATTTCCCGAAAGGAAGAAGTCTCGCACCTGTCCTTCTCCGAAAGCCCGTTATATCTCAGAATGAATAAATTTTTCAACGAAACCGGCAACATGTTGGGACGGGTGAGAAATACCTTCTCTTAAACCGATCGCAACCTGCAAGTATACAGATATTTCTATAATTACACTCATTACACGGTTACATATCGGGGACGGGTATGACGAACGTCGCTATATGAAGCTTTGACGAGCGCAATTAACGACTATTATTAACTTTCCACAGAGGAAACATGAAAACTTGAGAATCTTGAAATTCAATTTCTTCCTCTACGAAACACAATTGTAATTCCCGGAGTAACTTCATACTTTTGACATTTAAAAAACCTAAAAAAAAAATGCGTGTAATATTTACTAATTTCAATTTCCTCTCTTAATCTCCTCCTCTCATATTCATTTTATACCCGACAATTCTTCGACATCCGATCAAATATTCCATCGAATTTGTTCGTTTCAACATCAACGGATATTTATTGATCGGATACGTTCGATTAAGTTTTTCATCGGCTATATAACTTCGTCGGATATATCCGTTTGTTACCTTTTCCATTGGATTATTCGATCAGATATAATCGGACATTTTTTTCAGTGGTAAGGATTGTCGCCCGGATACTAGCTTTTGGCTCAGACCGATTACATAAATTTCTATTTGGACGGTTGTGTTCGCACATACCTGCTACTTTGTGCAGATCGTGTTCCACAGCTTTCTGGCGATGCTCTCCACCACGATAGGAGAGTGTTTGCCGTTCCGCAAGGCGAGCTGCTACCTAACACTGAGATTTCTTCAAATTGAATAAATTTTATCGCACCCAAACAGATTTCATCATTGACCTGATCCAAAGAAACTAATGTTTCGATTAATAAGCACGACTGTTAGATTTTTCAACGAATATGTATCTTTATCTTGAATAAAAAAATTTTAAACGAAAGAATTTTCTTCCAAAGAAATTATTCGTTTCATTTTACATATTTATTATAAGCGTGTAATATTTTAATTGATTAAAAGATATTAATTCAAATAATAGAGTTTTTCTCAAATGATACCCAAACAAATAATATTTCGTACATGTTGTTTCTATGAAACAAATTTTAGTCAAATAAATAGAAATACTGAATCTAAAGAAACCTTTTTCTCTGTGTTTAGAATATTTCGTTTACAATTTCACACTATCCCGCAGATCCTGAAAACGTCCTACTCCGCGTTTAACAGTTGGCAAAAATCGTTTCAAGAAGCGGACATTTATTCTTTCGCTATTTATACACAGTGTATACACGACAATCTATCGTAAATAAATTATTCGTCAAGGTATACGTCATAGTATGCGCTCTGACACAACGCTTTCGTCGTCGTAAAATTGTTTAATATGTAATAATTAAGCGACTTACTTTTAAGTCACGAACAATTAAGTCTTATTTCATCATTTGTCATCTACTCACAACGTGTTGCCACACCATATATATATTAAAATAGGTAAGATTTAAGTCGGTCTTAAACGAATCTACAATAAGTAAACTTCGAGCCGCACTGAACTGAAGAGAAACGACGACAAATTAATTTTTGAACTGCAACGACATCCACGAGGGCCACGGGTACACGCTGGGTAAGTGCATATAATTATTATCGAGACCTTCGAACCTGATAATCTCTACACTCGAGATACCGCTGTCTATGCTCGTGCAGCTTCCCGTGCCGTTGTTCGACACGTGAGAGTTGTGCAGACGCTCGTGGATGCGCAGGTTGACGGGAAGCTTTTGGTTGTAAACGTCGCAACGATACGAATAATCACCTGCGCAAAAGAATGTTCACGGGTCAACCGTCGATTTGAGTGTTCGTTTGTTGTTCGGGGACTCAACTTCGACAGACTACGATACGATGAAATTGCTCGTTTCTGAGAATATGTTATTATTAATATTCTAAATGTCCTTAGGTAGATAATTTTTAATTACTAATTCAAAATACAGCTTATTTGATTTTCTCCAGTTTATCTAACATTCGCCCGCTTAATCCGAATTTGGATAAAATTGACCCAAGCGAAAAATTGAGGCACCATATTTGTGGAATTATACCGTATACACATAAGCATCGAATATTTTTCCTCGAAATGTGTTTACTTCTTTCTGTGTAAAATCAAGATATTATCTCCTCTTGTACCTCAAATTGTCCATCTCAAAAATAACGACAATTCAAAAAAATGTATCTTCTCTAGTGTGCCGAATTAAGCAGCAAAAAGTAAATGTGCCGACAAAGGGTTACCGTGCGATTTCATGTGATGATGCAGAGCGCCGAGCTTGCAGAATCCTCTGTTGCAGACAGGGCAGCGTAACGGCCAATTGCCAGTGTGCGAGTATCCGTGGGCTCTCAGATCACCGGGAGTCGGAAAGGAACGTCCGCATTCGTCGCACTTGTGCGGTTTTTCCTGCGTGCGATCGTACGTTAGTGCGGTGCGCATCCCCACGCTTCCGGTACTCAAGTGCTTTTGTCGCTACACATGCGAGATAGACGAGTTCAAGGGAAGGAACCTTATAGTGAGTCATGCGATGGTAATACAAATTCGACGAAGCGGTGAAGCGCTTTCCGCACATCGGGCATTCATGAGGACGCTCGCCGGTATGAATCCTAATGTGAGTATTCAACGAACTGCTGGTGCTAAACATCTTGCCGCACACCGTGCAGCCGTGTGGTTTCTCCCCTGAGAGAGAGAGAGAGAGATTCGATCGCTCGGCGGATCAAACCGAATAATATATTCATGTTATTCGAGAATAATTTTCATTCAATCGAGAGGAAAAATAGAAAGAACTGATCGCGCTTCCGAAAACACTCGTGTGGAAAGAAGCGCAAACTTACCGGTGTGTGTTCGCAGGTGTCTCTTCAGCAGGGACGGCCTGTCGAAGCTTTTGCCGCAGACCTGACAGGGCAGACGCCGTTGAAACGCGCCGCTCTTCCACGCGTTCCCGCGTCTGCTCAGATCCAACGGCGCGTTCTGCATCACGTTCCATACTATTAACAGATTCACGTGGTCGGTGATTATCACGTTTGCAATTTGTATGCAACAACCTCCCTCCGCTTACCGGACATTGCCTGGGATGAGATAATTGCACGCGAGTCACTCACACGGTCGTTCTTACCACCTCGGTCAGATTAAACTCGGTTGATTAGAGGAAAGAAGTAGCAGCGGTGCGACTCGTAAACGGCGCTCTTCGGCGCATGTCGAAGGCGGTGTTTTCGCATAGGGCGGAGTTTGATCGTCGTCTGGATAATGTGCTTTGTGTGATATTGTGTGTGCGGCACGCCTCGGGATTCCCTCAGCATCATACAAGTCACGACAGAGAGGCCGGTAGTCGAGGACAAAAATGAAGCTAACGATTTGAAGCAACCTGCTGTGTGTAAAACTCGACGGTCAGCTAGATCTTGCCAACTGACTGTCGAAGAATTTGTCTCGACTTTTGTGTCAATGGGAACGAATTCGGTCCGAAGAATTCCGTCAACGTTTCGACAGCCCAGGTATATAATATAAATGTACTTTTTATTTATATATATATTATTATTTTATTTCTTAATATTCTAAGAACATTCTTTATTAGAACATGTCAAGAATATTATGTGAAGTGGACATATCGTAACATCGACAGGACATTCCTACAATATTGAAAAATAACATTCCTAGGAATATTATAAAAATATTATTTTGATATTTTTATTACACGCTTATAGGGGAAATGAGGAGAAAAATGATGATGAAACGATCACCTTCTCATCATTTTGACGTCGTAATCATTTTTTCGTTCTACCTTTGCCTATTGGATCCGGAGATGCGCGCTCCATCGCGTAAATGAAGTTCACGGGCGATGATGATGCTTTGTCACCGTGTTCATTATTGTACTCGGAACGGCGGAGGTGAGATAATTCGTCGCGTGGCAGCGAGCGAGCGAGCTATCCCGTCCGATCCCTCATTTGTCAACGTAGAGGATATTAAAGCCATTGAATGGCCCGCGCGGGATCTTTACAAATCGGTTCTTCTTTATCGATCATGCGGCGCAACAATGCGCATATTTTTGCTGTGTAGCGTTGCGGCATTATCGATGGTAACCACCCTCCACACAACATTTCGCGCTTTCATGTCTCGCGAATGACGAGGCGATAAACAAATGCTTCGCAGGTGAGAACGAATCTTTTTTTATTTTGCTTGCAACATAATCATTAACATGCGTGAAGAGAAAGCGTTTTGGACGGCGGAGTTGTTACGATTTATTTTAGCAATATACGTGTTTCCCTCCGCTCGAGTGCTTTACGCAAGCTGAGGAAAGCTCACCGCTGGAAATGTTGAATCGGCGCGTAGGAGCTTGACATTTCAACTGTTTGGAAATCATTGCAGAAGTGTAAAAATAACAAATGTATTGTTTACTTTGTTTCGTTTCTCCAACTTTTCCTCCACCTCATCAGGAAGGGGGAAGAAAGAGAGAAAAATAATTCAGCACAACATGCTGTCGTAGCAAATAAATACAGGGTGTTCCTTAAGTACCATTTAATATTTTAAGAATCGATTTTCGAGATCGCGACTCTCAATGGACTAGATATCGCGGTATTTCAAATTACTTCATATTGATTTATTTGTTTGTTACGACAGCGTTACGAAATTGGCTACCCCTGCAAATTTTTCTCCGTGCGATCAAGTTACGTTTGCCGAAGTAGAATAAACGAAGAGCATTGATTTTCGAATATATTATCGCGCCGTTCTTCCTGTTCGTTTCGAGATCGCGAATCTTTAGCCTAAGTTTGGCGCAGACTGGAATTTCATTTTTCTCGTCAGAGAGACGTATTCAGATTCCAGCAGAATCAGCTCGTTGTTTCCCGTGCGGAGATACGGGGCCGGCACGTACAGGGTGATCTGCGGTCCGACCGACGGCCAATATCTGCCGAGGTTGTAACCGTTCACAAAGGCCATTCCCTTGCCCCAGCCTCCAGTGTCCAGGAACGTGTCCAGCGGTTGCCCCGTCACCGTGAAGTGTCCGCGTAAAAACACTGGGCTGCTTTTCAGGGCCCCGTTCTTCATCGATATAGTTCCCTTGTCCCGAAGGATGGACACGTCCGGAAATGAGTAACCCGTCATGTTCCACATTTTCAACGTGACTCCGGCGATGTTCACGTTTGAGACACCCTGAGAAATAACGCGAATCTATCAATGCGTGTTTGATGACGCTCAGATCGATCGTATACGCACAAAGTAGATCTCGAGTCGAGTAATAAACAGCGTTGGTTTTGGAAACAAATCTATCTGGAATTTCTGCGTCCTCCTACCTTATAGTCCCGTATTTCGTAGCCGAAGTTCACGCGGCCTTGGTTTTCCACTAGTATACGCAGGTGATCACCGTAAGACTTCTTCAGCGGTAGCGTGAACTTCTTATCCGTGCGGCTCAGAATGCCGTACAGTTGCTTGTTCACGTACACCAGCGCCCGGTCCTTCACCGTCGCGTTCAAGGTGTACTCGTCCGAGATAGAGACCGGCAGTCTCGTCTCGTAGAGCACGAAACCCTGATTGACGGACAGCGCTTCGAAGGTCTTGGGAAAGTCAGCGGCGGACTGGCTCACCACGAACAGATAGTTGTCGAGCAGTTCCGATATCGGCTCGAGCAGTACCGGTCCGTAGTTGCCCTTCGGAGACACGATCGGGACAGGTACGCCCGGCAATGGCAGATACTGGAAATTTCGGCGAAACGTCAGCCTTTCTCTCTCCTTCGTAATCGTTATAAACGCACCTGACCGATGACGTTTCGCAGAGCGAAGTACTTCTCCGTCGGGTCTCCGGCTTCGGTCAAAGGAGCGTCGTAATCGTAAGAAGTGATCTGCGGCTTGAATTCATTCGAGCCGCCGTTAGCGCCTGCCAATCGTTACATCCGGGTCCAAAATATGTGCACGCAGAAAGATACGTTCGAATCAATGTTACTTGTCTCATAAGTTTATCGAGATTATGTACTTGTAGTGAACAAAAATACCATTTTGGAAAGAAGCCTCTGTGCACTTTCATTTCATCCGTAAATATATCAAGCGTGAAATTTTTTCCAAATATACTCTGAATGCTTGCTAAATTTAGTATTTCAATCAAGAATATTAAATTAAAACGGTTTGCTCGTTCAATTAAGCGAATTTTCTCCGGCAAAGTCTATAATATTCTTGAAGAGAGAATAAATTCTTATTTCAAATTTTTCTGGTGTAAGTAATATTTTAATATTACTATCGAGAAAATCCTTTAGATAATTATTAATGAAACGAAGGTTGATCAAACGCTTTTCTCAGCGATAAAATGACATTTTTCTCTGGGTGCGCTCCACATTACTCAATATCGATCTACCAACCGGAAGTGAGAGCGAAGTTGGTGCCGCCGTAGAACATGTATATGTTGACGGAGGCGCCTATGTCGAGCATATCCTTCAGCGTCTTCGTTACGACGTCGGTCTTCACCCTTTGGAAAGACTCGCCCCAGTGTGTCAACCATCCCGGATAGTATTCGGAATTCACCAGCGGACCCTGCGCGCGGATTTTTCGATGCGATCAGATGGAATCGAACTAATCGCGAGGAGTGAACATCACGGCTTCTTTCGGAAATTTCTTCAAGTGATATTTCACTCGAAAGGTACATACAGAACAATACACGTTGTATTCGAGTAAATATTAATTGTTTCAAATATTTCCCCAATTTATGCATACACAGATATATATCGCACGTATATCATATCATTTATTCTATCGTAAATTTCAACATATATAGGTTTAATAAAGAATGTGAGATTTTAGATGAAATTTTCGTTTGAAAATAAGTCATGCAAAAGAACGAACGAAAGACGGAGGAATCAAGGGAGAATGCTGATATATTCCTCGGTTGAATTGAGATTCTGCGATAATTTTTATCGTAATGTTCCCTCCGAACAATTTTCCCTCACTTACTTTCGGTTGCTTAGCTCGCATAGGCGCGAAAGACTTGGTCACGTTGCCGCCCGCGCCGAAGTCGACGGTGGCGTATACACCGGGTGTAGAGCCGCAACGAAGCATCGACTCGGACGCACCGTCGGTCGTGTACAGGAGCGCCTTATTTTGAATCTTGTTGAGGAAAAGATTCTTCAACATACTCATGTATTCCGTGTCGCAAGCGTTGAAACTCCCGTATTCATTTTCCACCTATTTTATAACGTAGGAATAAATGCAGTCTGTATTTATTCTTCTCGATCCGATCTCGATAAGTAATACTCGTCTCAAGTAAGAAGAGACGGCTGAATCAAGCATGTATCGTATAACTGGAAGAATCTAACTTTATATTCAGATATACTCCTTATATGTTAAGGTTTGTTTTACGGCCCGCCGGCGACGTGAGAACATTAACGATTTACACATCTATGATTGAAATATAACATAAACGTTCATCCTAGATATTCAAAAGCATCGGCAATATTTAGCGACGATCGATACGTCAGAAGTATCGAGAGACGACTTCGTTATGTTCGCGTTAATCTCGAACGAGTCTCCCGTTTCTTATCGTTGTAACTGTAAACGTGACTCGTTGCATAATCCGCGCGAGACGTCGGTATCCGCGATACACCGTGAATATGTTATGCGATAAACGTCACTTTTTCACTACGTCATCAAATGAAATTGAGCTTATTGCTGGTATCACAATCAACAGAGAATGGATAACTCGACGTATCGGCGGTCGTTATCACGAGAGAGATAACCTTTGACGCTGAGCTGGCAGCATCAAGTACTCTTCAACTGTATTACCTGAACCATGATTATGGGTCCTCCGTTTCCTCTTAAAAATGGCTTCACTTTGTCCAACAGTTGAGTCAAGTAAGACGTAGCGTTTGCCATAAAATCTGCAACAACCGGCGACTTGTTGAAGTAGGGTTCAATCGTCATTATTCTATTATCAATTTGTCTGGCCAATAATAAGCAGCACAAGCGGGAGGAGATGGCTCACCCTTACTTTCCTCCCTTCTCTTTATCAAACGAAAGTAGAAAGAAATGTATCTTACATTGATCTTTCGTACGCAATTTCATATCCGGCGTATCCCGAAGCAGCCAATACGGCAAACCACCCTGAAGAGACAAATAAACGAAAAATTCGCAGATTTATAATCGCATAAGAAGCCTTCGCGTTCGCTCAGTTGAGGGGGTATTTTTATTTGGCTTCATTCGGTAAATGAATTTTAGGAATTTTCTTTTGAAAACACTAGAAAATAATTCTGCGTAAATAGTTTTAACTATACACTGCAATTTCTATACATTATTATCTTCAATATTAACAAAGTTGTAAATAATTTTGTTGACGCTGAAAGATTGGTTATCAGATGTTGTGAAACAGCAAAGAAATTGCACGGAAAAAATACTACTGAGTCAGTGGAATTTCCAACAGCACGCGTAATAAATTTTCTTCATTCAATAGCGATATTATTGAAACTAATATTCTAATGATTCAAATAACACAGTAATAATATTTACTATTGAATTAAGAAGAAATTACGCTATTGTTAGAAGTTTGATTAATTCAACAGCATTCTTTTCACGAATAAACATATATATTCACCATGTCTCTTTCCGCGCAGATGTACGGACCCGGTCGCAACAATACGAGCAAGTCTTCCTGTTGGGCGATATTTAAGAATTCTACTATATCCGCGTCGCCTGACCAATTGAACTCGTCCCGTTCCGGCTCGTGAAGGCTCCATTCAACGTAACTGCGTTACGAAAACAGATGCAACATCTGTTACTCCGACGTTATTTTCCACCTTAACGTGCGTTCTTGTTGACGTTACATAAAAATGAAGGATAATACAAGGAAGATTCAGATTGAGTATCGAGAAGCTCGTTATGATATGCGTTATCAAAAATAATGGCACGTGATGACACCGATAACGCAAAAGCACGAGGCTAACGGTGATATTTGATCGACAAATGATTGATAGATTGTTAACTGATTGTTCTTGTAGACAATTTTTCCTCGATAAGCCGCGCGTTGAGTGTTTACGCGTAAAATATCATAATCTCGACTCACGTGGAGACCGCGTTGAGTCCAGCGGCCCTCATCGCCCTCAGACGGTCCCTCCAGTAGTACCTGGGAGCGCGGAAGTAATGAAAGCTGCCGGAAACGTAGCGGAACGGTTTCCCATCCAGCAGAAACTGATTGTTCTTATAGTCGATCGCGAAACTGTATTGCGTGTTCTGCAATCATTCGCCATCACGACGATTTATTATTTAACGGGGTGACGCTCGGCGCGAGCGGAATTCGAATTGAGAGTTTCGGACTAACGCGAGGAGTAACTTGAAATTCAAGCGACGTCTCTTCCATTCGATCACCTATTTTATTTTCGTGACACTCCTATCTGGGCTACGAAGTCAAGAACAATGATCAATCGGCAGAATCAATTTACCGCTTTACGACACGCTTGCACTCGTGATCTACAGGCGAATCTAAAGCGTTTTAGATTCGGTCATTTTATCGGATCGAGAAACGCGAAAACAATAAACCTTCGGATGAAGCCGTAGAAACTACTTTTAGACTCGAAGTATATTCGGCGCTTCAACGTCGTGTATTCCCATTCTGTCGGTTTGTTATAAATGTGCATTTCTCTTATAGAATGCAAATGAACGAAGGGATATAATCGAAACAAAAATCGAAAAAATGTTAAGATGCTCTCTACTGATGTACAGTACAACTGAAAAAAGTAAATAAACATCAGATTTACTTTTTTCAATTAAGAAAAAAATATAATTTTATTTTTAGAAATATTTTCTGCGTATAATGAAGCCACAACGTCCCGCAACTTGTCCATGGAAAATATCCGAGTCATCATCGCGGTAGTATGGTCAATGAATTGCATTTATCGCAGAATATTGGTCGGAAGTGTGATGTGCCTCCACGTATTGCGGAAAGTATTACACACGGTGAAAAATTAACTTTATTTTTAGCGAAAATCAACGCTGTCTGGTGAAATGATAAAAGAGAACTTTGCGTAAGTATAATTAATAATTCAATATTATGCGCAACATAGCACATTCGCTCCCCACAATATTTTGTATAAATTCAAGAAACACTTATTACACGTGTAAATTTAATGAGACACTGTAAGTAACAATAAAATATGTTAAACGTGAAATATATTACGCGTATATGTGTGTGCGGAAATAATTTAGAAAAAAATAAGTATTTCTAGCAGCGGATTAAAGGGGCCTCTCATAAATTCAGTATTTATCAAGCAAAATTTCATTTCCATACATTTATTTCACCAGTCAAATAATAAATGTTAAATAATTAATTTGAAACGAAACTGAGGTAAACATATACACACAGTAATATAAATATTATTTTTATTTTTCTTATTAATGCTATATATGTACACACTGAAAAAAGTTTTTGGTAGTAACTATTAAAATTTGGTGAATATTTGCCGATCAAATATTTGATTACTGCAACCAAATAATTTAGTCCCGTTATACTAAATCTACAATATAGGGAATTACGGTACTGTATATACAGTATGTGGAACTAATTTATTTGGTTGAGGTAATCAATGTTTGGTCCGCAAATATTCACCAAATTTCACCAAATCTCTTTTTTCAGTGTTTCACTTGATCTAATAGAGATAATAGATAATAGAAAGAAGTATACAAGTGTTTAAATATGTATATTTCGAGTATAATTATAAATTATGAATTTTACACCGTTGTATTTTCAAGACGAAACGGTCAATAAAATTCCGATATTTCTCTATAACATCTGTATATTAATCTTTAACATTACAATAGTTTTTCAAACTTCCATCCTAAGCGCAAATATGTCGAATTAGGAAATTTCTATGCTTGCACACGTACAAATTTATAATTAAACGTCTCAGAAACGACGTGGTAAAGATTATTGAAATTTCTGTTGCGCATTGTTAGTTCAATTAGCTTTTATATCATGCATATATCACAGATTTATCTTATATTTGGCCAAACGGTCGAGCCTCCTTAAGTGTACGCAATTATCTTCTTTATGGGAGAAAGTAAATGTGGCAGATTTCAACTGAATACAGGTGAATTTTTCTAAACGAATTTTCCTACCTTTGAGAGAGAAATCGAGAAAAAATTGGCGGAGAAATGGGAAAAATCGAGTTTTTTCCGAACCTTCAAAACTGTAACTTTCAGCAATCTATTGAGCCATATAGACGCACAAGTTAGAAGGAACAGAATTTCGACAGTGTTCCCGATCTTCCTTGTTCTATTATTGTGGATCAAAACATGGTTGTCCATATGTCGACATTTAATTCCTCGCCCCTAAATGTATTTAATTCCTTGTATACCTTATTCCCTTTATTGTGCTTTTACATACATCTGAACGTAGGTTCACTGTCTCCGCCGCGACACCGCTCAATGCCAAGGTTGTTACGAGCGCAAACGACCACATTTTTCGGACGAGAGATGATCTTCGCGTCAGCAGCCAGCCTCATCAATTCATTCACTTTCCACGCTCGCGCGTCACTGACGGCTCCTCGGCTCGCCTAAGACAAGCCACTCTACCGCGATTCAAAAGCGCGAGAGAAGTGGGAGAGACGCAGGGACTTCTTCGTCCAACCGCTTATTAAGTATCGGCCAGTGATCGTCCAGGTACGCGTGATGATTGCTGCATTTTTCGACCTCTCTTCTCTCTCTCTCTCTTTTTTTCTATTAGGTTTGCAGCGGGATCGGCGGCTAACGATCCACGTGAAGAGGAACGTTGATTGGACGGCCGGTAATTGAGAAAAAGAGGAGTCAATTTCTTCCTTTATTAGCTGGAAAAGTTGCAGGATACGTGACTTTTATTGTGATAACTGTCTTGATTGGAACTGGTATTTCAGCGCTGAAGAACGCACCAAGTTAAACATATTTCGATATATATTGTCTGTATTTCTTAAAATAAGCATGTTTTAAACATGTTATACTGTCGCAACGCACGCATTAAATGTTTCTAATTATCTGGATATACTCAAGACTCGGGGAATTTGGATATCTCGGGAATGAAATCCTTCCCTTGGCACACACTGTGTGTCTTCCTTTCTTGGCGTTGACAAATATTTTCGCTCGTATGGAGAAACGGCGTGATAAATGACGTTTCGGCTCACGATAGATTTCACCACAAAATAGCCTTTAAAATTGAATAATGCAATAATTTGGAAATCTATCGGATCTCCTGCGATGTCTGATCCGCAGATAAGTATTATCTTAAGTATATTTATTAAATCGATATTCTGCTTCTGTCGGAACAAAGTTGAAGTTACAGAAAGAACCATGTTAACGTTCTCTCATAATCTCGCGATGGACGTTCGTAAATTGCTTGGTGGCTTCTCACCTGCGGTTCAACGATGTATCTGCAGTCGATACAAAGAAGACACGCTCTAAAACAACAGAGTCGTACAATCTGGAGGAAAATTGTTGGGAAATATGTTAAATAGATTCACGAATTAATTAATTAATTTCGCAAATATTCCACGACTTTTAGAAGACGCAGCAGAATTTCCGTCACAACGACACGATATATAAACAAATCGAATTGAAGCTAAATTACTACGCGAAGAGATTTGTCCAAGTTTTGGAAAATTTGTCAAATTTTCTGTTGCAACATTACGGTTCATTTCGTTGAGCCAATGCGAAGGAAGATGGTGCTCGCGGCCTTAACATCGTGCGCTTTTCACTATCATCGCGTTCAACGACTTACCATCAGTGGCCCTCTTATCGGCCACAATTTTGAGCGAATCTGCTGTCAGTAAGCTTACTGACTCGAGTCCCGCAAATTCAACAACCCACGTTTTCGTCAATAGCCTTCGCTGTGAGCGCTCACCGGGAATAAAATGCACTCTAAAGATTGTAATTATCAGAGCGTGCTCTTATTATGCGGCATGCCCGGATTCATATTTTCTTCGTTCTTTATGAGAAAGAAGAAATTCAATTGTAGAAAAGACACTTGGTTAAGAAGATACAACGCGAGAATATAATAGCGAGAAAAATATTTTTTCAAATTTAACAAATTTTATTGCATTCAAACAAATATCATTATTGGCACGCTCCGAAGAAACTAATGTTTCGATTAATAAGCACGATTGTCAGACTCTACAACGAATATGTATCTTTACCTAAAATAAGAAATTTCGAAACGAAAGATAATTTTCTTATAAAGAAATTAATTTGTTTCATTTTACATATTTATCGTAACCAAATAATATTTTATTCGGTTGAAAGATATTGTTTCAAGTAATAGCGTTCTTTCTGTTAAACAATAGAGTTTTCTTTGAATGAGGCAATCGAATTTTTGCTCAAGCAAATAACATTTCGTATATGTTGTTTCTGTGAAATAAATTTTAGTCAAATAAATAGAAATACTTAAATCTAAAGAAACCTTTTTCTCTGTGTACCGAGAGAAAATCTACAATGACCTGACCTCAATATACTGTAGTAAAACTTGAAATATTTAACGTGACCGTGTAGTGGAGAAACACTTGGATAAAACTATCTCCTTCTCGTAATACAGAAATGCTTCACTTTAATCGATTCCGCCTTCCTCGAGCAGTGCGCGCGATTTTACACGGTGTCCTGTAATATTATAGGAAAGAAAATGATGAAGCTGGTTGTACCGTTGTACCTCGTTGCGCGAGGTATCTAACGACGCTTAACCAATTCGGTCATTATTACATAAACTCGTATCCTGGTTACACGAATGATTTAGAAACTTCGGGCTCATCAAGCATTTGTCGCGATGAACGATAATTGGGTCGCTTCTATAATACAAAGATATATATATATATATATCATATTCGGCAATTTTCATTTATTCGGCGCTTTTTCCTTCGTATCGTGCATGCGTTCTTGCACGATACATATGCAATTCGGAGTAGAACGATGTGTCGCCTCCACAGTTCTCCGTCATAGAAGCCGCGCAACATGCAAAACCGTCAGTTGCATCGCTAATTAAGCGACGTGACGTTCTATCTCGGCGGATTAATAGAGATATTAATCGAAATAACTGATTTGGATCGCGAATATATCTCGGCAATTGATAATATATGCCGGCAATGAAGAAAACACGCGTGGTTCCCGTCGTGTTTATGTAAATCATAAACAGGACAGAGGATCTTATCTAGATGAACTCTCGTATGGATTTTGCACTTCAACAAGCTGCGCGACAGTACAAAAAATAAAAGGAAAAGGAAACTTTTATACGCGTAAATTTAAGACTCATATTTTCATGAGTAAGCAAGAATATATAATTTTTTACCAAGATGAAACTTTACATGAAGAGATTCTGTATAGTTCCACTAAAAATATCATATTCAAGAATAACTGTTATGTATTGAGAGGAGAAATATTGAATAGAAAAAAAAATGCTATCTTTAAGCTGATACAATTTTTAGTTCGAAAATATTAATCTTTCTATTCAATATTTTTTCTTCTCAGTTCATGAAAATTATTTTTGAGTAATAAGGATATGATATTTTTAATGGAATTGCATGACTCGTATAAGAATATGAATTTTAAATTGATACTAATTTTCAAACAAAGTTCTTTTCTAACTTGATGTTACTTTTAAATAATTTATTGCTTGTGACAAACCTTGCAATGTTTGGATGAGAATATAAGAGAAATATGTTATTTAACGTAAAGAGAGAGAGGGGCAAAATACCGTACATTAAGAAGCACATTACATTACATTAGTACGTAGTACATTAAGTTTTTGAATGCTGACCGATAAGAACCAAGATAAGATTATTCGCTGAATGAGTCGGCATATATCGCAGAATGCAGCAGAATACGAAGGAATTTAGTTCTGTAGTAGGTATCCGTAGCTAAAGATCAAATAATTTGCTTACTCGCATACGTAGACAGAGCGTAATCGACGTCTGATATCATTTGTTCGCGTAATAAAATCCGCGGAATAGCTCGAATCGCTCTCAAGATGTGAGAAGAAGTGAGAATACTCGGTTTAAGTTTCATTTCTCCAATTAATATGCCGAGCCAACAAATTTACGGCAATTAAGCCACTTAAAGATACACACGTGGAAATACTTGTGAATTATATGTCGTTTTTCGACGGCCGTGTTCGACGTTCGCGCAAGCACATAGAGTTTTAAAGGACCGAGGGTTAATTGGGATTAATGGAGAAAGCTGCTGCGCTGCAGCGGGACATTTACATGTGCAATGGTTGATGTGTGTATGTCAAGAAGCGTGCCTCCCCTCCCGCAGGATGGAAGAAAAATCGAATATCGGGCGGGATGAAGTAAGTGATCTTTCGGCAAGTTTCTCTGTCCGTGAGAATCCTTTCCCTAATTTTTCAATCCCCCGGCTTCGCCCTCCGTTGTCTCTCTCTCTCTCTTTACTTCTAAAATCGTCATAAATGAGCGACAATTTGCTATTTCGCGTGATATCAAGTAAACCATTCAAAGGTACGTTTTTCTTCAACCGTCCGGATGAGCTGCATTTTCATTGGAATATTTGTTTCTCTTTTTCATCATCAATGATTTCATCGGGAAAATGTTCGACTCGCATCACTCACGGCGATCTTCACGGTCGACTCATTCCTGGAAAACACCATCTCGGCCATTGAATTGCAGGTTGCAGGCTGCAACAGGGGCCCCCTTCCCAGGTAAACGTTTTTCTGCGGACCTACGTAGAGGCGCGTCTCGTTGGCGTGATGCTCGTTGGCATCCCTCCTCTTGTGTGCGGCTGCACCAGCTCGGAGAAACACTATTCGAAAGACTCTTTACTCGTCACCGTCAGTTTCTGGCACGAGCTAAACGCGAGCCGAGCGCGAACAAGTGCGAACATTTTCCAGATCGTCATTCCTGACGCGTATGTGACGCTGAAAAAAAAACAGGAAAGATAAAGAGAGAGAGAGAGAAAGAGAGAGGGAGAAACAAAGAGGGAAGGAGAGTTTCACGACACTTCTACAGCCAGTCGGATATCCGAGTTTCATTCCCGTAAGCGCGAACTCGATAGATATTCTCATTAATCGATACGCGCTATTTAACCCTCGACCGATTGCTGGAAACGCGCGGATAAAAACGTGAGTGCGCGGGTAGAACGCCGCGAGATAATAATTTCAGAAGACCGTGTCCATACTTGAGAGAAGAAGGAGAAATATTTCGCGAACGAACAGTTAAGTTTCGAGGATTCGTTGGATAAGCTTCCAATGATCGTATGTCGCCGTAAAGTGCTGCACTGAAAGAAAAAAAGTTCATTCGCTTGATTCAAGCTCGAAACTGTTACTCCGATAATACTTGGCGTATATTTACCAGAAGTGGAAGTATAATTGACTGTATATAATGTGGCATTTCCTTAGCACAAATAGAAAATTGAAACAATTTCAACGGGTATTAAATTAATGAGGATATATATGTTAATATCAGAATTTTAATCTTGGAAAATATTTGCCGAACAGCAAAATCGAGATTAAAAAACCGTTAAGTTTCTTTAATAAAGAAGTATCATGTAGTAAATATTTGCTTAGATTTCTCTATTTATATTATTAAGGTATTACGTGCGTATAAAAATTTACACTACAAGCCATAAAAGTATATTAAGATGACAAAAATATTAATTTGATTTAAGAGGTTGAAAAACAAGTAATCATATATACTTGATTTTAGAATTTTTTTCCGTGTATGAGTCATTCCGAGAATGACATAAGGAACTATTTCTTTTTTTTTTCTTTTTTTTAATAGAAGCAAAATGTTTTCGTGAGCAAGTTTACAGATAAAGGCGAGCTCAGCGGCATAAACTCACGTGATTTGGCCGTAAAAGATAGTAAGAATTATATTAGTCAAATTGTAACACCGTTAGCGGAGATAAATGGGGAATATGTTTGTAAAAAGGCGTTTTGGAAACTTGATTGTTCGCTTTGAATGGTGTTGCGCGACCGACATATTATTCTCCGCTATCACGTCAGTTACATCTTTTGCCGTTCGTGTTCCAGATATTCGGATAGCGAGAGAGAAAACAGTGGAAGCAAGCAGTGATATGAAGAATACGAAAATCGACGAATATGGTACGTCATCACGACACAGACGACCACGTTGCTTCGTGGAATGCAACGATTGCAAATCGCGACGATAATTAAGACAGGCTACTCGCGCGGTCGCAGAGTTTCCGCGCTCGGTGACAAGTCAGATCGGTGAAAAATCCTTGATTTTTTCCGCGGCGCACGTGGTGCGACAACAATGTTGGAATAAATTACCGGTGTATTCGTACGAAAGAGGCGCCATGGATGGCGCATGAAAGGCAAGAAGACTGACCTTTCCGAGGCATCGGCAGAAGAATGCCGATGTAAATTGGAGCGTCCGAGACCGAAGGTTGTCTTCTCGATGTCTCGAGGTTAGCGCGCGCATTTTATGGTTCTCACGCACTCTCTGTCTAGCATTTTTTCTCCTACGAACTGGTTTGATCGTCATTTGCGGTAAGTACAAGCGAGTGCATGCTCATGCCGGCGCGCGCGAGAGAGCGTCGTCGAATTGTCATCCGCGAGAATATATCGAGGCACTTGATCTCGTCGCTGAAAAATATCTCCTCTCGCGGGCCGGCGCAGGAGCGAAGGTTAATCTCGCTCGAAAATAGGCGCGTTAATTTACATACGAGCGAGCGCGCAATGAGTTATCACGGAAAATGATAACGTAAGGGGGAAAAGTGGAGAGAGCGTGAGGAAAATCGCCGTTTTTCTCGTTCCATAGCAGAAAGAAAGTCGAAAAAATTCAATCATCGACGGCCGATTACGACGGTTCGTAAGTGCAGTAAAACGACGCATAATCCCCGCTTGTTACTAATGACTCATTAATATTCATAAGACAAACGTTGCTTTGACAATCTCTTCGCGATGAGATCTGCTTAAGCCGAGCGGTAATTTTCCCGATTTAAGGCTCGGTTAGCCCGTGACAATACCGTTGGAAAGATAATAGCTGACACGAAGAACAAATCTATGCCAAATGTTTACAAACATGATTTCGTGACGTATAATATTTTGCCCGCATAATTTGTCAATATCACATATATAGATAGACGCCCATTAATGCATGCACTGAAAAAAGAAATTGCTACGTTCAAGTAAATGCTTTTAATGAAGAGTATTAGTTTATTTTATTATGTAAATATTACCTGAATGTAGCACACCGAAAAAAAGTGCTACATTTAAATAATATTTACTAGATTTAATAATACCGCAAAATTAATTAGAATTGATGATTTAGATCCGGGATATAATTTTTGTGTTGACCGGTGTTACAGGTCTTCAATATTATTTAACCATTTTATTCTGAGAAGGTGCCTAACCAAGAGGCACGAAAGGAAATATAGCAATATTTACCAAATCTTTACAAGTTAGCTGTCATATACCTCAACTGTTATTAGAAATTGTATTGTATACTTTCTATAGAGGAGAAGATATATCACCGCCTTTATTATAGCCCCTCTTCTATTAATATCTGTGCTATTAGGTAATGAATTCTAATGATTACTTATGGAATCATTTGTTTAGCCGGTTGTTGTTGACCGGCTGTTATGCAATGACGCTAAATATGCCGCTACACAAAAGCCGGCATTTGTTAGAACGTATTTTTACTTTTGAACATTTCAAGACGTTTCTCAAGCTACATTTTAGCATTTAGTTACACTTCCTCCTATTCTTCTTTTAAACGTCTTATCATACAAAAATATACACACTTAACGCTTGAGTATTTTCTTCGTTTTTTTAACATTTTATTTTACTGTTCACATCTTGTGTTACGTAAGATTAAAACATAGCATGGCATTATACTGATTTAGTTTCCCATTAAAATAAATTTAACATAACTAAATTTAAATTTAACACGGCCCTTTTTTCGAGAATTTTATCTCGAAAAAGTTATTCGATAAGTCAACGATTCAAATGAAGTATAAAAATCTGTTCATTTTCTCAGAAATTCTGGTAATCTGTATCTACCTTCTGACATGCTAAAAAAGAAGGTTGCACGTTAATTTCGCGGTCACTTGTCGATCGTTAGAACAAGAGGCAAGTTTTCGCAATATTTAACAAATACGTTCGATCGGTCACAAGAATATTACTTTATTTTATGGAAGTATCCTTTTAATTGCTGTTAAAATTTGTAAAGATTCATCAGAAAATTAATTTACGGAGCAACTACCTTAAGCGAACTTCTGAAGGTCTGTTTTTACCGATACTTTCACCAGTATCGATCAATACCGGGGGCAGTATCGGTGGACTGACTCGATGATTGAATCGATGGAAAACGAGAGAGAGAGATAAGTTAAGGGCCTCGAATAGGATCGAATATGAATTTATTGCGTGCACAGAGAAAAAGGTTTCTTTACTATTTCTATTTATTTGCCTAAACTTTGTTTCATAGAAACAACATATACGAAATATTATTCGTTTGAGTAAAAATATTATTGTCTCATTCAAGAAAACTCTAACAGAAAGAACGCTATTATTTGAAACAATATCTTTTAATGGAATAAAATATTATCTGGTAACAATAAATATGTAAAACGAAATAACTTCTTTATAAGAAAACGATCTTCCGTTTCAAAGAAATTTTTGATTCGAAAAATCTAACAATCGTACTTATTAAACGAAACATTACGATTCATCGGAGCAACGCGAAATTTGTTTCTTAGTGTATCATATACATCCGAGCGAAAACGCAAAATGTCTGTTGAAATTACAGCGAGCGTGAACGTTAAACGAGTTTCCAATGGTAAGGACGAGCATATCGACGGTGACGCGAGCGTCGACGCCGTGCAAACCGCAATCGGTAATCTCGGCAGATGGCAAGTCACCGTCTGCCTGGCGATTTCCCTGGTCAAATTTCCGGTAGCCTGGCACCAATTGGCGATCGTCTTCATGGCACCGCATCAGGATTATAATTGCACCAAGCCCGCCACCACGGACGCCCAGGACCAGTGCACGGTCAATGTTAACGGCACATCGGTCGGGTGTACGGAATGGGAGTACGACCGAAGCGTATTTCCCGAGACCATTATATCAGAGGTGAGAGTGGAATCCTTCGAAAAGGAAGGAAAATTCAACGTCAAATAAAAACTTATAAGAGTCAAATTTAGTTAGTTAGCCGAACGATTTCGTTGGTCAAGATGAAGAAAAATTCTGCAGAACAAATTTCTTCTTGGGACGCGTTAATTTACTTAAGAACAATATAATGTTTTCCTTGCTAATTGGTTTTTATAGCAAAGTAATCCGGCGATAATAACTGACAAATTTTCTCCACCAGCAAACTATTTCCCTCCGGATGTATTTTGATGCAAAATTGTTTACAGTGGATAAAATTCACTCGTTCATGTCGCGAGCATCGAACGTTATTTCGTAGATAAAAAAAACAATCGTACGCTATTATTAAGAACGACGGAAATAATTTTCGTTACAGTGGAATTTGGTCTGTGATCGAACGCACTATGCGAACATACAGCAGTCTATTCTCATGTTCGGCGTGCTGCTCGGTAACATAATCTTCGGCAGTTTAGCGGATAGGCAAGTGTGCATCACGTCATTTAAAGGCATATACAATCAATACAAAGTAACGGAAAGGAGGAGGAAGAAGAAGTAGGGTAAGATTTGCACGCGTAACTTGCAGGTACGGCAGGAAAATACCGCTCATGGTGTCCGTGGTTCTTCAACTGGTGTCAGGTATCGGGTGTGCCATAGTTCCTTGGTTTCAAGCGTTGCTGCTGATGAAACTGTTGAGTGCCATGGCCACGGGAGGCACGATGGTCACTAGTTACGTTATTTGTAAGTATGGACGAATCGTGATAAATCAACGAGAATCGTCGATTGGTACGTACTTTTTCTCAGGTATGGAAATAGTAGGCACAAAGTGGCGAGCCGCCATCACCGTTCTCTACCAAATTCCCTTTAGCTTAGGCCACATGTCGTTGGCGGGACTCGCGTTCTGGTTTCGATATTGGCAGCATCTGCAGCTCGCCATCACTCTTCCGTCTGTCATTCTTCTGAGTTACTGGTGGTTAGTGCCCGAGTCACCTAGGTGGTTGTTAGCTATGGGCAGGCAGAGGGCGGCGTGCGAGATCCTGCAGAAGGCGGCCAATATCAACAAGGTGGAGAACGTGGACATTCCCGAGGTGATCAGGAAGCACTGTTTGCAGCAGGTGTGTGGAAGAAGAACTATTTTGTTCTCTCCGCTAAATTCATCCATTATTTCAGCCATCAATTGAGACTAAAGCTAACAGGCGACATTCAATTTTCTCTCCCGCGGAAAAATGTTTCAGAATTTCAAGAGATCCGCGCTGGACCACGAGGCCTCGTTCCTGGATCTGTTTCGCACGCCAAACATGCGAATAAAGTCCCTATCGATCTTCTTCAATTGGATCGTTTGCGGAATGGGTTTGTTCGGCATGTCACAGTACATCGGCCAGGTAGGCGGCGATATTTTCATTAATTTCGCAGTATCCGGTGCCATACAGGTTCCTGGAAACTTCGTCGCATGGTGGGCGATGAACAAATTAGGTCGGCGGGCCACTCTGATCTGCAGCAATTCCATCGCCGGCGCGGCCTGTCTGTTCTTGATCATCGCGTCGAACGGTGAGCGACCGTTGCAAACAGTTGTTATTTCAGCCAAGTTTATATATCCATAACATTTCGTGGACCAAGAATTCACGGTTTTCAGCCGCGTTTACACATACGGAGAAAAATATTTTGCCGGCGGTAAATTGTTAGTTATCATTAAGGGACAGCAAGAAGATTTATAATACACGGAAAAAATTATTTTGCTGTTGTGTAGCAAAATATCGTTGCGATAAAATTTATTTAGCATCACCGAATTATCCGAAATTATCAACATTTCAATCCTAATAATATAATTTACTCTTACTTTAATCTCGATATGATATCTTAAATTTCCGTCAAAATAGATTGTTTCAAGGTAGCATTGAAATTAAATATATGGAATTAAAGATTCAAGAGAGAAATAAGTGTCAAAATAGATTTTAATTAGTCCGTTTAAAAAGAGACGCACATTATCCTTTAAGAGCGTCAAAATAAAACAGCATCAGAATTTCGACTCGAGCTGTAGATCGAAATACGACGGTGAGTTAAAGTTTCACGCCATGTGTCGCGTCGCGATTTAAATCCGTATTAATAATAGTCGCTTGAGACTAGTCTCAAGTGAGATACTCAGATTCGAATTTACAGATAGATTTGAATTTTCTAGTTGAATCGCAATTATACATGCAATGCCACGCGTATCGTGAAATTTCACTGAGAGATTCAGATCCAACTCTAAATTCAGATATGAGTATTTTACGTGAGACAAATAACGACTTTTAACGAATCATTTTCTGTTAGAACAAAATAGTGTTTTTCCGCATTTACTTGTTTATTCTTACGGCAAAATAATTTGCAGCAAAATAATTCAGCAAATTCGCGATTAATAATAAATCGTTTTGTCGTTTGTATAGCAACTAACAGATTTTGTTGTAACGGCACAAAATTTCTTATACCAGCAAATTATTTTTCACCGTCTAGATACTGGTCAAAATGTTTGGCATCATCATTTGTATTCCACTTAAATTATTATTTCTTCTATTTACAGTTCGCGACACTTGATTAAACGCAGTGATATATTTCTTATAACGTTGTTTATTAAACTAATATGTTTCTATAAATAGTACATGTTATTTGATGGAAGGTTCAGGCATTTATTCCGAGATCACATATTTACTTTAAAAATATTTAATTGTTTAATATTTTTTTGAAAAATAATACAAATTCTTTTACAACATTATAGGAAAAATACACCTGCGTTTAATTGAACGTCGCAGACTATGTTTACGTGTTGAGATAAAAAATGACACGGAAAGAATTATTTAGCTCCGGTTCAGGAAATACAGGTTACGTGTTAATTGACTGTAAATTAATGATTTGACAAGTGATAAAAATAAAACAACAGAACATATTTTTATTTTAATTTTTTTTCATAGTGTCAGATAAATTACAATTCTTTTCAGAATCTTTTCAAATATTATATTATTAAGCGGCTTTTAACGTTATCAACATAAATATACAGTTATAACTGAAGGTTAGAATTCGAAAGATCTCTATTTTCCTATAGAAAATTCAAGCATATGTCTCGTTTACGAACTTTTCAAACAGAACTGTCAAATACGTCCGAAAATAACTTCTATACGGTGATTTGGAAACAATTTCCTTTGGTTGTTAACTGTATTGCAGAAATTGGCGAGCTAAGTTTTGATTCTAAAATTTATATTCTTATATTTTTATATCTACAACCAGCAACACTACCTAAAATTAACCAATATCGACGGTTTAGATCAAGAATATAGGTTTTGCCTTTTTGACTAGTGTAATCAGCGGGAGGCAATCTTTCAAATCGGCATATGCTTGATATACGTTTGTCTGTTCTTTTTTTTTTTGATCATAGATATCGCGTGGGTAAGATTGATGCTGGCGTGTTTCGGCATCGTCGGTATGTCGGTATCGTTCACGACGGTCTACCTTTTCTCCGGAGAACTGTTCCCCACCGTCGTGAGGAACATCGGGGTCGGCACGAGCAGCATGTGCGCCAGACTGGGTTCCATCGTGGCACCCTTCGTCGTGTCTCTGGTGAGTTGCCTCACGTTGGCCAATCGTCACTCACAAATTACAAATCGAGCGATTGTGTAACGTTGTTCTGACGTACAAAAGTGAAATCGTGTGATGTCGCACGAGCGTTTGTTACATTATTAACAGAAGGAACGCTATTATTTGAAGTAATATCTTTTAACCAAATAAAATATTACCTTGGTCACAATAAATATGTAAAATGAAGCAAATAATTGTCTTTCGTTTCAAATAGATTAAGATAAAGATACATATTCGTTGAAAAATCCAACAATCGTACTTATTAATCGAAGCATTACTTTCTTCGGAGCGTGCGAATGATGAAATTTGTTTGGATGCGATAAAATTGATTAAATTTGAAGAAATCTTTTTCTCAGCGCAGACTGGTTAACTTGAAATGTGATTTTTCAGAGCGACATTGAGGGGTGGCTACCACCGACCGTGTTCTGCGTCTTGCCGTTCATCGGGGCCGCTTTGTGTTTGCTATTGCCCGAAACTGCCGGATGCGTGCTACCGGAGACGCTCCAGGACGGAGAGGAATTTGGAAAGTGAGTGAAAATCCGCGTATCTCTTGTAAGTATTACGAATATAATACTCGGATAATTATGAAACGTATCGATCTGAATCTCAGGAAGTGCAAAGCAAAAGGGAAATACGCGGACGCCGAGGCGGAAGCGGCATTCTGAGGAAGAGCGAGGATTTCCTCCGGGCAGTTACGAATTGTGCGGAGCGATGCGAATGTTATCATCGAGGTGCCAGCGAGTGCGCGTTTGATCTCGCGATCGTGCGTTAAACGGTTTTATTTATTATATCTCACTTTTGTAATTCAATAAGGTAGCGCGCGCGACTAATACCACCACCTTTTCATGTTCGTCTCGCCTCCCTCATACCAATACCATGATTTAAAGAGATGACACTTAGAGAGATAATATTTTCAAAGATGTATTGCCCGTAACTCGAAATAATGAACAAATTGTAAGAAAAAAATTATAAGTGGATCTACGTTGCATTTAAAAGTGATACCAAAAGTTTGACGGTAATTCAGAGTCCGAAAGTTATAGGAGATTGCGGGGTGAAGTGAGTTTGATAAAAATTCGACAAAACTTACACTGCGTGTACATTGAAATGTATTATCTAATTTAACGCTCATGCAATTAGAAAAAGATTGATCCAATATTGATCGGATGATGCATGAAAATAGCATTAATAAGAGAAATAAAAATAATAACATTTTCATATTTGTAATATTGCGTACATATGCCTACTTCAATTTCGTTTTAAATTAACATTTATCATTTAGATAGTGAAATTAACGCAATTTCACTTAATGAAGCAAATTACATTAATATCTAAATGATCAATTTATGAGTGACCTCCTTGATGTGCCACGGAAAAATATGGGTGAGTGGACAATACATCCTTAAGTAATCCGTAAGATTGCGCGACAGTATTTTTGAAGATCACACGCCTAGGAAGTATTAATCAAGAAATCGAAGCGCCTTTAGGAATGCTATTTTTAATACTGCCAAGTAACGAAAATACTATTTTGTAAGGTTTTATTCTGAATATGTGTGTATAAATAAAATATCCTTTTGGTAAGAAAAACGTTTTTCCTTTTACTTCATAGACATAACACACTCGACATGATACAACGAAACAACTTTTATACGTAATCTTATTCGCAAACATTACCAATTTGCTGAGTTCGTGATCGCGTCAGCACGATTAAATATCGTATTTCGGTTGCTTGTCGTTGAATATCACGTGATTGAAACGTTATCGAGATATATTGCTTTCAGTCAAGCAATTTCTCGATAAGAGCTATATATACTAATATATATAAACCTACTTATATTGAGGTCGCTGCTGCACTTTTTTTCGCACTGTTATCCTAACAGAGAGTTTTCACGAATAGCGAATATTATAAGGAAGTTTGTCTTTCTCATTTTTTCGAAAAAAAGAAAAATCTCAGAAAAAGTCGTAGATATATGGTTCTCAGAAATGTTTACGTTTGTTCTACAATTGCTCGTCCGATACCGCATTGCTAAGCAGCCTGGTGACTCCGCCATTGAGTCCGTATGTGAGAGAACCGTTAATAAATAATTTAGAATTGTCACGTTGCACAAATCGCGTCTGTGATCATTTCTAATCCGGGAACTAAAGATAGTCTTTAGGTAATGTAGACAATCGTAGAATTATCAACGATGAAGTAATTAACATTACCAACGCACACACACATACACACACACAAAAGTTGTAGTCTTATGTAAAGGCTTAGTACGAGTTTGTATTATCGCGATTAAAAAAAGGAATGACTCATGATTTCCAAGAAAAAAAAAAGAATTAGATAATAGAAGATTGTTGCTGTGATACAGTGACAGTGATGGGCATAACATGCATCTTCGATTTTCTTCCTTCAATTTTAACAGGAAAATCCACAATAGTATCCCCTTTCTATTTCGATGAACTTACAATGCGTTGTTGAAATTTCAACTAAGGTAAAGGACGTTTATATATCTTTTTATAAGTCTTCACGTTCAAGTTAGGGGGTGAAATCCTATATGATCACATGAAATAGTTGTTGCTCATAATCTCTATGAGTATCCGAGAATCAAGTTACTCTTCAAATCATCTTCGTATGAAAAGGCGCGCAACTGGCCCGTATTCGCGCTGCGCACTTTCACTCTTTTACACGTGTCTTTGCAGCGTCAAATTGCTCCGTATGTTAATTTAACATTCTGTATATATTTCGAGTCACGCATAGCTAAAGTTTCTGAGTAATCGCTGCAATTTCCCTTGTTTGATAACGTCAAAAGCAAGAAAACACGCGTCAAGAATTCTTATACGTTCAACTAAAAAGATACACTCACAAAATGACATTTGTGGAATTAGTATATTTGTAAAATTGTCCGTCCACTTTTCTTTTATTCGAACAAGCAATAAATAATTGTAAGATATTAATTTTACAATTTCTTAAGATATTAATCTTACAATTGTTTTATTCGAACAAGCAATAAATAATTGTAAGATATTAATCTTAAGATATTAATCTTACAATTATTTATTGCTTGTTCGAATAAAAAAAAAGTAGACGCAAAATTTTACAAATGTACCGAATCGATCACAAATGTCATTTTGTGAGTGTATCTTTTTATTTGAACGTATAATGCAAAAATTATTGACATATGTGAATAATACTAGTGGTAAGACCTAGAAGCTTTAAATAATAGCGTAGCATTTCTGTTCGAAATGTTGTTGATAACGTCTTGCTTCTCAAGTAATTACTTGATAAGAGCTGTATATACTACACTATATAAACCTACTTTAATGGAGGTCGCTACTGCACTTTTGTTCGCACTATTGTTCTAACAGAGACTCTTCTGTTGATAAGTAAGTCGGTAACATCAAAAATTTATAGTTATTCCTTCTAAGAGTTTATTTTCTACAGATATATAATTTTAAGTAACAGAACACTGCGTTATTTAATTAAATACGATCAATTTTTTAAATCTATTATAGTAGTTATAGATTGGCCGCCACCAACCCTGTTCTTCTCAACCCACGCAATGTCGCAACATTTTTATAAACAACATTCTAAATAATATATATTTCACAACTTTGGGTCTAGAATCAATTAAACAACACTTTCACGAATGTAATCGTTCAGTTCTTAATTAAAAATCTTTTCCTCTGATATTTTCGAGTTTATAATACTATACATATATATTTATATACCTCAGCTCCATTTCAAGTTAACACTTGTTATTTGATTAGTAAATTAAATGTATCGAAAAGGAATTTTGATAAATAGATGGAAGGCCGCCATGATGTGGAAACATGGCATTCAGTTCTCTAGAACTTTCTTAACCCTCCGTCCAATGGGTACATATTCAAGCTATAAAAATTCCCTTATTTTGGTTTAGATTTCGGAATATATTGAAAGATTGTTTAAGTGTAGGAGGGTAATACTATTGTGAGTTTCCTTGTACAACTAAGTTTTCGCGGAAACATGAGTACGCACTCAGAGAGTCACTCGATGCTTAACAACATGTGTAATTTAAGTGACTTTTAAGATACGTCACATCATTACAGAATTTTCGCAGTAAATAATTGAGACGAAGAAAACGAGCGGCGATAGTTTTCGCAAACATGTATTAATAAACGCGGTACGCATTACTGTGCTATTGTGATTAAACACGATTATTATAGTCAAATAGAGGTGTGTATGACTGTCACGCATGGCGGGCCATATTGAAAGCACTTCCGCAAACTGCTCGGTACTATCTCAAACTTCATAATCCTAACGAAGCTGCGCTGTTTGTCGTAACACAAAATGTGTCCAATACAAAATATTACTTGACGAAATTTTTCTCGATATCTTCCAAAAAATTCCATTATCGTTTGTGGCTTACCACGTCTTTACATTGCTCCCGTTTTGATGTTTGAATGTTCACACAATTTCAAATTTCTAAAACATATATAAAAATTATTATCATGAAATATCTTGTTTAAGCACGTAGGTGACACGTACGAATTCTTTCTGGCGTTTTATACGAGTTTGCTTCAACCGATACCGGATTTTCATGCCTTTTTATCACAGACTCACCAACACAAACTCCGGGGAAGAGTGTATCGCGTATAAAAGCCTTCGACACGGTATATTATAGCATCATTCCGTATTGTGCCGTCTCGGAGCAGACCAGGTCTACCGATTCAAACGGTGAGTATCTTTCGTGAACCGATCTTGAATTAAGGTGATCTTCTTATATAAATTTGGAGTAATGGCAGTTTATCCTTGAATTTAATAGCCCGAACCTCCAGACTTTCTCCGCATTAATATTCGTCGGGAATTGTGGTAAACAAGGAGGAAGACGGAGCCTTGCACTTGCTCTCTAAGTTGTTAATTATTATTAAGCACACACAAGACAATACAATTGTTTCCCTAAAGTAGACGCACCTTCGCGCTCTCTCTTGCCAGACCACTTGTTCTCCTTCCAGTTCGTTCTTTCTTCGTTCGTGAATTTGCACGTAGTAAAAAATTTTGTGTTACACATCTCACGGATCCCAAACGGTCCACATAAATTTTTGTATTGATTTAATCACAAGGTGGAGATGTTGAAAAATAATTAATTAAAATTAATACAAAATTAAATACCTTTAATATGTTAATCGTTAAACTAAAATATAAAAAGTGTTATTTTAACAGACATTATTTCAACACAGAATATTGTGATAAGAAATATGTTAAATTAACATACAAGTATGTAAGAATTGAATATAAAAATTTTAAAAAAGACCGATCCCAACGCAAGTATAAAATGTTTCTTACTGTGCACGTACTTGTTACGCGTTGTTATCAAATATGCGCGTCGCGGTTCTAACTTGCTATTGCACTCAAATATATAATAATAATGAGATTAGTTATTATTAACACTCTATTGGCACTTATTGTGTAAAAGATTAAAAAACTGTGTCATGTAGATATAATTATTGCGCATTTGTTTCATTTATAGCAATTGAAAACTTTAGCTTGTGTCCTTTGATATGAATATTGCCATTGTAAATATTGTCCCTATAATTAACATGAACGTTCCGTGATTGCATAATTCTGATTACGTCATACGTCGGGCGTATAAAATAGACTTCGTGTGGCCTTCAGTCGTGCTGTTATTTTTATCTAAAGTGCAAATCCCTCGACGTCATTCGGTAACTACACGATATAAAATATTAGAAGAAATATAATTAACTTTATGAACATAATATCCCGCATGAATTGTTCCAAAAACTTGGCAATTTGTGTGTTCAAACGTGCAGCAAGAAACATTTCTTCTCTCTCGTTCTTTATCCATCTATCCCTCTCCTTCTCTCTCTCTCTCTCTCTCTCTCTCTTTCTCTCTCTCTCTCTCTCTCTCTTCGAAAGATTAAAAAAATGAGTTTTAAAAATGTAAGCGAGATATCTCCGCATGTTTTTCGGAAATTGTGTAAAAGTCGTTTGTATATTTTTATGATAATAATAGTGATCATTCTTTCGAGTTCAGTCAATATTTTTCAATATTTAAGTAAATATAAAAAAGCAGTTAAAGTAGTATTTCATGGGGAAGATATTGCAGTAAATTTACGACACAAATTTTGTAATGTTGGACCATACCGGGATTATGACAGAATTTTAGCAAAATACTTCATTGTACACGTTATCAAAGATTACAATCCACACGATAAATTTCAGTCATAATCCCGGTATACAAAACTGTCGTTTTGAATAAAAAATATCGATTTTTTCTCACAGATATGTTCTATATACTGCTAGCCACTCTGTCCGTGGCGGCTGGCCACACCTTCGACACCTTCAATACCGTTTACTCGTGGAAGCAGGTCGAATACGAACTCCCAAATGACACCATCCGAAACAAGCTCATAGCTTCCGGCGATTACGTTCCGCAGAATAATATACCGCTGGGTCTGGCTATTTGGCGCGACAAAATGTTCGTCACCGTGACGCGGTGGAAGAAAGGCGTTTTGGCCAACGTAAACAGCTTCTCGATGCACGACAAATCGTGTAAGTGAATATACAATTTCACAACGAGAGTCTCCGTCTACCAGGTGAATTTTCGATTTTGACGAGACTTCGACGCATCAGAAAGTGGATATCAGATACTCCGGTGGAAATTGAACCTAGCGGGTGTCTAACCAAGGAGTAGTAAATTTGTCTGACATCTGGCTGCTAGCCAGTAATGCTAGCTTCTTCTAATGATTAGAAAAATATACAAGTTAGTTGGTGGTTAAACAAAAGAAATTACAGTTTAGGTTAATGTCTCCAATTGATGACAAAGTAAACTCACCGTCAAAATAAAATCAAAAATCATCGCAATGATATACACGTTAAGTACATAACATTTTTTTTGCTCGAAAATTACACACTTGGAATTCTAATTGTGTTAGATTTATGATGAAATTTTAATTAGATCGTTCTCACAAGTGACGGAAGTAGCATTTAGCGACATATAACTTTAACGGCCAATTTCTAAGATGGCGAGTAATTAGGTCGGATATCAGGTCAACCAGGTGATTGGATATCCTCCGTCTTGCGTGTGTCATGAATATAATTTCTGTTTGTATTTAACGCATACGCAGCTAGTCCAATCTTGAAACCGTACCCCGACTTTGAGACAAACAACATCCACTCGCCCGATGGCATCGTAAACATCTTCCGTCTCAGAATCGATTCCTGCGATCGCATGTGGGGCCTCGATACGGGAGTGGACGATATTATGGGCGAGGGAACAGTCGTACGGCCGATGAGACTAATCGTATTCGATTTGAAAACAAACAAGGTGCTATCTCAGATTTTACGCGTTACCACTATCTTTACTACTACCGCAAATAACTGGCATTAATCGTCAATTTCTTATCGCGTCGCGTCGGCCGACTCCCATATTGGTTAAGGGATCTCTCGCTACAGTCCTGTCCGATGACATCAGAAACGAAAAAACGTATGTTCAGCGGAATAAATAAAAGGTTATATCCATAAAATGACCTAGTAAACAGCCGCATAAAATTAACGTAACCAAATCACAAGAAAAGATAGACTAAAAAAGCGTGTCTCACATTAATTTTATTATTTGTTAATTGTTAGAGCGGGACAAAAGTTTTCGAAATATTTGGTAAATGTGCCCAATCAATTATCATTTGATAGAAATATTTTGTTTTACTTCGACGTAAGAATTTTGGACATACTTCTCCTCGCCTCTAATGTCATTAATTAAGACAAGGCACGGAAGCTTTAAGGCCGTTATTGGTACGTTAATTTTCTCAGGAATCTTCCTAGACTTTAACAACATATTAATCGAAACGTTATTTATAAACATGCAAAAGAAAGATTTTTTTGCTACATTTACATAGATCACAGGTATACGGAGGAAAAGAATGAAGCACAGATTGATTGTTATTTACGCTACATTCGCTGTTCGTACTCAACGCACGAATTGCCTTAAGATCACCGATCATTACGCACACTTGTTGCAGATTATCCGCAAATACACTCTGAAGGATACGGACAAGAAGCCGGACACGTTCATTGCCGACCTCGCGGTTGACGTGTTACCTGGACAGTGCGGCAAAGCATACGCGTACATGAGCGATTTCGCAGCGTACGGGATAGTGGTGTATAGCTGGGAGAAGAATGACTCTTGGCGGATTAATCACAATTATTTCCACTTCAATCCGGTGGACAGTAATGTCTCAGGAACAATTTACCGCGCCTCCATTTTGCGTCTTTGATATCCCCTCTCAATCTCACGCGTTCTGTCGACAGCTGACTACAACGTCAATGGTTACAACTTCCAATGGACCGACGGTGTCTTCGGGATGTCGCTGTCGCCGAAGATTCGTGCTGACGGTTACAGAACGCTCTACTTCCACTCGATGTCCGGCAGCACAGAGTTCTCGGTGTCCACGGACGTTCTGCAGGATCAAACGCTGAACAAATCGAGCAAGTTCCACAATTTCCACATCGTCGGCAACAAAGGGCCGCTCACTCAGGGGCCGTCCTCCATCATCGATCCGGAAACGTGTATTGACTATTTCACTCAGGTGAACAGAAACGGCATCGCATGTTGGGATACCAAAATCGAATTAACTCCGGAAACATTCAGTAAGTATTACGCTGTCAAATATTGACGCGCGCCGTTACACCCGGCGAAATCATTTACTGCCTTTTCGAGAGTATTATATATATTTCGAGAATACTCAATAAGTACTGAGGCTGTTCAATGAGTTGTTAAAAGCCCGTGTGCACCGTTCGGCAAAATGTAAATCGTCACGCTACGTCACTTTACAAAGATGTAGTTCGTGATTTTCATCAGAGATGTCTCCAAAGTGCGCTTTCGCCCAAATATTATAAAGTAAATATTGTATCATATCATATAATATTGAATAGAGGGAAAGGTGAACCTCCCCCCACCCCCATTTTGTGCAATAACTTTGTTAATAATCAATATTTCAAATTGAAAACTTAACGATTACATTCGTCAAAGTGTTGTCCGATCGATTTTAGAGTAAAAATTATGAAAGACTTATTATTTGGAGAGCTATTTTTATAAAAATGTGACGACAATACATGATGGTTCGAAGAAGAAGAGGAGCGTAGTAATATGATAAAATATATTCAAAAGATTAGTTTCGTTTAAAAAACTGTGTTTTGTTAGAAATTTATATACTTATTCAAAAAAATTCTCCTAGAAGGAACAACAATGAATATAACTGTGAATATTTAATGTAAATACTGACTTATCGGAAAGTAAATTCATATAATCGAAAGGATGATTTTTACAATACGAATGTATTTTTAAATTTGAATCATTGAGTTATCGAATAACTACTTTGACATGTAAACCTCGAAAATAATTAAATCTATTTCGATGAAGAGCGACATTAGCAAAACACTATTTTTTAACTTTGCATAATTCGAAATGTGTACAGCGGAAATGAAATGTCAAATGGCAAACGAGCAAAATATTCAAGTGATAATACGCCCAAGTTTAAGAAGAATGAAGAAATATGTGTAATTAAATGTTGAAATGTATTTTGAAAACATTTGCGATCCCTTTTATACGCTTCATTCGTGATTTTTCGCATTTTTGTGATTTTTCGCACGCATGACAACAATCAACAATGTCGCGATTAAAATGAAGTGAGTGTAATTATGAAGATTTGTTCACCTTTGTTTCGTCGCACGTTAACGCACGATTTTTTTTCAGAATTGGTAGCGCAGGACAACAAGACGTTGGTGTTCCCTCAAGATCTAACTATCGATAATAAATCTCGGAAGATATACGTTCTCTCGAATAACATACCGCGATTCCTGCAATCTACCTTCAATCCGTCCGAGACGAATTACTACATTACCATGGCCGATCTCAACAAATTAGCGATCTTGTGCAAACAGAACCCAATGGGACCAAGGTGGCCAATGAAGATAACGAAGTCATTGAAATCGGATGAGAAAGATGACTATATGATATTTCCCGACTATTAGTAGTACGATGCGAAACAACCCTGTAAGGGCGTGATATTCCGAGAATATTATATGAATATTATTCAATATTAAAATAATATTCGCATAATTTTCTAAGAATATGCCGGGAATATTATTACGCGCTTATAGAGAACGCAGCGAGCGAGGCATAGACTGTATACAACCCATGATTGCATTAATTCAAGCATATCAACGTTATCTCTTTATTCCTCAAGAGTTCTATATTTAATCTTTTGTAATTGCTTGAAAATATAAATGCACATGTAAATGCACGTTTCTTATGACAATCGTAATTTCTCGCACCTCCTCCTCAAGGTAAGACGGGACGAGCTGACCATTCTCGTCTTGCCGAAAGCGTGAAAGAAACGCAGACGGAGATCCGGTTTGCGATAAATAATAAACTCGGGTCGTTTGAAGATCGATTGTCCGGGTGAATTAGAACGGAACCGGCGCGCGGCGGTTAGGAGCGGCGTGTATTTTCGACGCGACGGATATCGCGCGGAATTGAAATTTCGACGCTATTTCAAAATAGCCGTCAGCTGTGTCTCCGGTTAAGTCAATCCCTTGATAATTCAGGGAACTTTTAACTGCAACCTTTATAACTCCCGCGGTAGCTTCCGCCTCTCTCTCTCTCTCTCCTCCGCCCCGCTATCCTAGGAGCACTACTTTCTTCCGCCCCCTTTACGACTGGTCTACTCTCTCTTTACGGAGCTGTACATCTTAAATAATTGATCCTAACGTAGTTGCCGGTGTTTTTATAACTGTTTTACCGCCCGCTCTCGCCGCCGTGATATACATTATTTAGCCGTCGGTTTTTAAAGTTAAGTCCCCGGGTGCGGAGGTGCGAAAAGGCCTATTCAGGCCGCGTCTGCTCTGCAGAATTAAAATGTATGCCAGTAGCGGGGCGCGCTATACCGACATTCAATTAAATTGCCGGATTTCGCCATTAACGGCGCGCGCAATCTTTTAGCGCGGAGCAAGAATTGCCACTTTTAATACGGTCCTCGTCGGACTATAAAGAGGCGAAGAGAAGAAAACAAAGAAGGTGGATTCGTCATCAGAGACGAGATGAGAGAGCGAGTAATCTTGAGATGAGAATGTATATTCTAAAAACTCGCCCGGCAATGCTTTTTTTTCATCACGCTTACGATATTTTTTACCGAGCAACGCTCTCACGTGAATCAGTCATAAGTCACGTGGAGCCATACCGCGATAGGTCGATTCAACGGCAGTCATCTGTATAAACAATACATATACACACCCCCGTCGCACATTTCACAGCCACTCGTCGTATCCGAGGCGGAGGAGGAGGCTCGTTTCCACGTGCCACCGAATTTCTGTTCCGGCCCGTCAAATATTCACGATTTGTCAACTCCCCTCAATTATTCATCTCCCGCAGGTATCTTTGTTATCTCTCGCCGATAAGCCGAAAGATGAAGGATATTCCGAGACAGAGGAGCCCCCTCCCTACCGAAGAACGAAGGTGTAGAATGCAGAATGCAACGTCGTGCTCTTGCAGAAAGCACTTTGACACAGCCCCACGGGTACATTACTAGGATTGCCGCCACCAATTGAACTCCCCCGACTCGCCCGGAGACCCCGGCTCGAATCCCTTATGTCTGCAAACACAGCCGCCCGAGGCGACACCGCCGTTCAAACACTCAATCGCTCGATTCACAACGAAGTAACTTGAAATTCTCCATTGTTAACGTTATTTGACTTATCCGCGCGCGCTGATCTCCATAATAGGTATTACCGTGAAAGGATTCGGGCCATTGTACGGCCGAGTTTTACGAGAGCCATGATTAAGGTCCACCCTTGCGTCGATAACGCGTGCGCGAAAAAAGACACCTTGCGTGCTCTCGACCGTGTGTTCCTCGGGAAGAAGGAGAGCAGCCAATTTCGACCCAAGAGTGTTCCACTAATCGAGAACAAAGATTTCTTCAATTTTATTGCACCCAAACAATATGTTTTTCTTCTTTCTATGAAACAAGTTTTAGTGAAATAAATAGAAGGATGTGTGTATCGACGTGAGATTCGTTCGCGTCGGCGTGAGAAAATGATGGCAAAATCGGCAGGAATCGGCGCGCGAGGGAAGGTTAAATTTACCGTCCGCGTGAATGCGCGGGTAAATTTAACTTCTCGCGCACACATACACAGGAGCGATTACACGTCATCGAAATCCACGAGAGAGCCGTGGGTGGTCTCGCAGATCGTCGGACAGATATATCCGCTAATACACGGCTTCTCGCGCCCATAGTACCACTTTATACGACCGAAATTCCCAGTAAGATGCAGGAGGACACCGTGGCAGGGCGGGGAGGAATTCGTAATACAGAGGGCCGCTCTACGACCCCGCTGGGAGGAATTCCGGGGTACGTTTTAAATTGCTGCATCCCCAACCTTCTTGTTTATGTATGCTACCGTGTTTCTTATTCTTGTGCGGCAGCGAAGGAGAGCGCGCCCCCCCTAACTTTATGTGCACAGTGCCGACATAAGTATGCAATCTATGCGTCGGTGTGGCCCGTTCGTGCGTGTGTGCGCGCATCCCCCGTGTGCGTGTGTGGTGCGCGAAAGCGCCGCGGACCGAGAAGAAAACCGCACACACGCGTAACGCGTATACGTACATGTGTATTGTATGGCGAAACGTGGCCCTATGTTTCCTCTCGCCATGTATTCGGACTCCCCACGATCCGGGGAGCGCCTTTCCTCCCGGTGGATTCTTTTCGAACAGCCAGACTCTCTTCGTATTTCCACCCTCGCCGCGCGCACTCTTTCTATCTCTCCGCCACAATTGCTGTAATCTACGATCCGGTCTGGTGGATTTAACCGTGGATCTCAGCCACGGTGATTTGTTAAGTTTTTTCAGGCATCGATCGGAAATGACGATTGTGGGATGATGCGAGACAGTTCAATAGAACGCACTTTCGGCTATTTCTCTCGAGTTAGGGCGATTGTTCTTCTCATTGGAGGGAAACTCAGTGTCTCGTCGAACAGTACATAAACTACTCTTTATAGTAGTTGCATTTGAAGCGCGTTGTGTTATTAGCGTCGTTTGAAGCTTTCGTTTTGCTGAGGAATTTTTCAGCTTTCTCCTAGCAAAAATTAACAAATCTGTAGCAAGTAATTTGCTTGACGATGCTGCTATTTCATAGTAAATTCTGAATTGTTCATATTGAAATACGCGGGAAAAGTTAGATTGCTCTGTCAATCGATATACCGAGTGGAGGTTTACTCGTCTTTCAACCGACATACCTTTGCTGTAAGATATCGTTGTCGCTATCGGCGACTGATTCTTTCTCTTGTTTGTATGAAACATTTTTTTCCATTTGCTTCATTTTTGTTTTTATATATTCAGGTTTCTACAATTTAACGACTCATCCGCCGCCGTTCGCGTCCGCTCGATCGTTAAATTCCGAAATTTCCGTATAGAACACGATTACACTGTATTCGCCCGGCAAGAGTTGCCAGATGCAGTTATTAAAAAGTCCACTTTAAATCTCGGTAGAAAACGCGATTACACGCGCGAAAATATTAATCAAGCTGTTATTACGCCTGGCAAAAATATATAACAACGTATCGCGCGCGTATGTTAACGCGGCGTCATTTCTGCGTTTTTATGCATAACTGAAACATTTGCCTCGCCGCTCATCCCCGGTGTATATCGATATCTCTCTTTCAGGATCGTCGGGAAACAATTTTCGGCCGAGTGTGCGCGCTCGAATTGTGCGTCTCGCTATCCGTGGCGTTATACGAACAAACAACGTAAGCACAGCACACACAGCAAATGGAGAGATAGAGAGACGTAGCGCTAGGCGTAGGTTTTGATGGTAGTAGCACCGGGAGGGGGCGATGCGGTAGGTATGTGGTATAGGTTAGGGTGGCCGGTTGGTCGCGCGGGGGGACGGATATCTTGTCGAGGATAGGCTGCCGGTGCAAGTAGGTTTAATATTTGATAACGCGGGCTGGTCATCCTGCCGAGGCGATAACACAGGCCCCGCGGGAACCTTCCGCCCAACATCCCTCGGAAAACGACTGCCGCCAAACTCGCAGTGTCCCTCCACCTCTTACCGTCCTCGGCGCTCTGTCCTTCCTATTTTCCCTATAACAGGCTTCGGATGCACCGCGATCGAAACTGGCGTTCCCGTCCGACAGGATCGGCCGAGATAACGGATATTACTGACCGACGGGACGGATAAATTGCGGACCGTGGAGGACGCGAGAAAAGGCTTTCTTCCTTTCACCTGGTTTAATGTTTCGCTTGAGTGAAAACGTTCTTTCACCAAACTATGTTGTTTAGAAAAATCCTTTTATTTAGATGAAACATTACATTTCATTTTTAATACAGAAGAGATCTCATTATATTAAATATTCCTTCCACTGAAACGTTCTCTCTAACATGGTCTCGCTACTTTTATAAATAACTTATCACTTGTGTCAACCATTGTAATGTTTATTCGTTGTTTAAGAAAGCAAACATTCGTGTCGAACACTCTTTTCTCCTCGACGATATCTTCACGTCGGATTAACGCGAGGATAATCGTCATACAAAATAGCTTCCCATTTCTTTTTGTTTCATTTTTTTCCTCCAGTGACGATCAGAGGGCTAAATAAGCCACAGGATGCGATGCATTATGTATACACAAGAAAGGGTCAATCCTTGCACGGGTCAGTTTCATTGGCATTGGCGCGGAAGATCATATATAGCACGAAACGGCTTTATTCGTTTATTCGATCGACCGAAATCCCGAAGCCTTGCGGGACTAACAGAGGGGACCCGGGTTGTACGGAGGGTCCACGGTACGTTAAAAATTTACTATAAAATAGCTCACACAAGTCTGCACTTTACCGGCGCGGTGATTTGGTCGCTCAAATTTCCGCGTACATGATCGTTAAACAAAATCTCCGAATTAATATTAATAAAAGCGAGCGTACGAAAATTTTATGTCCGAACGAACGATGGAAAATTTCACCGTGCATGACTACGATAACGAACCATCACATTTATCTTGTCGCGAGCGTGTTTTTCGTCTTGCCTCGTGTATTTTCGCGAGTGAATTCGTTCGTCTCGTTGAGAGAGGCGGGCAAGAAAGTAACGACGAAAAGTGTCGAAATATAGTATTGAAATATAAAATAAACTGCTCTACCCTTTTGTCCCTTTTAATTACAGTTTCAAGTACAATATGTGCCTCAATAGCTTACTTTAATGACAGTGCAATGCTCGTGCGTGACTTGAGTATTTCGAAGGGCGAAATTGAACGGAATGTATAATTATAATGCCGACTGCGTATACCTATTTTTAACGTAATTAGTACTTTGTTGCACGGTATTATACGGTTCTGTCGGCGTGGCGGCTCTCTTCGTCGTAACCGCGTTCGCGCGAAGCCCCAACATTGATTCCGACGTTCGGAACGAATCTTCGTACCCCGCTGATATTTTCAGATCGCGAAACTGTCCGTAAAACCATGAAGAATTATCTGTGCACCGTCTATTATACATCCATTAGTACTGATGTCACGTTAATTCAATGATAAGTGTAAGATTCGATGAAATATCGTGCAATATCCTTTGTGGTAACAGTATTTCTGCTTTAAAATATGTACGTCGATAATATTAAATAATGTTTCTCTTGTACTGCCAGAAACAGTATAATTCTGTGTATGTGTGGATCATTACTAAATGATTACACGGGCTGGTATTTATTGATGTGTTATCCGCTCCTTTATGGCGTGCTCTAATGACGTGCTGCACCAGAGAGTGCATTAACAACAATATGTGAGAGCCGAAAATACGCAAACATATTACTTCTTTCAGGATGTAACAGTTCGAAACTGTTTTCTCTTCCGCACCGTCCTTCGTACAATAATCTTCGTACATTCACGTTCACTTCGTACGTAGGCTTGTATTAATACATTGAGAGAAGGATTTCTTTAAATTTAATCGCATCCAAACAAATTTCATCGTCGGCACGCTCCAAAGAAACTAATGTTTCGATTAATAAGTAAAATAGTTGGGCTTTTCAACGAATATGTATCTCAAAAAATTCGTTTGAAACGAAAGATAATTTTCTTCCGAAGAAATTATTTATTTCATTTTACATATTTATTGTAATTAGATAATATTTTATTCGAACAAAAGATATTATTTCAAGTAATTGTTTCTTTTTTTTTTTATTAAATAATAGAATTTTTCTTGAACGAGACCCAAACAAATAATATTTCGTACATGTTTCTATGAAACAAGTTTTAGTCCAATAAGTAGAAATATTAAATCTAAGGAAACCTATTTCGCTGTGTATTTGCCATTTGAAACTCATCTCATACGAGACAATTCTAAATTAGATCTGAATTTTTCAATTGAATCTTATGACATATTTGAGGTTGAACTGACTGCATTCATTTGTACTAGTTCTCTTTTCCTCTGTTTTTTTTTTTTTCATCAAGTCTTAACTATATCTGTCTCTTTCTAAATTCTACAAGTGTACACTAGTTCAAGCGAAAAGAGAACATACTCTCGTATCTGTAAACGTTATTCAACAAAAAAAAAAAAAAAAAAAAAAAAAAAAAAAAAAAAAAAAAAAAAAAAAAAAAAAAAAAAAAAAAAAAAAAAAAAAAAAAAAAAAAAAAAAAAAAAAACTTGCGTTTAACTCTGAATTCGAATCTGACTATCTCATTTGAGACAAGTTTCAGGTAACAACTATTAATACAGGCCGTGGAGAAGGAGAAGCAAGAGAACGATCCGACAACGGCATAAATGTTGCATTAATACGGCTTGACGCGAGCACATCGATCACACTTCTCGTCAAAGTTCCACCGTGCGAACGTTTCAAGCAGATTTCGCTCGAACAGCTTGATTACTCTCGTCCTATCGTTCATCCGGCGGCGACAGATAACGCCAGATTCGAGCCTTCTCAGGGAGAGAAGAAAAGATCGCCACGTGCACAAGTATTTATACGTCGCTAAGACGCAGCGATAACGCGGCTTACGACATTTGCGTAGGAGAGAGGGCGGGCAAAATAGCTGATATTCTAGCTATGGAGGAGAAAGAGACGCGCCGGAAGAGATCTACCGTGGCGAGACAGGGCGAAGGAAGGAGAGGGAGATAGACCTAGTTGAACTAGAGAGATATAGAGAGAGGGAGGGGAGCCACACAGACACGCACGCAGACAGGCGGGGGGGAAGGATGGACAAACGGGTGGTCGCGGTTAGCGACACCCATGCGAGGCCTGAAAGCAAGGGCAAAGATGGCCGACGTGCATGAGATTAGAGGCGCAAGCGTGACCGCGCAAAGCTCCGCCCCTGTACGGCGAAGCTCTCCGCTGGCTGTCGACTCACCCCCCGAACGAACCCTCTCGTCGTGGGCGCGCTGCCGCATCGTCCAGGATCACCAACCCCCGCCGCACCCGAGCGCGCGCGCGTTCTCTCTCTCCCCCTGGAAGAGTTCATCCGCGGAGCGCTCCTCGCCGGCCAGTCAGCGCCAAAAAGTGCAGAGCTTCGGGACGAAGAGCGCGAGCCACCCCTTGCGTATGGCAGGAGCGAGCCGGCGGTGTTTCCCATCAGTGCCGAAGCGAGTGCCTCGTGGGACGTGAAACTCGCGAGAGATCCGCGGGACTCGAAGCGCGTCGGAACTCGCCGAGGTGAAACTGTGTGCAAGTGTGCGGCGGAGGGTACATCGCGCGCGCGCGCGCGCGCTCGCTCGTTCATCGCGCGGAATACGATGTTCCAGCGGTAATCAGGATGCGGGTTCACCGTGCCGATAAACTTACTCAGATTCGACGACACAGACGCAGTGTGTGAACGCACTCTCTCGCACGCAGTCACACAGATGCGAACGCGGCCCGGAAGCAAAGGGCGCAGCGGTCGGTATCCCGCTTCCGTCTGAGGAGCTGCCCGAGGAGGGACCGCAACGAGGGAGATACGCTCGCACGATGATGTACCCATCGGACAAGATGATGGGGAGCAAGGGCCTCCACGGCACGCCGATCGCCGCCCCGGGCTGCTTCCCCTCGGGGAGGTACTCGCCTTATCGCGCCGCGCCGGACCCGATGCCGCCGCCGAGACGATGCATGCCCAACACTACGGTGAGTGACAGCCTTTCTATACTGCCGCGACCAGATAGAAATTTCATCTCGATGCTTTCGCGTACCTTTTTTCGAGCGTTCCAGCGTGTTTACCGATAGTTACATCCCGACCACTCGTCCTTCCAGCCGAGAAATGTTCGCCGTCGGATCTAACAGTTCGGGTATATCGTCCCGTCGCGGGGAAGTGTCAGTCGGAATATTTTCCGGCAAGTGAGAAACGCCTCTGTTCGCGAGGGGAGGAAGGCCGCGTTTTCATTCGCCGTGCGTCGGCACGCTCTCATATTTCTCGCACTTACGGACGCTCAATTTTAGTGCGAATATATCCATAAACCGCAAGGAGGCATCGTAGGAGAGAGCGCTCGTGCCTCGCGTAGAAGGGATCGATATTTCTTCCGCGGAATTATAAGTCATCGCGCGGAGAAGTCGGTTTCTTCGGACATTGAATTGCCACTTGGCGAACAAGGGGCGTCCCGCTCGCATTCCGAGTCGATGGCCGAGTTTTCGGACACGCCGAACCGAGGATCAGGTCAGACGAACCCGTCCGCTCCGATTGTGTGGTGACTTATTAATTAATCAGAGAACACGTGAAGATGAAAATACACGCGCAGAAAGAGAGAGAGACGCATTCCCCGGCCGCGCGCTTCCTCACTCCGTTATCTTTACTTCAACGCGGTCGGAGGCAAGAAAAAGCTCAAAGAAATTCGCGGATAAGACCGTGTGCGATAAGAGCTGGGGCTGGTAAAGCCGAAGCAAATGATATCTCCTCCGGAACACAGCGAAACGCGAGAGAGCGATTAGCTCGAGAGCGCGGCTATTCCTCTTTCTCGCCGCGATTAGCTCGACTCTTTTCGCGCATCCCTTCGTTAACAATCGAGCGGAATAGATTTCGAGCGAGAAAACGGCTCCTCCGTGCGAATAAAAGGAGCTTGTTCCGCGCGACAGTTTCAAACTCTCTCCTTCTTTCTCGTTCTCTGGAGATTCCGAAAGGACGCGCTTCGGAGAAATATCTCTTTTTTTTCCCCCGCCATCGCATATATCGTATTCAACTACAGCTTTAGGCTTCTACGTAACAGATACTACGTTATCCACCGGCTCGAATATTTATGACAGTTCAAGCGAGTTTACAATCGAAGACTGCACGGCTTAACGTACGCGGCTCGAAATTTCGGATAATCATATAATCGATGCTCGTTTCTTCGACGTGATGTTACTGCCGCTGTGAAAAATATAGAATATTTTTATCGGGGACATTTCAACATTCATCGGAGGATGTGTTACGATATCTGTGTGTATGTGCTCCAGTTCGCGTGTGATAACTATAATCCTACCCGATCAGTTTCACTATATCATCTTTACAAACGGAATATTCGAAGAGTGTCGGACTTGGCGATTATTGAAATACAAATGCAAAATCGTATCGTTTCGGATTTCTCTTTGCGAAAGAGAGGGAAGGTACGGTGAAAGATAAGACGCGAAAATTATAGACAACTCGCTCGGTCACGCGAAACGAAGTTTCGGAAAAATCGGCGCCTTTATCGAAAAAAATGTGATTGTACGTAAAACCCGATCGTCACTCGCGAATCTGACCGTAATGCCGAGGAGAAGGACACTTTTGTAATGTACAGAGAGAGAGAGAGAGAGAGAGAAATTTCTGGGCATACGAGTTATGTCACGCGCCGATCCGGCGTATCAATAAGCTTATCAGAAAGCACGATGTCAATCGCGACGTCAATATGTAGCTTATCAGAACGTGCTTATCAGAAAATGATATCAATCCTTGCCTGCAAATCGGGCCGATCGAAGCCGAGCCGAAGAATCAAATAATTGTGTTTGTACTATTATTTGCGCCGGCCCGCCCTTTCTCTACGCGCGATTGCGAATATAACAATCGCGCGACAATTGGATCACATTGAATTGGATCGAGACCGGTTTTGTAGAAACGCGGTCGGTGCAAAAGTGAAATCGCTCGAGGAAATATCCCCCCCCCCCCCTCCGGTAAAGGTAGAATTTGTCCGGCGCTAGTGGCGCTCAATAAAAATAACTTTCGATTCGCGCGTTAAAATTAAACGTCTCAAGGTTTCATTTAAATCATATTCCGCCATTCTGCGAAACGCCGCATTTAGAGTATGCACGCTTCGTATCGAGCGTGCCGTTTTTCTCAAATCAAGGTCGCGCACGAAACATCATTAAAATGTTACATGCGACGGACACGCTCGGGCGATCCTCCTCTTTTTGCGAGAATAACGCCCGATTTCGGGGGTCGCGCGCAAAAGGAGGAAGCTGTCATTATTAGCGGCTCTCTTCGTTGTTCTCTCAGCGTTAACTGTCCAGCTAAATCGCAGAGCTCGGGTGCAATTAATTGTGTTTCCTGAAGAAGCAAATTGTATCTGGCGACATTCTCAAATTCGCCGAAGCACTTTGACGTTCAAAAGGTCGCGCATAAACGTCGGACACTTTTTTTCGCAATGAAAATCTCCAATACGTGACATCTTGTAATATACGTGTCTCCTCCCTCTCTCTCTGTCTCAAAGCGGGTCAACGCGGCTATTTCGCGTATCGGCAGTCGTCTTGTGATCCTGCTGTATAAGAAATCACTCCTTACCGAAAACGTTACAAACAGGATGTAACGAAATTAGCAAGGATTTATCGGCTTTTACGCGAATGTGTATGCGCGTCGAACGACGACGCACTCATAGAGAGAGAAAGAGACGATATTTTCGATGAGCACGCCGACCGATGTACTGTCTCCTCCGCTGTCTCATTACGGTATTATCTCATTATATTTTATTTATAACAGCAGTGTCTCGGAACGTGCTAAACGAATTTCGTTTCACTTAAATTGGTACAGCGCGACTAGTGGCGCGCCGCTAGTCTCTCGCCCGGTTCGCTCAATATTTAAACTCTCGCGAATAAGATATTCGTTTATTAATTAATAATAATCGGATCAATTATTTATGCGACGTGCCGATCGATGCCGATCAATATGACATACGTCGATAATAATGCATGCACGCTTGTTTGTATCCACGTGAGCTCGAGCTATTTACACTTAAAAGTACACACAAAAGATTGCTTTGAATTTAATAAGATTTCTTTAATGGAGAGAAATCTGCCTCTTGCAATAGAGTGAATAAACGAATGTTTGATTCGACGAAGAGGATCGCTTGATTTTTTAAGCAATAAATATCTTTGTGTCAAATAATGTTTCTCCAAACATTACCATATTACAGGCAATAAATTACTTGAAAGAAGTAACATCATGTTAAAAAAATACGAAAGAAGTTCTTTGTTTTAGTGAAACAATATTTAATACACAATCAAATAAATTCTTTTCATTGTAAACCAAATATTATTTCCTCTAAATAATAACTGTTCTTTTGTTTTTTTCTACCGAACAATATCGTTTGGTGAAACAACATTCACATTCAAATAAATTAATATTTGATATTAAATTGTTTGTTTTTGTATTTTATTAAACAAACCTAAGTCAAACAAACACCGTGTAAATCACATACCCATGCGCGCTATCAAGTATCAGTGACATTAAAAATGTAACCTCGTTTATTAACCTCCTAATCTGATATTCGATCAAACTGTCACTCAATTCTAGCGACGACACGCCGCGGCGCAATCAGCATCGCATTGTCCCGTGTTTAAGAACGATGTATTTAATTAGTATCGTAATCGAGATGATCTAGTTTTGGGTATCAGATAACCGGAATATATATATGAGAAAATCTGGGAAAAAATGCGGGGTGAAATGTCTCTCTTTCTTCGTTTATTCGAGAAACACCCCGATAACCTCTGCAAGAGGGTGGCTAAATCGCATCAGATGGGGGCGTTATGCCGAGTTAGAAGACCGGTTGTTTCCCGAGCGCGATCATAAAGCCTGGGTTAAAGTAGCGAGCATCTAAACAATATCAATCACCGTTGAGTCGTCGTTCTTCTTCTTCTCGATCCCTCCGCGACGAGAGAGAAAGCAAAGCATATCGAACGAACTAGCGGCTTCCTCCCCCGACGGCGCGACGCGCTCCCCGGGCTACATTGCGGGCTCCACATAGTCTTTAGTTTATTCATGTGACGTAATAGGATAAAAACCGTCGCTACGAGCTGAGTGCCTAGATGAGATTACAGCCGTACTGTTACGGCCCGGTAACGCGAATCCGATGTAATCGCCCCTTCCTTTGATTTTTCTGTTCAGTCCTCTCGATGACGAGCGCGCGCGAGAGATGGCTCTACTCGGTACTTATGCCACCCCCTTCGCCATTCGCCATACTAATGCTTTATCCTGCTCTCTTTTTCCTGGATCGAACCAACGCGTTCGCTTCGTCGTTAATATAGTCTGAATTTTTAAATAACACGAAATCACGACGGTCGATAACTTATTTATCAGTCCGCGCGGGAAGATACACGCCGCGCTTTCATTTGACCCTCTTGTGAGTGCTCATCGTTGCAAGTCGAACGTTCATTTTTTATATCGACCAGATTACACGCTCGACTCGCTTTAAATAACGCGATTACACTTTCTGCAGGGGGAGGGAGAGAGAAAACGTTCGTATATCAGCTGCGTTGTCGCGTCACACATTTTGGTAGGTAAATCTATGCGAAATAAAAGGCGGGCGTGATTATACGAAGGATACGGCCGGTCTGTAAATATCAGTAACGTCCGCGGAGGCGACTCGCTGAAATGGCATTGCCGATCGATCGGTTGATTACTGATGGTCATTCGGCGCGGTACATTTATTTCGACGCGGCGCAGGCGCGCGGCCGATGCCTCGCGCGGTTTAAAAGAAGGTATCGATGAAGGTCGGATCGTTAATTGTCTATCGGCATTAATTGTCTATGAGCGTCAGGCGCTGGGTTTTCACCTACGGTGTTAATTATCTATGATAATTAATACAGAAGGGCATTACGTATTCATCGGCCGGATGGTAATTATTCACGCTTTGTTGGACATTACTTTGCATGTTTTCCGGCCGACGACCCTTTTTCGGCCGGTG